CTTCGGTGTTTTTACACCGATTTCTTCAGTTTATCAGTATTTTTAACGAACGTACAACTCCGTGGCTTGTACCCAAACCACGGTTTAGAACCTGTGTCACGATTCCTAAAGACTTAGAATGGCGTATGGACTAGCTTGAAACGGTCCTTTGAGCCATATATGCACCAAACCAAACCTACTCTGTGTTTGTTCGCAAATATCTATTCGTATTTGCCTCAAGTCAGAAAAAACATCACGTTCCGCTACAAAGTTAATTTTTTAACACCTTTAATTTTTGATACTGTGAATACTTTCTATATAAACAGCAACATTTATCAATATTATTTGCATGTGCTCGTAAACGCACAATGCGCGATGAAAGCATGATATGCATAATATTACTTGCATCATAATATTGATATGTAGCATTTATTTTACGTGCGTAATTTATGAAGCATTAAGATTTCTGAAAGCTTACACTGCCGGAGCATCTGCGATTGACGTATCAAAAAATCGTGCAATTACGCTAAACACTGATTTGATCAATAAAAGGTAAAATTTAGGTTATATTATCGTATTTTGTCTGCGTGTACATAAATATACGCATTGCGATACATAACTGCATAATAAACGCGTGTTACTTTATCGTTTTCTTCCTCAACGGAAGAAGTAAATTTTCTCGGCGTGCGGCCCTCCAATGTTTTTCTACATCCATGTAACTTTATTTCAAGTAGTTTGCTGTTTTTCAGTCATGAAAGAAATAATTATTCAGAAATTTATTCGCGATTCTGTTACCGTTCCATTCGGCAATTTGCGGCAAAGAAATTCACGGAGGTAAGAACAAGTATTTACGTGTACTTCAATTTTTCGCGATGAAGATTTCTACACGGATTACATAACAAGAAAATACTAAGTTTCACGCCAGTATTGTTAAGTTTTATCGTAGATAGACGTAATCGAGAATTCAATGGCGCAACAATATAAAAATTGCAAAAATAAGGGAAAATTATTTTTTCGCGCGAGTGAGAAAACTCATTGGCGAAAGTTGCTCAGTTGCAAGCGCAATTTTCGTGAGCGTGCTACCGCAAAACTTCGCATATCTAACCGGCTGCATCAAGCGATTATTGCGGCGAGAAGATCGGAATTGCGGAAGATGAGACGCGATGTTGCTAGAACGAATGACGAGTCGAATTATGACGAAGAAATAGGTATTTGTGAGAATGTCACAAGCGTGTCAAAAAATAAATAAATAAATAAAATTAAAACAAAAAAAGCTGTATGTACGCAAATGATGCAGAGACAGTTTATATTTATCGCCCTCTATTGTTCGTGAAATAATGATTGATTCCAGAAATATTATCACGTAACATGTAACTAAGCATAAAATTACACTCTGTTACAACATAAAAATATATACTTACATCTGTGTTTTCTGAGATGATTTTTTGCATTTTTTACAGATTTAAGTGCATGGGATAATTGGAGCAATTGGAGTCCATGTAGTGTTACCTGCGGACAAGGACGACAAGTTCGCTGGCGTCATTGCTTGGCGACACATTGTGTTCTAGGTCTGAAAAAAGCACAATTAAGAAGCTGTCGCTTGAAAAAATGCCAAGGTTTATTGGGTTGGCTCGGTATCAAATCGTGATCTCTAGTATGCAGCTGCAGTTAGTTTTTTCCAAATATGTTTTGATATATAAAAAACAAGTTTGAATATTATGTACATAAAAAACATGTATTAATTTTACTTTAGACAATAAATTGACTTTTAATATATGCTGTGTGTAGTAATGTGATATACCTTCTTTGGGGAACCAAAATTTGTGTTACACACTCAGTTTTATTGCACGCGAAATTGCGCAATTAATGCGCATTGAAGTTCGCTTCGATGTTTCCAATGTTTTTTACAAATTGATGATTGACAACCCTATCTATGTACAGAATTCGACTAATTCCTGTCTACTTAATTATATTCCTATTACTCATAGGTAATAATTTCGCTGATGTTTTTACAATTCAAAGTATATGCAGAAATTGTTATTCTTTTAATATGTGAGAAACACTTTAGTTTTAGCGTTTGGGAAAATTACAACAGATGTCGATAAAGCGTCGTCAAATGTAGAAAATAGTGTAAACGCATTAGAAACAAAATTAATTAGATCCCGACGTAAGATTTACAATACCGATCACGATGCCAATAACAACCGAGAAAATAACATTGGACCGCAACGAACTGGTAAACATACAAATTTCGAGGAATCATACAATCATGCAATTCATTCAGTTTCGCGCGCGAGTCTCAACTAAATGACCGGTTTGTGTAACGATATCGTAAAGACGAAGCGAGCAAAGAACAAGAGAAATAAACAAACAGTGAATGTGAATTGCAAACGCAATTCTGGCTTTCTCGAATGACCGGTTCGGAATTTTTGCTTTTTTGCGCGATCAAAATGTACCAAAACCTCTGGAATGAGATGGAAATTTCCACGAGAACTGGAAATTTCCAACGCATGCACATGTTGCACGTTGTAATTTTTTCAGTTCTCATCTGATGTGTATTGCGATCTGAGTATCGTTCTTTATTAATCTTTATAACTGCTACATTTTTATTCAACTCTCATGTAAAAATAATAGGTGAAAGGTGCAGTCTCGTGACACAAAGTAGCGGATGTGTATAAGAATGTTTGATTGAAATGCTTTATTTCCTCTCTCTCTCTCTCTGTCTCTCATGTGAATACCTCTTATACATTGAACCATAAATGAGTGAAAGGTATTATACAATCATTTGGGCAACAAGTGGAAATTTCCAATACAGACTGCTCGACTGGAAAGTGTTTTCGTTTTCAAAATGTCAATTGTTTTGCTGATTAAAACTTGTAACAGCTCTTTGTTTAAATTATTATTGTAGATTTTCTCTTTACAAAGTTGCAACATTAGACAAATCGAATGAGCGAACGTTATATTAGAAATGATTAGCGTAATGTTATTCCGACAGAAAGAAGCCGAAAGGAACCGAAGATATGGGATCAATGGGGCAACTGGTCGAAATGTAGCGTTACTTGCGGAATAGGAAAAATCACGAGATGGAGACATTGCATTAGCGGAAGTTGTTCTTTGGGGCAGAAGAAGGCTCAATTAAAAACCTGCACTTCCGCGGCGTGTTAGAACATTTTGTAAATGACGCGTGATTCAAATATAATAGCAGTATCATTATTATTCGTGAAAAAAAATGTTTCTAACTTTGCGAGTATTAATTACATGTCAATTCTTTAACTCTGATACAGGATACAGCAGAATTATTGCGAGATAATTTTGGAAGATTTAAAAGGACTGTGATAATTAATCTTGTACTAAACATCTTTTTTGCAGCTTAAAAATGTTAACAAAAAATATATTATATTTGTATTAAATTTGTGTAACACCACTCTTTTCTTGTTGGATGTAAAACTATAAATATTGCTGATTTTATTCATTTTTTTCTCTCTCCTTTAAGTTTGCATAAATACTTTTGCAACTTTAACAGGAAAGGAATATGTTATTAACACTTCTTTTTTTTGTTATCCCCATATATACTTTATTCTCTTTGAAAATAGTCATCAGATCTATAAATCATTGGCGATTTGTACATTGGCACTGTATTTGATGCAACAGGTTCCTGAGTTTTCTTCTGAAATAATAAAAAACATATTAATATAAATGTGCAAGTGCATAATTTTAAGACTTATTGCAGAACAAGTTGTTCAGCTGATAAGTTACTTATAATTTAATTGTTCACTTACAAAAAACAATAAAGGGTTCAGCATGCCAAATAATCTGTCGGATATGCCAAGCTCAGCTTCTGCCTTATCCACAGCAGCTTCTAATGTACTTAAATTCATGTTGGCCATTGCGACAACATGCTCCAATGCATCTATCCTTCTACGAAGACTAGTCATGCTATCCTTCATATGTTGCAGCTTTGGAAGATGTTGCTGCATACATTCCGAGCTGCCACTTTCCACCTTACATAAGACAAATATTTAAATAGACAAATAACAGAAACAACACACTGAAAGACAAACAAATTCCAAGAATTTAAACAAGGCTTTTGGTAGTCAAATATAAATGTTGATATAAGTATATATATATATATATAAAAAGTCTTTTATAAAAGTATGTGTGAGATAAAAAGAGACACAAAGAATGTGTAATGCTGAGTTTGTCTTTGCTACTTTAATTTGCTAACCATTGACACAATCGATTGAAACTCTTCCAGTCGTATTAGCGTATCCTCGATGATATCGCGAAAATTCTTCATCTGAAATATGTGTATGATTATCTTATGTACTACTTTGCATAAAAATGCAATGTGTGTAACAATATTATATTGACTTTGCATACTTGCCTGATTATCCCAGTCCACTTTTGCGTAAGTACCATAATCCTGAACAAGATGTTCGACCAACTCGGTTGTATGAGACGACATTCTTGCAAATAAAATAAACTTGTAATTTATTTATAGATAGTTCATTCGTATTGTTATAGATTATAGGTTAGGTTAGGTTATAAAATGCACACACAGAGTGCTATAATATTTGACGTATATTGACAATTATAATTTATCGATACACGAAATGTTAAAGTGCAATATTAAAAATCAAATCTGTGAAAATTCTTATGTTTTTCTTATATTTTCACTTTTTATTTATCTAGAAGACACAAACGTCAATTATAATACGTGTATATTGCGCGTGCGTTGCTGAAGATTCATTTTCGCGCGAAATATAACTTTATTATAATTAATAATTAAATGAAATTTAAACGCATAAGGTGTTTTATAATATTTTACAAAATAAACATTGGGCGCGCAAAATATAAAAAAATAATGAGCTTAATATGAACCCCTAATGAAGTTTTTATACTACACACATTCTTATACTACAAACTGTCTACTTATTTTTTAAATATAGCAATAATATAAACGATAAGTTTTTAAATAGATATAATTTTTGGATTTTATATATATATTTTATTTCTTATTTAAAATGATAATATTATACGTTTTCAATTTCTTATTTCTTGATTTTTCTCCCATTTCTGTCGAGTAATCCCAAACGATGTACTGAATCGAAGGAATTGTGAAAGAAGGATAAGATAAGTTATATCTTTTTTTATGAAGCAAGTATGGTACACTGCATTGAGAAAATTCGTAGATTGCAGGAATAGGCCACCTAATATATTGCCATGTTGTTGTCAATAAAGATTTTAATTGTTTGTCGGAGACGTTTTTATTTAAAAAATTCTATAAAAACATAACCGATTAAATCTTGGTTATATAATAAAAACACGTAGCAATACAAGAGCAACGTTCTGAGATTCCCTTGATGTAGTATACATCCTATCTCTTACTGTTACCTCATTCGTAAAAATAAATATAAATATCGATATACCGCGAAGAGGTGACAGAGGCTTCTTGAGGCACAAGAGTCACTTTGTGTGTAGCGCTCCTGCAAGGAATACATTTCGATCAAAGATTCCCGAAGATCGCTCCGAAGATCGCTTCGAAAGGAAACTAACACGCAAAAAAAAGAATTAAATACAACGAAAATTGCAAAATTTTCTGAAGAAATCATTGTGTTACAATGGTAAGTTACATTTTCTATTATTTCATGAAAAACTTAGATTTTACACACTTTACAGAAAAAGATAGTTTTACACTTTTTGCTTTTATAAAAAATGCATATTCATTATTATTTTTTATTGATTTTATATTAGTACTTTTTATATTTTTTTGGAATGAATATTTATTTCTATTTTTATCAGATCTTTAAGAATCAAACTCGTGTGCATATCATCAAGCTCGATTCTTTATCTCAATTCTAAAACAAATATTTACTACTTGTTTTCAGAAGTTCAACATCGCTACTTTTGCATTCGCAATTGCCTTCGTGATTCTCTTTTCTTGGTCCACTCAATCAGAGTCCAATGATCTTGACATCTATTCGAAACTTCAAAATTACGTGTTTGAATCGCTTCCGCAAGAACAATATAATTTATACAAGAACGATGTGATTTCATTAAACTTCTCAAACTCGGTGATCTCGCAGATAGGTCCCGATTTCATCACCAGCCCTCTAATTGAGAACCTTTATCTGTCAAATAATCACATTGAAACGATCGCACATGACGCTTTTAGGAAACTTCCTAATCTAACAAACTTATTTCTTTCTAACAACATGATCAATACGCCAAATAATCTGTTCAGTTTTGGGAATCATGAGAAACTAAAGATTATCATTATGAATAACGCAACTTCGAATTATCAAAAGTATCAGTCTACGTACATCCAAGAATATCCTAACTTAGAAATATTGTCTCTCCGTAATAATAATATTAACCAACTGAAATATTTAATGCAAGACCTTCAGTGTGGTTCTTATTCAACATATTGCCTACAAACTTTGCCACTTCCTAAATTGAAAATTCTAGATCTTTCTCAGAACTTATTAAAAAATTCCGAATTTGTGCAAATACTGCCAAATACTCTGGTTTACCTTGATCTTGATGGTAATAAGCTCAAGTCGTTTAAGTTGTACAAAAAAGGACAAAATCTAGTTACCTTAAACTTGAACAACAATCAGCTACATAGTGTATCATTGAATTGTCAAATTTTTCCGCATTACTATGTTTCATGTGTGGAGCTTGATAATCTGAAAAATTTACGTTATCTTTCTATTGCCAAAAATCAGATCAGAAATATTTATTCGGACGCTTTTAGAGATACAGACAAGTTGATATATTTAAATTTGTCTAGAAATGAAATAGAGAGTGAGAATCTAAATTCAGAGACGTTTGCGACGTTGCAACGTTTGCACACGCTCGATTTGAGTTTTAATCAGCTCGATAATGTGCCTGAAGTTTTGAATGAAATTCAAATCAGTATTTTGTCTCTACGTCACAACAAGATAGAGAAAATAGATTCGAACGCCTTCGTGCAGATGCCGAAGTTGACGACATTGTCATTGAAAGAAAATCATATCAATTGGATCGATAACAAAGCGTTCACCGATCTTTCCATCTTGGAGGAATTGGATCTGTCGGAAAACAAGTTGCATTATCTGCCGGAAAGATGGTGTGAATCTTTGATATCTTTGAAATACTTGGACTTGAGCGGCAATACCATCACTTCGCTGGAATCGTTGTCTTTAACAAATACAATACCACTGACGGAACTGAATCTCGCGATGAATCAGTTAGAGTATTTGAACATCAGATATTTCGAAGATCTGCCGCAGAATCTTACCGTTCACTTGGTGCAAGACTCGAATTTCACACGCCGATTGATGCAGACAGAGTTTACGTGAGATACATATTGTTCGAGACATTTGCAGCGCCTCAAAAATTGAGATGTCATTAATTAATTGATTTTTATTTCAGATACTATTTCTCGTGGCTCCGTACGGTTCTGATATAGTTCGTACAATAATTATACTGTACGAAACATTTCACTACGAACAGTTGTTAATCATGTCGGACTCCTTGCAGAAGTCACAAAATGTTCATGTAATTATTCTATCTCTTTTATTATTCAAATTAATAAATCAATAAAATATTCAAGATCAATATTCTAGATAAAAACAAGCAAAATGTCATCATTTCCTATTCTATAATTTTTGTATGTATATGAATAATTTATTAGTTGTGAAAGACGTTTTTAAATTTTTATAACTACAGACATTGTCCTTTAATTTTGACTTTAATTTTGTGGGATATATAAGTTTTTGACGAAAAAAATTGCTCAAAAACATTTGCGTTCGTAAAAATTCATTTTATATGTTTTCTATTATATAAGGTTTGCTTATCAACACGCGGTTTTGTACAAGTGCGCGCAGAAAAAGTGAGCGTCTTCAAAAGAATATTACGACGTTTCTACTTTCTTTCGGGAAAATCGACATGTTGCTTTCTGAGCTCGTTAAAATTAGCCAAACATACACGATCGGACAGGGATCAATTTGAAACTTATCGTTTTTCAACACAACACTGGTATGTGAAATTGCGCAGATCATTCATTAGCTCGCTGTTGAATAAATTTTTTATCTTGTTTTCACCAAAAATAAACAGCCGACATTACCGGTCTAACCAGGTGTGCACGTGACTAAACATCGTAAGAAGTCCGTAAGTGAATGTCGTTTTGTATTGATTAATCCTTGCATCATTTTCCTTGTGCGGTATCTTCATAAAAAATCGCACATCGTAAAACTAACGTTTGTTTTGAGTTTTATTATCTGCCTAATGGAATGTTTATTTTAAACATTTTATTATTATTATTGTCACTACACGTAATATACAATTACGTTAGAATTAATAACATAAGCAATTATCTTTCAAGCGAGATGAGTGACCATTTAATTTTGTGGAATAAAAATGCGCACAACGTACGTATGTGTATTTTACTATCAAACTACTTTTTAAAACTTATTCTTCTAACATTTATTCAGACTTACGTGTTAACAAATCATATAAAAATCGTGGTAACGATGACTAAAACCACGAGGAGGCTTTTTACACAAAAAATCGATAGCGATTGAATAATTAAGATTACATCAAAATAAACTATTACACAGTAAAAAATTGTGCGTCAAAATGTAGAACTTTTCTTGTGTTACGACGTTTTGATTATTACTTCAATGTAAAATTAACATAATACTGATATGTTATTATTTTTTTAATCTTTTCACGTGTCAAATTTATGTTAACTTCACAAATTAACATTTTTTGCATGTCATTTAAAAATGGAATATTGTTTAAGTGCTTTTAACACAATGATTTCAATTAATCTAGATGTCTTAAAGTCAATTTAACATACTTAAAAAAATTTTAAAAATCTGTGGCCACATTGTACAAACTAAAATGTTTTATTAACATTTCTTACGAGTTACTGTAACTATTGTTTTGTGCAGTTTTAATTATTTTATATGTAATTTTTACATCACGCTTACAGTCAAAATAACAAATATAAATGTAAAGTATTGTGTCAAGTATTTGACTTTACTAGTTTGTCAATAAGTGACTCACAACGAATAAGTTGTTTTAACTTACAATTTAGAGTGGACCTCCTGGGACATGCAAAAAATGTTAAAATTAACATTTTTTTTTTTACTGTGTAATGTTTTATGCAATAATCGTATGATAATTGCATTACAATCGTGTGAAAATTTAATAGCCTCAGCAAAGCTTTTATTATCTAATTTCTTAATCTCTTATAATCCGCTCCGTTTGCTTTTTACGTTCGGTAATAATGTTTATACGCATTTAGCCAAATAGATTGATCATCAATCACGGCGAAGAAACCGCGAGTACAGAATAATAAGTTTTGCCCGTTTAAATCCATTTTTCTTACGTAACCTTGTTATTAGTGTTCTACAAAGTTTTTTCCGTGCCGATCACAAAAGAATGGAAAAAAAGCAGTGAGAATTTTAAAATTCTTGGTTTTTTCAACATTTAATTTTAATTGCTAATTGAATTTTAATTATTTTTTTGCAGTGCTCACATGTATAATTTATTAAAATGTGACGACCTTGTTTGTATCAATTTATTAAGCAATGTTTTAGAATTTTAATTTTGCATATTATTTATTTTTGTTAGTCTCTCGGTTTTGTCAAAATAATGGTATGGTGACGTCTATATTAGAGGAATTCGTATATCGCGCTTGTTTAACAACGCGGTAATGGTTCGTGAATTCTTTATATAGAAACTGAGTGAGTGAGAGTAGAAAGAAACTGGCTCGTTGACTTTGTGTTCTTTCGACAGAGCACATATAGTGCTATGTAATGTGCGTCCTTTACATATAGAAGTTGTAATTATTGAGTCATCTTGTTCAGGCTCTTGACTATGGAAAACAACGCGGAATTTCGATTTTTTGTAAAATTAAATCAAAGCTTACTATACGTGTTATCTCGAATCTGCGGTAAGAAACATTTCGTAAGTGTATAGAGTGTGATTGTTTTCGCTCTAATTTGGCAAACTGGAATCTACAACTCCGAAATCGATTATCGCAATATCTGCGAAAATTGATACGAAGAAAAGAACAAGCGTTGAGGAAACGTCTCGACGGTTACAGTCACCTGGCAAGTGGGGAAAGAAGCAGAGAGAGAAAGAGAGAAAAAGAGAAAGACAGACTGGCGAGCGTTCTACAACAGTACAACTTTCAGGACGGATTACGAAGGAGCTCAGTAAGTTCGCGAGCACCGAACGCGCGCGAGTCCATTCTCTCATGTATAGAAAATAACAAAGCAAACAAAAACATCGCATTAATCGGCAAAGTGATCGACGAACACGTAAAGCATCGACAGGTAAACAATATTTTGTATTGTTTTCACATCGCGTCATTGCAACATGCAACGCGTATTTGCGGATAAATTTCGCGCGACCAAACGATTTCAAAATGAAATTTCAAATTTTTCGACTAATTCACGCGATCTCTCGAAGTTTTTCTCTTTAGATATTGACGCATTTTTTTTTGTTAAAGTGAGAGCAGAATGTTGTCATTTGAGTTTAATGCTTCCATCGCGATCTTTTGTCAAATGACTACTTTAATTTTTGCTGTTTCTTGTTAACAAATCGAAATATTAACGCGTACACTTGCTATGTTTTATTATCATCGTGTTGCGAATCACATTTTTATTGCACTGCAATTTTCTAAACATAAGTGTTTTGATTCACTTTTTTAGTTTTCTAATTTGTAAATTGATGGAAAAGAGAAAACACACAGTTTTCTATTTTCTCCTCATTTTATCTCTGCGTTGTATATTTGTATTATTGCAATTTTCCCCATTATTTGCGGATGCATTCTCTACTTCTGTTTAACAATTATCTCTACGTGAGTGCACAAAAGTAGCCGCGTTTTATTTCAATATATCCTCAGTGAGACACACACAGGTCGTTGTTTGCTAAGTAAACTATCGTTACGCTAACAAATTCTAATAAAGAGCATGACGCAATTATATTACATGTGTGCGCGAAGCATTAACAAAGGCATGCGCCTTTTTTGGTCGATCAAGATTTACAAATACCATAAAAACTTGCGTTGTCATTTTAAAATGTTTTTTGTTGTAATGTTTATATTACATAACAAGATATAATATAACACAACTCTCAAATAATAACGTTTACACTTTTACTAATTTGTGAAATTCACCATTAATTTATGTTGTTTTATAATATAATTGTATAATATAATCGAATAAAAATATTTTAGAAAATTATTTTTGATTGAATGAAAACACGTTTTGTCTTGCGACAAAAATGTTAAAAAGAAAGCGACAAATTTTGGAAAAATCGTTTCAACACTCATACGATTAAAACAATATTGTAACAGCTTTATTTGTCGCGGCGCGATCTTGCTCATTCTTGTTAATTTAATTTCGTTCACGAAAAGAACGCGAGCTATTACCGCGCGCACGCACGACAATGTTACGACCGATTACACACAAATCCGATATTTGTGAATGAACTAAACTTTATATTAATTACATCTACAACATTGTGATTTTCGATTTTGCAATTACGTTAGCGATTTCAATTAATAAAAAAGATATCCGATTAATAAACATGTACGTCATATTTATATAAGTGGCCTAATTATATAGTGACAAGAATATGCATAGTCAAAAAAAGAAAAGTCAATAGATCATCTGTTAATATCTTCCTGTTGCCTTCGAAACATAATAACGCAGCCGCATATAAATTTCAGTTTATTAACGAGTTCAGTTTTATAATATCTTAACATATAAACAAAAATTTTGATAAATGCAATTAAAAAATTAAAGCGGTTAAATCAATAACTGTTTATGTCTTTGATGTCGTTATAGTAAAACAATGCGTGCGACACGCATGTAAATTTGCTTCAATTAATCTTAGACGTATTTATATAAAAAAAAAATGCACGCGCGTACGTGTTATTGATTTTAAATTTGCATTATGTCAAACAATTCTGAGAATCATTTAAATAAAGATCACAGTCAAAACAATTAAACGGGCGTTGTGTTCAAATTGATATATTGCAAAATTTTTATGAGTAGTTACAAAGCGTTAGCAGTCCATATAGTTTTTTTTTTTTTTTTTTTTTTTGGCAATCATTCCAAACACAGTAATCATTCCATTAGTGTTTCTTTTTTTATTGATTTTTTGAGTTTTATTGCCCAAAATATTTAGTCAAGTTTCGAATTTTTTTTATTACGTTTCAGCTTTGAATTCTTCAATCGTGAGTTAATGTTATCGCTGCATTTTCGCAACGACGTTTGCAAAATTTTAATACACACATCGAAATATTTCGAAAGATTTGAATTCTTTTGAAATAGAAGTAAAAGCAGTTACATGTTTCGGACCAGCATGTACGAAGATACATTTTGATCATCGCTCATGCACGATCATCTGTATTTATCACCACCATCATATAGTCTACGAATATCTGCATCTGAACAACAATCCGTTCAGATATTTGTCATCGACAAACCTCAAGATCTATTGACAAAGTTTTCTCGATAATAAAAAGAACTACTTCGGCAATTTGATATCGAGATACTTTTACTTCTCGAATTACAAAAAATTGGTTCACAATTTATTGAATCCGCCAATTGATTTGCCTTTCACTGATTTTCTCTTCTCTTCGCGCGATTTCTGCCCAACGATTTGCGTCGCTCATAACAGTAATTATGCGCGCGATAAAATAATAGACTGCAAGAGTGATTTTGCGAAAATTTGATTCCGTAGACAAAATGTAAGTCTTGAACACACGACGCGCGCTATTCCCGCGCGTAGTTATGACGATCGCAATACAAAGTTTAAAGATTGCGCCGTAAATTAAATTTATGCGATTTCCTTACCGCGTAAAACAATTTTAGGTAAAATCATCAATTGCTCAATCTCTATTTTTTTCTCTTTTGTTTTGTCTCTCGCCGATTGTTAACTTTCTATAAATTTCCTTGACATTTCAGCGCCTGACCATGAACGACTCCAAGTCCGAAATACAATCTTTTTACAAGGACAAAACTATTTTTATTACCGGAGCGTCTGGTTTCATGGGCAAGGTTCTCATGGAAAAGTTACTCTACCGCTGCTCCGATCTCGACAAAATGTACATACTCATACGGGGCAAGAAAGGTCGCACTTTCGACTTGCGGCTCGAGGATATATTCAACTTGCCCGTAAGAACATCATATACGCATTACACTGCATCTTGTTGTGTAAGATGACGGTGCGATACATCAAGACTTTTTGTAAATTCCGCACGACACGTGCATTAATCTATTTTTTGCAATTTTCCGCAACTTTTTAGACTAAAGAAACATTAATTTAAGATTTTATATATATATATATATATATATATATATATTATTTGATACATATAATTTACTTGCTTATTGTTTAATTTTAACACAAAAGCGCGCGAAAATATAAGAATTGTGATTATTAAAGGAGAAAGCAACATTTGCGAGTAAAATAAAAGTTACAGAAAATTATATTTCGTAAAATTTTAGCAATTAGATCTTTCGCTGTTTTTCCGCAGCTGTTTCAAAGACTATCGAAAGAGAAGCCTCATATGTTTAAGAAGGTGATACCACTGAACGGCGACATATTGTCAGATAATTTGGGTCTTACTGAGGAGCAGCGCGAGTGTCTGATAAACGAGGTGCACGTGACGTTTCATTGCGCGGCAAGTCTGAGATTGGAAGCAAAACTCAAGGATGCGATCGAGATGAACACGGTAAGATGTTATAAAAAGACGAAAAAATCGTGTTCATGTTGTTCTTTTTGATCAGAATTGCATGTATATACAATGGAACCAATAAATTTTTATTTGATAATTTCTACGTAACTTTTAGCTTTAAAATTTCAATATTTTCCGTGAAAAAAATGTGTATATTCGATTTGTTCTTCAAGATCGGTACGAAAAGGGTATTGGATTTGGCAAAGCAGATGAAGCGTTTGGTTTGTTTCATGCATCTTAGCACGGCTTTCTGTCACGTCGATCAGGAGGAACTTGGCGAATGTATTTTCGATCCTCCTCATGATCCTCACGAAATTATGAAGCTCGTTCAGTGGATGGACGAGGAAACTCTCGATCTTATCACGCCAAAGTAATTAATTAATACTTAAATGTTATTATTAATATATGTATTAGCTGATGTTATAAGATGCTAAAAATAGATAAAGATGATTGATGATTGATGATTAATAGGCAAGTATAAAATTGTATTTTTTGTTAGAATTTTAGGAATGCTTAGGAAATTGAAATTCACAACGTTAATTTTAGTTTACATTCAGAATAACGCAAGTATAAAAACGAAAAACGCATTTCAGTTTATAAATAAAAATAATATGCCAAGTATAATTATTTACAGTATATTTTTTCAATTATAGATTACTGCATCCGCATCCAAATTGTTACACGTACTCGAAACGTCTTGCTGAAACACTGGTGGCCAATGAATATCCTAATCTACCTTGTTGTATCGCTAGACCGGCTATCGGTAATAATTTCAATTACTGATTGCAATAATATTTCACAAAAGAAGACATAAAGAGAGAATCAATTCTAAAACCATCTCGCTGCGCGCAGTGTGTCCTTCGTATGAAGAACCTATGCCTGGATGGGTGGACAACCTGAACGGACCTACAGGATTGCTAGTTGGCGCGGGCAAAGGTGTTATCCGATCGATGTACTGCAAAGCCAATTACAACGCCGAAGTTATCCCGGTTGACTTCGCAATTAATGCTTTGATCGTAAATGCGTGGAAAGTCGCCACGCAAGAAAAGTACGTATTGTTGTTTTCATTTTGCATCGAATCGCATTTTGATGTTTTTGCATTGTTTCATAAATAATTTTATAAATGTTATCTGTTGTTAGAATGAAAACTATACCGACGTTCAACCTGACGCAAAACAATATAAAACAGATTACGTGGGGGGAGGTACTGGAGAAAGGCAGGGCAATTATTTACGATTATCCTTTCGAAGGACAGGTCTGGTATCCGGATGGAGATATACGTAGCAGCAAATTGATACACAATTTGTTCGTCTTTTTTTTCCACATTATCCCCGCATATCTAATCGACTTTCTGATGTTGATATTACGGCAAAAAAGATTGTACGTTTATTATATGTTTTTTTTATATTTTTCTGTCTCTTTCTCATTGTCAGAACTTTATTTTTGTTTCTTCTTTGTTTTGTGTCTTCGAACAGTATGGTCCGACTTCAGAAGCGAATTTCAGTCGGTCTCGAGATGCTGCAATATTTCACCACAAGAAACTGGGTGTTTCACAATCGGAATCTATATGTTACTCATAACTCAATGACGCCAACGGATCAAAAACTGTTTCCTGTCATAACTTTTGACGTGGATGTGAAGGAATACTTCAAGAACGTCATTCTCGGTACGCGGCAGTATTGTATGAAAGAGGATCTAAGCACTTTGCCGCAAGCACGTCGCCATCAAAAGATGTGAGTAGCTTATTTATCTTAATTAACGTCAATTAATCACGTCAATCGATGATCCGAATAAAATCCATTTGATCGCTCACGCAAGAAAGATACATGATCAAATAGATATTTAATTAAAACGATCAAATTTGATATTTTTGAAGTATCGAAAGAGAAATCAAACATGTTTTCGATTTTTAAATGAAATGAGTAATAGCGTGATGCAAAAATTTTAACATTATTTGGACTGTGTCTCTTGTTCAAACACATGCTTTCTCTTCGAACTATGCACACTTTTGTGTCTTCTCATTTTTTTTATTCCCACATTGTTTATGTGCGACGCGCGGCGTGTTGTTTTCAGAATGTACATCATCCACATCACGTCGATATATCTATTCTACTTCGGCGTGCTGTACTTTATCTATAACAGAAGTGACACTCTGCGATTCTTCCTGGATTACATCACCGAGTTAATGAAATCGCTGCCACTTATAGGCACACTGGTCGAGAAAGTGCATCTATGAGGTGCTCATTCAGCCTCCGTGATTTATTGCGCTATGCAGATGTATGTAATAATTTGCAGACGAGACGGTAATGATTCTTCTTCGTTGTTTGTTGAGAGTGACTTGTTCCAGATGAATCCTGTATAATTTATGTTAATTACGAGGTGGAAGGCAAATATTTCCTAATATATTCCCGATAACTGTCGATATTAGTTGTTATTTTGTCACGTAGAGGTTGTGGGCGTTTTCTCTCTAAAATCGAGCTTACACACTTTGGTTTTAGAAATCTTCAATAACTTTGCTCGAAAAATAAACATGTGCGTGACAATAAATATGACTTTATATGTTATGTGAGTCAACATTTGCTAGAATAGATTTAATACGTGTGTAGGAAGGAACACGTCTCTTTTTTCACACATCTCTGAGAGAAAGAGGGAGACGTGTGAAAACATTTATTGGATTTTACTAACTTTTTCTCGTAGCGTTAAGATATTCCTTCTACTTTAACATTTACATTGCCAATTGATTTAATATACTGTGAAATGAATGAAGATACATATATTTTATACAAACTAAAATTGATGAATAAAATTGTAGTTTATTGAAATAAAATTCTAGTTCAGATTATCGCCCATCAATCCTCAAAAAACTCCTCGTTGCAATTTTTTCTTTTAATATGTACATTTTATGTAATATTTTTCATCGAGATTGCTTGCGACACACACGGTTGATATCAATAATGATGGACTTGATTCTTTCGACACATCAACGTCCAATTCAATTTGATTCAACTTCCGCGGATACGACTCTCAGGTAGGTACTTCCGACTTCAATCGATAGGTTTTCTTAGAACGCAAAGAGATGTCGTCTTCGCAACTGCGCACACACACAGTACCGTATTTATATTTGTACAGGATCTTGTGCATACTCAGACCGTGTGAAAAATAATCAGACGTCGGACTAAGTATTGATGATAGTCCTTGACAACTGCACCTGACTTGCTAAATATTTATAAAATTATCATAGAGAGAAGAAAGAGAAAACAAGTAAGAGAGTTTGTGTTTCTCTCTTTAAAAGAAAAGAATCGACTTGAAATTTTATTTTCGTGCTGTGCAAAGAATCAAAATATCGCGCAAAAATAGTGTACTTTATACCTTCCTCTTGTAGAACGGCTACAAACAAAGTCCGACATTATGCAACGAAGCTGCTTTGCGCAAAGGTACGTTGGTAATATGTGATAACAAATGGTTGCCGTAGTTCTGGCATATGTGTAAAGTAAAATTTATGAATAGTCGATTATACACGGAAATTTACGAGCTCGTAAATGAACTTTATGATGAACACATACCGTGGGAAATTGCGTGCAGAAATTACAGAAGAGAAAAGTAGATTTGTACTGCTCGTTAAATTCCACCAAGTTGCAAAAGCAACAAGAACATTCTGCGATATTATCTGCGATTTTGCTTAATCGGAACAGAGTCGTCAAATTTACGTTTAAATGTTTTATTATTATTATTATTAAATTAAATTTTATTATTATTATTAGTATAGTATTAATAGTTAAATTTTATTATTATTATTATTATTATTCAAAACTTAATACATTGCACATATAGTATATTTTTCACGAGTTAATTTATGAAAGGATGGAAAGTACATAAATTGTAATAACCAGAAACGTAATATCCGACACTTCAAAGTAGGCGTAAGTTGTTCCTTTACCTACCACAAGTTGAAATGGCCAGAGTCCACTTTCTATTTCTTGCACGGACTTACTGAGCGTATAAGAAACATGTACGATCTCACGAAAGTGTATACACTGATGTCAGTTATAATTATATGTGTGAGTAAATTGAGTTGCTTAATGTGTTTCGATTTAAAATAACACATACACATGTACGAAACAATGTATATGTACGCAAATATATACATTATGTATTTATATACGTGTACATCATCACATGTTACGTGATGATTTATTCGAGAAATATGTGTGAAAGAGATTCAGAACGCTAAATTGCAAAATCTAAAACACGTGAAAAATCTGCGACGCGAAACTTTCTCGGAGTTGTCCAATTAAACAGGAAAATTGATCACAAATTAGTCAAAACAATCTCGATTAAAACTCAACGGCGGAGTCATTTAAAAGAACGAGAGAAAAGCAACAGTTGCTAGTTCCGTATAATATGGAGGGATGGCGCTGAGAAATTCCCAGCCAACCCCCGTTTCATTATTGATCCACCCCCGCGCGCGCGTTTCTTTCGTATAAGCAACCTCGCCGGCTGGTAGGTCGACGTACAGCACGAGATCTCATCTCCCTCGTTGCGTTCCGATCTTGTTTCGCTGTGACCGCATCGCAAATTATACTTATTTCAGCGAACCGCGTAGGCGCGGAGATCGACGAGAAGTCCCGAGGGATATCTTTTTACGCGGTTCTTGCTTTCACTATAAAGGGATGTCTCATCGGATGACTTGTCTTCAAAATTCCCTTAAACACAATCTTGTAAAATGTTACTTCGTACTTTTCCTTTACGTGAAAAGCCTTTTAAATTGAAAAAAATCTCGTCACGTATCGTGCCGTATTGCGAAGAGCGTAATTGGGGGATAGGCGTGATAAATGTAACAACGTTATCCGGGAGAGAAGTCCCGCGCGATTAAAACCTCGTGAAAAATGTAGATATCGGCCTTCTGAAAGAAAATCCGGAACCAAGGAAGTCTCAGAGGAACAAAAAAAACATGCTTAAATAAATAATATACTCGAAAAAGAAACAGGACGCTTCTTTGCGACAATTATCAGACAGTCGCATTGTCTGAGAAAAGAAGATGTCAAACTCAAGGATTCGAGATATCGAAATCCCGTTCTCTTGGGAAACCGAGATATCCAAGGTACTGAAAAATTTCCGGAGCTTGGAAACACAGGTTTTATACTCGCGATCTGTCAAACTTTTAACGCTTCAAAAAGCGAAGCTTGACAAATGCGACAAAACTTGCTTAAACCGATAGTTTTTGTGTGAAAAAATTGAGGACGTGACATTACATCCGTAAAAAATAACAACGCAGCAGCAAGTCGAGTTGCACGCGAATGCATTTTCTTTTATCTGAGATCGTCGTCTGAATTTTTCATTTGTTTTTCACATAATCGAGTTAAAAATAATTTATCAACATCGCTCAATCGCGATGATTGCGAACGAGAAAATTATCCGCAAAACCATCAGAATATATGTACGTAACTTTTTACACAAATTACGTTACTATTCGTTATTTCGATTTTTACTCGTGAAATTCGAGATGCAAATGAAGCAATCAAAATAGTTTCAAAAAAGGAATGACAAACCTCACGTATTTCACATGAAATTGTTTTGCGTTTGCAAATTTAAATTTCAATTCGGAAATTATTTTCACTTCGTGTTAAATCCATTGATACACGTGTTTGATCAAATAAATTACGTACTCAGTTCTTCCTATGAACAATCGTCTAACACGACCTCTTGACATTTATGTCGGCGCATTGCTTCGCTACTTTCTCGTGTGATATATTATACATCCGATTGAAAAACACTTTTCTGTAATTCTTTTACAAATGGTTCGTGTTTCTTACGGTAAACCTGGCTGAAGTAACCCCTCTGACCTTTCACATTTATATTTTCACATGTATCAAATGGAGAGAAAGCGCTACATGTAAATATATAGTGCACAATAAAAAAACATCAAATGAAATTTTAATCTTTCTTGCACTGTGTGCGGCGAAAAAATAGTTGGTGAAAAATTTCAGATCTATCTCAAATATTTAGATTTTTGCCATTACGATAAAAATATAGTTAATATAATTTGCAGTATGAGGCGGTCGATCGAGCACATATAATTAAAAAAAAGAGCAAATTGTTGGTTCGACAATCTCATGTGTGTGTGTGTCCTATATTTTTGTGATGTTTGTAAAGCAAAATATTTTCTCTTCGTATTTTCGTTTTTATTTTTTTACGCCACTTTCTTACTTTTTGCAGGAACATATTTGTAGAAGAATTGGATATAAGAAAAGTTAGATGAAGTTTTGTAGCTCTCTCTAAGCGTCTTTCACAATATTGAGGGAAAAGGATTATTATATGATATACGATATATCTATATTATACATCTCTTTGATCTGAAACATATTATTGAGGTTTCTGTCTATACTTAGAGGAATATGTGAAATATTTATTAGAATATTTTTATTTTAATTACACATTTTTTATGTTTTTACTAGTGTTAGGGGCGAATGGAACTACGTGAGTCTCTAAGATTATCAATAGTAGTTTTACTAGTGTTACATGTAACAATATTATCATTTGCAACACAAATATCTGTGTTGAATTACAGAAACATTCGAACCTCTTTCATTAAATTTTTCATTAAAAATTGTATTTTTGTGTAATTAGTTTTCATTATTGCAAAAATATTAGTTTTAGACATTACTCTATTTTCCCGCGTCCGCGTTAGTAATTCTCGCACCACTCGTGATGCGTCTCGAACCTACCTTGTTTTTCTCTCAATTTCCGCTTGGTTTTGCGCCAAGTCAGGAAAATCTCTCGCCGGGATGCACCTGTCGCTCGGGGCGATGATTCCAGATGAGCACGAGAGTTTGTACGTCACCCATTAATGACTCGTTCGCGTAACGTGACTGTTCCGAGCGGGTGGCGGCCGCCGCCACACGCATGCATCGAGGAGCGCATGCGCCGATATTTCGCGCACATCTCTTACACACGAGGGCGCGGGGTTGGTTTTGGTAAGGCGCGAACTCGCCGCGAGAGACGGAACCAGTTAACGGGTCAGCCTCCGGGAGGTGTGATCACGTCGCGCTTTTTACGCCGACGAAGTGACTGAAATCCGAAACACGTCTCAGCTCCCCGCGGTAGGACCCGCTGCTCCTCCCGCGCCTTGACCTAAGTCCTTGCTCGAGTCTTACCTGGTTCGATACCGCGCTCGTTGGAAACTAGGAGCTAGTCTCACGTCGGTATCCCGTCGTCCTGACGTGAGTGCGATTTTCCCTCCCTGACGAATATGAATGGCGCGAAAGCCGCATCGATGAATGAAGTGACCGATATCGTCTTAGCCACTCAGGAACCAGTACTCTATTGAGAATTGAATAATCTAACATTCTTCTCCTTCGGTGATTCTTGTAGTCGCAGCTCAAAAGAGAAGTCAGTATGTCACTCATCGTTATCGTGAAGAACTTTCAGGGTCTTAAATTTAAGGGCGAGAAGGTGGTGAAGATCGACTTTCGAGGTAACGCAAGTTTGTTATGTTTTGTTGTTGAAAAATCACGATATTGGTTTCTTTGTATCTTAATTTAAATTTAATTTTTTGGTTTTATTATTTCATTATATTTTATCTACTAATTACATATTTATCATAAAGCGTATAAGTAATCGTCGCATTTAAAAGTCCAAGAAAAAAACTCTGGAAACAGGGCCCGTTTTTTTTCTTTTTCTTGTTAGCACCGACGCGTTGATATCTTCGTGTCATCTTCGTCAATCGTTATCTCCAATCTATTCGATATCGCCGGCTCATTACGCGAATGCCATACATACATGAATGTATCGGGACACATTTACCACGTGCTTGTGGACGCACGTCTATCCGTAACATGTCCTTTGTCCAGCGCGCATTTGCGTTCAAGCGCGATTGATCGTGTGTCGTGGATTTGCGCTCTTCGATACACGAGAGACCGACTAACCAAATGATGATCCGGTCGATTAATTCGCCTAATTTTCGGTTTGACTGCTCGCAGTTACACATTCGGACATGCGCGCTATAATTGGCGAACGCGCGTCGGACAAATTTTTTTTTCAATAATCGATAATTTTCGGTAATGATAATTCTTTATTAATCACACATAAAAAGCACTCCGCAAGTTTAACTACGCGCCACAGTTTTATGAGCTCAAAAAACAAATTCGTACCGTGTGTTCCGGACTCTCGTCATCAAAGTAAATAAATTGATTATTTATTTTTACATAACAAAATCAAATAGAAATTAAAAATCTGCAAAGCGTTTGCAACACCTCGTATTTCGACGAATTTATCTGTTGTGTACACGAAATTTTTTTACGCAAGGGATCAAATTTTTGGCAGACTAAATTCTACAAAAAAAACGTTTTTTTTTTCAGTTAATATTGCTCAATTTACGAGTCTGTATAAATACCTGTAGGGAATTCAGATGCGAGCGTAGCGACAAAGACAACGCATGCCCTGCAACCTCAGTGCTACAGAGAGAGAGAGAGAGAGAGAGAACAACGTTTCATTTAATCATATCTGCCCCAGTTCAGATAGACACGCTATATCGAAGCGAGCAAGAGAGAGAGAGAAAGAGAGAGAATCTTTAATCATGCACAGTGCGTCGGCATCGCGTTGGTGGAAGATAGCGATACAATACCTGAATGTAACACGCAGGCATTTGGACGATAATAATGAATTTGCGTAATAATGAATTAGCTACAGACAAAAGATATTCTTGTATGCGAGGTCAGCGTTCAACCGTTTGTAATCCGCTTAATACACTAAGAGAATTTCCTTCGAAAACGATAATATTCCATATTTGGTTTTTGCCAGATTATTATCTGCGGCAGTTTAGGATTATGAATACATGACCGAACACGTATATATTTACCTGTGTAATTATAATCGCGTACAAATGTCGGTTAATTCCAACGCCAACACGCCGACAATTTTAGTTAGAATTTAACGTGAAATTTTTGTTTTCCTGGAAAATTGACAATCGAACGCAAGGCAAACTCTTTCCATATCTGTGAAAATTAATCCTGCGGTTTTAGTATTTCGAAATAAAACGAGAGATATCTCTCTGTGTGTGTGCGCGCGCGCATATATATACATAAAGTACAAATAAAATATTTCTGTTCAATTAGTTAAACGAGAGAAGGAATCGTTATGAAGTTAAAACAAAAATAGTAAAAGATTTTCTGAATGTGCGGTTTTTCTAACAAAATAAAATAGATACATTAAAATAGAGACACTTTAATCTCCGCATGTTTTCTTGACTTGAAATAAGTAACATTTAATTAAACACTATACACAATGAAACGCGGACAGAATTTCTGCAGAGTTCGAGCTGTATATCTCGTACAACTATTTATATTAAATTAAAATCTGTTTACTTGTTCGTGTAAATAATAATTATTTTTGTTATAAATATGTTAATTGAATGTCGTTGCCACTCTCTCTCTCTCTCTCTCTCTCTCTCTCTCTCTCTCTCTCTCTCTCTCTCTCTCTCTCTCTCTCTCTCTCTTTTAATAACATAATAGCGTTTTCACAGATTTTGATAAATAATTTAAGCTTTTTTTCTGTATAGGATACAATATGTTACAAATGGATAATTACATAACAGAATAGTATAACGTTAATTAATGTGATTAATACGCTATTTGCCTTGTTATGTGTATTTCTCTCTCTACAAAACGCTTTGGTCTAATATAGGTTTGCCCATTGTGTCAAATCGATTCCTATCAAAGCAAATTACATGATACACAGAGTACGCAACGGGAGAGACAGATGTTAAATGTAAAACAAAATGCAGGAGTTGAATGCGGCTTTGTACGGTTTTGCTTTGTGAAATAACAGTGGCGGTTTTGAGCTTAACTCAAATATCGGCCTTTCTCTTTCTTTTAGCCATCGTGTTTCATATTACGCGTTTTAACGCAAATGACAACTAACGTTTTGCTCAACTTTTCCGTTATTTCGCAACGTATGTGTGTACGCGATCGAAAAAATATGAGTGCGCAGTTAAGTAAAGTATAATTTAATTCGCTGCCTATTGTTACGCGACAATAAACGCGACATAATAAAGTCGTTCGGAGCTCGCTTTTATACGTCACGAAATTAATTAATTGACATTAATTACGAAAATTGTTATGACAAACAACAATTTGCATTTTTGTCGCATCGTTCAAATAATGTAATAACGTCGAATTGTGGTGTGATTTTCCACATGCGTGGAAAATGGTTTTGCGAGCGTACAACTAGAGAGATGTTAAACACACATCTCGGGTAGGGTGATTATTAAAAATACCATTTTATCGCGGCGATGCAAATGTGCAAACGCGCGGCGGCACTTCGTGAAGTCTCTCGTATCTACATTACAATCGTCGTCGCGCGACCTGTTATTATTTTCAGAACAAGCGCGAACCCTTCTCGCGGCGGTTCTAGCCTGAGCAATTTGCAAACTTGGAATTCTCAAAGGGCAAATCGATATTTGCATTCGTTCGTTTTGCATTCGTTATGCAAACATAACTCAATATTCATGCGCGCTCGCGATCGGGATCGGTGATCCTTTTGTTTTTCGCGCTTCTGCATAATGGAATTTTCACGGCACGCTCGGCAACGAAAACAACAATTCAACTTGTAGCCGCACACAGTCGTCAATATATACGATCGCCGTCGGCATTTTCCGCTTATTTTGCATAAAATCATACGTGTAGATGTAGATAAAACACCACCGGCAAAGCTGACGCAAATGAATTTATAATAATCGCAACGCAAACACTACGTCATAATTGTTGCTGACTATACATTTAATTTTTTTTTATTAAGTTGACTCAAGGTAAGATTGGAACAATGAAAACATTTTGCGTGGTGACTTGTAAAATTGCAATATTCGCTTGCAAAGAAGTTCTTTTTTTTTTTTTTTTCGCAAGGTTTACAGACCATACATTGCCCATTGACCATGTCATCGAGGGAAATCGGCTGCGCGCGTTTTGCTTGCATTGAACAAGATTGACATTCATAGAAAAAAGTTGTAAAGAGCGAAAAAAAAGAAAAGTGCTGCCACGCGCGAGCGAGTAGGTATATCGCAAAACCGACGGAGATTTCATTGCGAGTTAGTAAACGAACGTTTGTGCGCGCACTTTGAATGCGTATATACATATGTAGTGTGTACGTGCGGCCGCGTGCGACTGACTATAAAACGATCTTATCTACTGCGCGGAACTTTCTATCGCCGGAGCTTTCCGCCCGGTCAACCGATAACAATTTCGTTATCTCGTTGGTCGAACCGCGAGGCGACTGAAATCAGGCTACGTACACCGGCTTTTATTGTCACAATAAATAAGAGAACACAATTAACACACATTATTGCATTATTTATCTTCGCGAAAGATAAATAAGTCGCGATGAGCGACGAGACAAATGTAATTATTCTTTCTGCGATGTACACGACACATGATCGATATTAAAAACTTAGCGTAAATCAGGAGTTTTTATCGCGTGTATTTATTTTGAAATAGCATTCGTTATACAAATTAAATTATTTTTTATCGTTTTTGCTCGAAATGTTTGCCGTGATGGTTTTTTTAACGGCAAATATACATGTATATGGCATATAATACACACATATGTGACTCATCTCACGCAAAAAAAGTCCGGTCGTTTTATTTCAATAAATCTGTCGTAGAAAATTGTGAAACTTTAATAACAAAATAAAATAACCGCACGAAAAACGAACATCGTTGCTTCGAAGCAGCTCGCAATAAAGTTTCTTCCGTTGTAGAAAATCGGGTGGTCAAATAAGGTGGGTGACTATTCGCGGAGATATCTTTCAAATTTTGCAAAATTGTTGCTCAAGTGTTTAATTAATTCTATTATATATCTGCGACGTACATTGCGATATCTCGAAGCGATTGAATTGCGTTTTGGTCTCGCGAGAATTCTGCAATTGCGAAAGTAGAAACAGTAGGAAATTTATTGTTGTCGAGGAATAAAAAGGTACTTTTTTTTGCGTTAAAACTTACTGGAGAGGCGTACCTCTATTCTGTACGACGCACTAAAGTTGAACACTCAGTACACGTTATACACTTTTTACGCTTTTATGAGTGCAGCCGCGTTGTTTAATACACAAAGCCGAAATTTAATTTTTACTTGTCTCGAAGTGCGCATTTACGCGTATATTATTCAACTCGCAAAAAATTAGCGAACTGATGAGAATCCGTTTATGTGTATAAATATTGTCACACACACACACACGTATATACATATATATATATATATATATATATNATATATATATGTATGTATGTATGTATGTATGTATGTATGTATGTATGTATGTATGTATGTATGTATGTATGTATGTATGTATGTATGTATACATATAAACGCGCGACATCGAGATAAACCGCAATTTCCTGCGTTCGTGTGTTTTTAAACTTCTTTCACAGTTCATATGTAGATTTTACGTCACGATATTTATATACGTACATGTATAAAATGGAAAAAATATTGAAATTTAAAACACGTACATATTTGACGAATTTTATGTAGCGTGTATATATAAACGCTAGTCTTTTGAATGTAGCCGACTTTTTTTAGCTGAAAATGTGATTTACGGTATAATAATAATATTTTAATTTCTGTGTTTTGTAAGAGATTTTTGCATATTAATTTTAGAGGGAATGTAATAGTATTCGAAAGGTGAAGTATATTTGTATATATACATATGTATAAATATTCCTTCACATTACGTAAACTCTTCGCTTTTTTTTGTCTGTTGCAGAAGTGTCGCATTATTCGACGACTCTCGAGGACAACGGGGACTTTATTGAGGTGGAGCAGGTAAAAGGAAAAAAACAACAAAAAAAAACTTCTTTTCTCTTTTGTAAAACATTTGGTGTCTCTTTTACTTTCTTTTTATCTTTTCGGAAAAGTAGATCTCCGCAATAAGTCACACAAAAATCTCGGAAATATCCACGCTCGTATCCGCATGGGATTAAGTTTGCGCTTCAATAAAGCGTGAGTTGGGCGCGACCGGCGAACAAAATCGCGTTTAACATGGAGAAAGATCATCTTGTGGTTTTCGCAAAACTTGATCCAATTTCCGCCGGGAAATTCTTTGCTATTATAACTTAACTCCTTCCGTCTTCTTTTGTGCACAAAAGCTTACTTAGCATGTACCTCGCTTTGCGAATAATCTTGTGTTCTTAAATGCCGAGGGAAGAACAGAAGAATCTTACACAGATTTGCAAATCTACTAATATTCTTTCATAAACTAATACAAAGGCGAGTAATTGAAAAAACGATGAGCATTTATTAAAACATAAAGATTTTTTGTTTCAGTTTAAATAATTTTACTACGTTCAATTTAAAACATTTATCTTTTACTTTTAACTTTGAAAAAATTTATTCTAAAGTTAGATACAGCGTGAAGCTTGTTATTATCATTGATTGTTGTTACGCGTTGCACGTCGGAAAATATTTCAAGCGTAAAATATTTCGAGAGTATTCTCGTCTCAACTCTATAATTAAACAGATATATATTTTTCCCGTGTAAATGATTTCCTATTATACGTGACGACGTGATCGTCGCGATAGTTGTCTCTCGAGTGCTGTTAGCAGCTGGAATATTGAATTATCGGAGTGTCAATGTCCTGTTACGTGCGCAATTGTGAACGTCACGGTAATAAATGCGCCTGTACTCAGGAAAATACTGATGCGAGTTACATTGTTTCGCGCTAACAGATGTTCGATATCTCTCGCGAACATTGGTGATGAATAAATTAAACGAAGGACGAGTATTCTTATTCCGCCAAGTCGTTATTGCTGTAAATTCGTTTGTTTATGCAAATACCGATTATCAATAATACGGAAAGCGATGACGCGAGTAAAATCCGAAAATTTTCGAGCAAAATCAATCGCGAGCTTAAAAGTTCGTTAAAAAATACATAACTTGATGGAAACGTTTTTCATTTCTCGTTGGTGGTAACCAACGCTAATCCCGGAAAGTTCGATGCGTCTCTTTCACGATAAGCTTTCCTCCCTCGCATATTTCTGCGAGAGAGCTTTATCGGAAATCTTCTTCCCTCCAAAAGTTTTCTAATTTGCATCGCATTATCCTCGCGTTGTAAATTACTTAATAGCCGAGAGTTTCGCGGAGAATCGAAAATTAGATTGGATTTGTTGTTCGAGTTTATACAAAAAACAGTGTGTGTGACGCACGCACGATAATTCCCGTACTCGCGCGAGAGAGAAGCGGATTTTATTTTAACCCGCTCTCGAGTGTGAACGATGTCACCCCCGGCAATTTATTTCATTCAGGTTTTATGTCACGGTGAGGTGAGAATGCGCCTGATGGCGGAATCGATTGACAAACGTATATACTTGTCGTCATCGAGAACGATTACGGCACACGTAACTATTTTCGCGATCAAAATTCTACGATATATGATATCAAGAAGCACGGTAGTGTCTCTTACACAAAATTCACGCGATTGAGAAATGGAATGAAGATGTCTGTTTGTTTCTCTGTGTATTAGGCGAGTACAGTGACATTTCAATCCGGTTTTTAAAGACACATGACTAAAGTAAAGTCACGTAATTTTAGTCACGTGTTTATCATTTACTCGCGAGACGTCACTTTCCTCCCAAGTCTCGTAAACATCCAGCGAAGAGTAATTTCTCGAAATCATATTCTGTTACATGTAACTTTTCGATATCCAGTCGGAAAGATTTTTATCTTTTTTTTTCTTTTTCTAATTACTTTCAAGAGAAGAGAAAAAAATAAGTCGCGCTCAAATATAGTCGTGAGAGAAAATACGGATCTCTAATATGTCCAGCGAGCGTATGTGTGGAAAATAGCGAATTCTACCTGTGAAAAATACAAACAGACTGACTGACCTAGTTACAGCGTCGCGATCGCGCGTGGGATTATACGGAGACTATTTAATAAGTATCGAAAGCTCAATTTGATGACGTCAGCGCGAACCAATCCATTACGACGTTTCCGTCGCGTTAGATAGTCTGTAGTTTGACAGCGGGCTGTCTAACACAACCTCTCACAAACGGGGGGGAAAAGGATGAGTCTCTTGTAAACCGCGATCCGCGGCGGAAATAGATATGTTCCGCAATATTTCTGATAGATCGGTACGACGCGCGTGGATACCACGTTGTAACTAAATAAAGGAAATTCAAATTAAATTGCAAAAGTTATATACGGCGCGGCCGTAAAATTCCTACGAGGCTGCGATCTTACAAATCCTTTCACTATAACTGGAAGAATATCGCAGGAAGAAAATCGTGCCGATTTTTTTATTTGGTTTGTCTATCTTGTTTATTGTCTTCGAAAGCGAGGCGTTGGGGGAAAACAATGCGCGCAATTTTCCGCGCGAAATATTGACTGAAAGAATTTGAAGCCTGTGAAATGGAATATCCGGTCTTTGAAACGAGAAATTGGTTCGGCATTTTTTGAATTTCTCTCTCCTATTTTCAACGAGCTGACGCGCGCGTAACTGTGTAAAACGTAGGTACGTACCTACATTCGCGTGTAACGCGAATCGATCTTTTGTTTGTTTTTATTAAATCTCAATTTTCTGATTAAAAGAGAATTAAAATTACGATCGACCGAGAACTTATTGACGGTACAAAATATTATCCCAGATTCCGCGGGACTTCCCCCACAGCCTTTTTCCCGCTTCCATAGAAAACCCCATAAACTTTCTCCGCGCTCGTTCTTCATAATCCTTGTCGATTCACGTTTATTCTCGTCTATTTTTTGCCGGGATAAAAACGGAGCATTAAATTCAAAAGAGGACTGAGGAACAGAGAAAGACAACGAGCGATAAACTTACCTGTTTTATTAAAAATCTTGAAGTTGCGTCTCGCGTTTCTCGAGCGTAAATAATAGATTGCTTTTATCATGTGAAGGATCTTTGGAGCGTCTTCGATATACTTAGATTTTCTTTCTGCGAATATCACGCGATTTTTTCGCAGGCAGACTTTGTCGCGCCTCTTCGATCGATTTCAGTCAGTGTGTTTGTACACACATGTCATCATTTTTAACGCTTACGTGTGGTATGCCATTTCTTTCATGTGTTTTCTCATACGTGCGCGCGGGGCCGATACGCGCGTGCATGCTGCACGCTCGCACAAATGTGATTTGTATTGCTGAATTTGATGACGCTCACCGGCGACGTAATCAACTTTCGCCGAGAAAACATTTTTTTTCGACGCATCGGCTACGAGAGAATCTTTTCTCGTTCTCGAAAATGTTTTAGCTTTTCGATTGCAAATTTTTTTCAAAAACATCCGCAAGAGATGTGCTTTAATTCATTCCTGATTTCAAGCTCAGAAGTTTAACTTTGCGAAACGAACGTCTGTCGATCGATCCTCCGACGGTGTAGAACCGAGTATCCGTAAATCTGATTTCTGTCAATTTCGCGAAGCGGATCTTCCATTCAATTGTCTTTTTTTTTTTTTGATGAAACGAAACGAGCTAGATGTCTTCTTTCGAAATGCGCATTCGCGGATGCAATTTAATGTGATTTATCTTTGGCGCTTTCAGAGCTTCACGTGGAATCTGGGGAGACCGGTGGACGAGGCGGAGGTACTGCAATTGGCTGTCGTTTCGCGTGGCGTTCTGAGGAACGAAAAAGTCGCGGCGAGGTACGGACTGGTGTTGCAGACGGTGGTGCGCGAGGGCAGGATCCTGGTCTCGGACTCGCTGGTCGACCTCAATAACAAGCCGCTTCCGGTACGTGTATATCGAGAGCGAACAGTCGAATACGTAATACGCACGATATCTCCGATATTGGATACGTTACTACATGCGTCCGCATTCAGATGGAGCACGTCTACTGCGTCGCTGGCGAGAAGTGCGAGATATTTTTTAATATATTTTTGCTACAGAAAGAAGTGCGTTCCTTTTCGTCCTGTTGCTATCATCCGGAGAAGGAATTTCCAATAACACAGTCGGAAATAACTTCGAACGATATATGGATCTCGAGTTCAATCATCATTCCTGCTTGATTTATATTTTTATCGCGTAAATATTGGTTGCGTATTGCGTACAAAGATAATATTTTTCAGATTCTTTTATTAGATAAATATTGGTTTCGTTTAAAAATAGAATCTTCGAAGACCAATTAAACAAAACATATCAAGTTAATTTCCACAATTTTCACGATGACTTTAATGTGCCGCGTTTTTGTGAAGAGAATGAAAAAGCGTCACGATGAAATGGTTAAATATCTCTCTTTTGTGTTTTTCGAAATTGTTCCTTCAAAAGGTAGCATGACGTATACGTTAACCATTCCCGTGACTCAAATACATCTTTTTTTACTTCCCGCGGAGTGTTAAGTTACATTTTTCAAATAACTTCACTCGACGAACATTGCAAGCGATATTCTTCGTCCCGGATTTTTCATTCGGTTTTATTCATTTTTTTTTTTTTTTTTTTTATCTCAGCATTATACCTCACTGTCATCGCATATACGCGATCTCGAACGTGCGTGGCATGAAAAACGAAAAAGATATTTTTCATCTTTTATTTTTTAAGCCGAACTCTCGTTGAATTTTTGATCATCGATCCGCTCCATTAATACTTTGCAACGTGTTGCAGGCGATGGTGTGTTTCGAAATTCGCTACAATCCACCGGACGGAAGTTGCAGCTCGTACGCGCCTTCAGAAATAATGGAGGACGAGCAACAGATGCTAATCGATATCGAGCAGAACATTGCGAATCTCGAGAAAAGTCTCGAGCAGGCAAAAGGCACAAGTGGTGGGAAAAGAAGAGGTTCCTGGCACACTCCCGAGAAAACGTCGAAGAAGAGCTTTTTACCGAGAGGCACTTCCATGTCGGTCGGCGAAAAATCACCCGACGCCCGGAAACGGTAAGCAACGCGCGTAAAATATATTACACTTTAGTTTCTTCGTTTCAAGAAATAAGTTTTCAAACTCGAGAATGTATCATTTTTCTAACTTTGATATCAACAATCTCGCGGAAATGCTGTTATTATCTGCACTTTTAAAATTACATTCTTTTCTCACGAGCGATTCTTCTCGACATTCGAAAAGATATTAATAAAAGATATTAATAAAAAGAAAACTCACAAAAATTTAATAGATGCAAGAAACCGACTCAAACAAATTGTTTCAAGAAAAAGTGAGGTTCTTCGAACGTTTAAACTTCACAAAACAATATTGAAACGTTATTGTACTTCGTTTGTACTTTAATAACATTTATATTAACGCTTAAACTTTCATCATTTCCATAATATCGAGGGCATCAAAGGATATTACTTATTCATTTGATCAAAAATTATGCTGATGCGATCTAGACATTTTACATCGTACTTATACTATTTCGCAATAACATCGTTAAGAGAGTGAGAGATACGATAACGTTAGTTTTTCTCTATATATCAAAGTCTCTCTTGTATTTTGCGATTAATACAGAATTTAATTATTTAGTTTTGTCGCTCACGCGCTCCGTATTATTTGCCTCGTAATTGCGTGTGCTTCGATGAACATCACGAAATTACGTTTCGTTGTTCGTAACAACAAGGGTTGATAATATATTTTGGTTAAATATTTACTGCAAAATTCACAGTTTTATCATTCTGTCGTGCGTTATAACACGGGAGATATGCACGTTGTCGACGGAATTTTGCGTTAAAAAATTACATAGAATGCTGTAAATTCTATTCAAAATAGGTGTAAAATTATCATTGAATTAACTAGCATATTACGTTAACGAATAAACGATGGGAGAAAGAGCACGTGTGCGCAAATTTGCGTGGTCTATTTTCTTAATCCTTAACGATATAAGTTTGAATGTGCAAGCTCGACTTTTAAAGAAATTAGTTCCGCACCGACTGTTATACGTAGACCGTTGAACATACATTACTTAATAATGGTCGCTGTTGCAGCTTTCCGCTTTTATTACCGCTCCAATAGAAACGGGATAATTGCAAATAAGTGAAAATTGAAATTTGCACTACGGTGGTTCGCGTAAATGAAGTAAAATCGTACAAACAACAAATGCAACGATAAATGAAAGTTTTCATTATTCAATATCTGTAATAGAAATAAAAATCGAAAATTTGATGAAAATTTTGCGTCTCTTTCAGCGGAGCAATAATTGAAAAGCGAAAATTATTGAAACCAACAAATTACATAAAAGCTACCTCGGATGTTCTCTTTTCGTCGCGTTTTCGTTTTACATTAAGTATAGATTCACAGACGGAGAAGGAAAGCTCCTGCTTCATGCAACACTTAAGCGGACGAATATTTTCACATGTCTTCAAGCTCCGATATTATACAAGAGCGCAAATGCGCTTCTCGTATTTATTTTTATGGGAGCGTTCTAACACGCCGCAATGCATCTTTATTGCCTTTGCAAGTGTGAGAGAGATGCGAATATAAATATTTTATATTTAAGTGCATAAACCGCTCATATTTTCCATTTTATTCGAGTTTGAGAAAGAGAAAGAAAGAACGAAGAACTTTATTCGAGAAATTCGTACTTACGAGAGTTTGGCACGCGCGTGTTGTTTTTGCGGAATATGTTCGCAAAAAATAAGAACATACAGCGCGTGTCTCATTATCGTCGCTAACATTTATCTGCTCATCATTATCGAAGGCTGACACAAAGAGGCTCTTTGTTACAATCCGCGTTCAATAGCGTCTACCACGTTTATTTTCCCTCGCCTCATTCTGGTACACGAAAAAAGTAAAAGTAGAGCGTTCAGGAAGTTCGCTTCTCACGTTTTCTTTTTGCGGAACATTTATATCCGGCGACGTGTGTACGGGCGTACGTCGTTTACTTTTTACCGTGTACAGTTAGTCACGTGTGCACACGCAACAGTGTCGCGTGTATATTTTTCGCTTCATTCAAGTTCGAGATTTCGACGGAATGAATGAGTAACGTAATTAATTGATCAAAGCTACTCCTCCCTTATTGACCGAAGGTGAGTCTCGCTCCGGCACGGCACACACTCGAACGCGTTAATGGCCAGCTTCCGACGTCATTAACGTGTTACGACCGTCGCGTTATCGAGACGAAAAAAGATCGTCTGAGGGTGACAGAGCGTGTTCTTATTCTCAGCGATGCCAGTGATGCCGACGGTGTTGTTAAAGTTCGTTAACGCTGTGAACTTTTCCCGAGAAGGTCAGAACAAACCAAAAAAAAAAAAAAAAGACGCGAAGTACAGCGAAACTATATAACAAAAGATAATACACAGTTGACGGTAATTTCGCTTTTATTCGCGGCGACATTACAGAACTTTAAGCGAGTAAAAAAACGAGTAGTCGAGATTGAAACGACGGCTCGTAAAGTATAATTGCGCGATTTGACTCGCGAGAAGTGAAAATGAAGTGATAAAATTTATCAGAGAATAATTACTACGAGAAAGATGGAGAAAATAAATACACAGAAACGTCTTCATCAAAATAAATTTCAATCTTCGGCGTATCAAGCAATTATTTTCTCTTCTGCAACTTGATCTACAAGTTAATCTGCAATTAAGATACTTAAGAAACATTCGCAACATTGCCAATAAATGAAGATCTCGATTGTCTGCTTTGCTCTCTCCTTTCTCTTTTTCTCTCAAGAGAGAAAACAAATCTACAGCAATTCAGAAAAACTACTTTTTACGTTTTGCGAAGATCTTGTCGAGTATAATAATTTCGCAACGTGAGTGAACTTTTGTCGCGAAGCTTGTACCTCGTTGCTATTAACTACCGGAAGAAGTCTTTCTCTCGAGAGACAAGAGGAGGAAAATGTCATTCGTATTGTTTTATATACTCGGCTACGTATTAGGATCTTATTCCGGACCGACGAGAAAAAAGGTTCTTCTTTTTATATCGCGCGAGCTATTATTCTTTAACAGAGTAAATTCTCTTGAGAGTGGCACCGAGTGTAATTTCTGTCGCCGCCTTTCTCGACGCCGAAGACGTGATCGAACTTAACCCTACGGTTTTCCCGTAAGCTGTACGTGTGACGACACGCGCTCTCACCCCTTCCGTTTGCAAAATCGCCCACATTCGCGACGGTATATTATAATCAATAGACCGAGATGCAGACCGGATTTGGCACGTCGCAGGAGCGAGAACGGTATCCTCGTCAATTTTGTTTCAGATAATCGGCCATTTGTTTTTGCCTTCGATGACAAATGAACTAACAGCATGAAGATGACAAAAAAATAAGGAGTCTAGTTTGAGAATTTAAAGAATTTTTTTTAGTTACACAAAACGGAAAGATAATTAATTAATACAGAAAAAACATTTAACATAAATTTTTTAAACAATTGTGACTTAAGACTCGTGAAATTACCAACAAGATATGTATAAGGCTTTACGAGCTATTCTCAAGATGTTTTGAGTAGAAACTTGTACGTGTATATATATACATACACATGTAACAAATTTCAACTTGTAAATTTTTACACGTGAGTGTTTTTTGAGTTGAAAACTCAATTCTTAAAATCATACGGGATGCCGGATTTGCATCTCACATATGACAGACTCCGGATACCCCCCTAACTAATTTTAAAATTTTGCGAAAAAAACTCCTCGGCCAGGAGTCGAACCTATTTAACATAAATTTTTCGCACATAAACATTTATCTGAATATATATTTGTTTTACTTTCTTTAATAATATTTAATAATATATTAAAAATGAGTAAATGCTTTTGAGAGAAAACTGCTTTTCCCGAAACTTATATTTGTTCTTACAATTCTTTGCTAGAAAGAAGCTTTCAACTCAATATGGTCTCAATGTCCGAGTATATTTCACTTTGCCATTGTGTTTACGATCACGAGATTGGGGTTTAGAGAAATGGCGTCTCATCGGGGGCGAGATTGCCGACGTCCTCGAGTGTGTAAGAAACTCGACCGGAATGATGTGAGCATGAGATGCTCGGGTAAGCAGCTTTCCCCAGATTCCGTCCGGGAAAAGTGAGAAATTATATATTTACCTTTTTGGCGGAGCGTATGCGGAATACATTAAAATTAAAACAAATTTATTGAGCGTAATTAAATGTCCGAGCTTCGATAAACGGATTTGGGATGCTATTCCGTTAGCTTTCCTTCTCAAATCCCAATACATTTAAAGATACATAACAGCGAGAAAAAAAAGAAAGAAACAAAACTCTTTTTGTGAGACTTAAAAATCCACTAAGTCAGTTGATTAAATCAGCGAGAAAATATCTTTTCACGTGTGCAAAAATGTAGAAGGAGTTTTTTCGTTATATTTTAAATTAATTTGGGGAGGTATTCGGGGTCCTTCATATACGAGATGCAAATAGCATCCTATATGATTTGAAGAATTGAAATTTCAATTCAATTCAAAAAACTCACTTGTAAAAATTTACTTGTGAACGTATATATATTTATATACACATGCAAATTTCCGCACAAAAATCCTGCGATCGACTCATATAACTTTATATATATTTTTTTAAAAATGTAGAAGTTTTGCGACTTATAACAAAAAGTAGATTTTTGACAAAGTTTGTTTGCTGAGTGTGTATCGATTTCCTTTAGCACCACCACGCTGAAGAGCATGCGATCCTTTCTGAAATTGGGAAAGCAGAGACCGCCGCGTACCCGATCCTGCGATAGCGGCTCGGAAACGAGGGAACTTCTTGACAGGCGGGATTCCAGCTGTCCGACTTCGAACGAACCGTCACGAACGAATTCTATGACTTCTCTCGAAACAAATGCTTCTGATAACGACAGTCAACTGAGTGCCAAAGATCCCGAACAAGAGGAGACGGTCGTGAAATCGGCCAAGAGACCGAAACCTAAGGTTGTACCCGTTACGATGATTGTTATTCTATATATTATTTACGTTGCACGCGTAAATAAAACGCTAAATATTAGCAGAATCTGTACAATTCATAAATTCGTCATATTTAATATTATCGAAAAAATGAAAATTTAAAATTTGCAATTTACTTTTTTATTTTTTTAATAATACTGTATCTTTATATTTGTGAATTTATGATATTTTTTTAAGATACCGTGATTTTATGAGTAATTATTGTCATTCTTAAAAAAAGAAAAGTTTTCAATTTTCCTGCGCAGAAATTTCGAAGAGATACGTTTCTGAAACTTGAATTGGAAATGTTCGCGAAGAGGGAGACCGTAATTTCTCGAGGAAATGAAATGATTTCTAAATGTCAGAGCGAATCGCATTAAACGTTTACGATAATACTGACGTGGCAATCACGTATAAATGATGGCGCAATTGTCCTTTAATGAGATTGAGATCGATCAGCTGAGAAAAGAGGGCAAATGCAATATAAATTGCGAGTCAAACAAGGAGAGACAATAACAGAAGTTTTGCTTGAATTTGTTGTTGTTTTTGTTTTTGTTTTTTCATTGCGAGCAACTTTGACATTACACGTTTGTATATTTTTGGTAGTTTTTTATTTTTTTTATCTTATTTTAGCGTATAATCTTCGACTCATGTATACGTGTAATATATGTGCGATATTTATTTCTCAATTATTTGCAGCACGCATCAAATATCTCATTACGTTAATTGCATTATACGCGTAGCTCGATATATACGCGCTCCTTCTAAGTGCCGAATCGAAAGAGAATATAAATATGTATACGCTTTGTGAAAATACTTGAAGATAATGGAAGTGCACTCTCTAAGCGATGCTTTTCTCTTCTGTTTGCCGTATTACACGGCTTATGGCTCTTCTTTTTAGATTTAAGGGCGTGGCTTCCACACGCGTGGCGCTTTATATTCTCTCTCTTTCTCTTTGTCTCTCTCTCTTTCGCGTTACGTTAAAACGCAAGTTTTTTACTTGAATCAGATTGAATTGCGAACTTTTCACGTTTTGCAGACGGGCGACACCGGGCAAAGTGCGCTAAAAGCTCAGGATTATCAGGTATGCGTTACAATCATCGAGGCGAGGCAGCTCGCCGGCCTCAACATGGATCCGGTGGTTTGCGTGCAGGTCGGAGATCAGCGCAAGTACACAAGCGTCAAGGAATCCACGAATTGTCCGTATTATAACGAAGTGAGAATTATGAACATTTCCGTGCGCCTCTTTAAATAACGATCTGGCGAATATCACATCGCGCGAATAAAACTTTCTTATGTTATTAAAAATTGTTTAAAAGAGTATAATCATATTATGTTACAGAAAGAGTGTTATATATTATTAACAATATATTTATTACTTATTATATTACACTGATATTTTATTGTATTTTTTATACATGTAATTGATATATCACACTGTTTATAATTACAGTATTTTGTCTTCGACTTCCACATGCCGCCCGTCATGCTGTTCGACAAAATCATCACATTGTCGGTAAGTTTATTTGCATGTGCGCATTAATTTTTGCCGTAACCAATAAAAAAAAAAATTTATCCGTTCATCGGTGTGTAACATACAAAACGCAATTAATTTCTCGTTCGATTTCACTATGTTATACAAATTTGTACTTCGCTCGCGCGAATAATTACCACTCGATGGATATTCAGTTGAGAGTATCGGAAATCGATCGTTGAAGGAGACTCGAGAGCAGATACATTTCAATGCAAATTGTTTCTTAGACGAGTGTCTGGTACTTAATGCTCGAGATGCGAATGAAAGAGAAAGAGAAAGAAAGAGGATAAGAAAAAGATAGCTCAAACAGCACGTCTTTTAACAATTACGCAGGTGCAGCAATCGCGGAATCTCTTGCGCGCTAATCTAACACTGGGCATCTTTAAGTTAGACATCGCGACGGTATGGGCACAACCAGGTACAAGGTTTTTACATTGTCCACAGAGAACAAATGGGTTTTAACGCTCGATGTACACTCGAGAGTTTTTTACGCGGTCGCGGTAAATCTGAGGAGAAAAAAATGGCACAATCCCGCGCGATTTAATTACAAATTAAAATTATTCTGTCGTTAATAAAGAGAGAGAGACACGATTTACACATTACAAAATATAGAAGATAAATCGTTTTGAATAGCGGACAAATACATTCAGAATGCGAACTATTTTAATCTTTCTTATTTTACTATTCTGTATATATAGAAAAATCTTTAATATGTTTCTATTTACGACGATTCGTAAATAGAAAATGTCATCTTATATGAAAAGCGATTTATTCGTTATTCCAGAATTTTATTTTAAAGTAGCTTTTACCGGAAGCAGTTGTGTGTAGTTTTGCATAAGTTGAATTTAAATTCTCTCAAATGTACATCAAGTATGAGACTCGCAACAATTTTATGTAATGTTGGCAAGTGCGCATTTTATTTTGTTATCGACAAATAAAAAAAATCTCTTTCTTCCTACATCATATATTTTGTACTTTGCCTGCAAACTTCGAGTTGCGTCTTCGTCGTGTCTTCCAACTGCGGCAACCACAAAGAAATATCTCATTTCTACTATATGTATACGTATATATATTATATATATATATACATATATATACATGCAATCGAGTTGCTAACAAGAAACTTTCACAAACTTACGACTCGCCTCTCAATTTCTCGCTGATATGCTGAACGTTTCAGTAAAAGTGCGCGCGCGCGGAATTTTTATTTTTTCAATCAGACACTTACGCAAGTAAACGAGCACGATAAAAAATTTCGACGACGAATTTTGCAGATTACTTTTTTCTTATATTGAATTTCACTAACGAGACCGAAATTATTTCGCTTGAAGTATTAATCTTGCAACATATATGCTTTTAATCATTTTAATATTTCGTGTGTTCTTTGACGCATGCCATTAAATGTAATTCGCATTAATCTACATAACAAAGTGGCATTAGCGTTCTATTGTGAATTCCACTCTAGAATAGCTGTTACGTAACTTGTCGGAGTCGATTTCACTCGAAATAAGATTCGAAATATTTTTTTTTTTTTGCTTTAAAAAAAAAAGGAAAGAACACAATTTCAACAATCGTTTTAACCGGACTTAGTTTCGAAAAGTTACATAATCTCTGCCGAATATTTTATGCTGAAGCGCATTGTTAGCAAGTGGGAAGAAGACTTTGAGATGGCGATTACGAGAATATAATTTTTAATATATTTCGATGCACAGAGAAAGAAGACGCCTATACAGCCACGTTATTAATTACACGCTCTTTTACATAACGATGAGTAATTAAATGACACACCCGTTTGTAAATATAATTAATATTTAAAATGGGAAAAACTGTTGCAAAACCTTCTTTTTCCTTCTGAAAGAAGAACAGTTCGCCTACTCGCGCAAGTCAATTACATCAATGTAATTTGTATTTTATCTGTCGTTGTACGTACGTTCTTTTGATATCTAACGAAATTATCGCGCGTCAAAATTGATCGCTTCGTGGGAAATTGTGTTAAGGAAAAGTGCCGGCGAAATATCAATTGTCACTTGTCGCGCCCAACATTTATTTCGCGGGAATAAGAGCATTCTGTTTTTAATTGCGTCCGCATGCTTTTCACCTTTATCATGGATGTTAATTGTCACACGCATGTACATTTTCGTAATTGTGTATAACACACTCGATAATTCCGAACCACGCAATGTCTCATCCACGATATATAAACAGAGAGACACGTTTTATTTATATTTCGTAACTGCTTTCTTTTTAATAATAAATCACTTGGCTTGATACTATTGTTATGACATGAATCGGTTTCTCTACAACTATGTTTTACGCAACTGTATGATTCAAAGTTTAAATATACGCGCTATGTTTCGAGGCTTTAGCAAGAGCATCCAGTTTTTATACGACATATTTTATACGACATATAATGAGGCAATTAGCATGCGCGGAGAATCTTGAGTGAAACTGGCGCTCGACTTCGGTGATTTTATAATTTATTGTATTATTTATCGTGCCTTCTGAGAATTCAGGTTGTAATAAATACAAAGTCCAAATTTCGCTGCAATGTTTTATTGAGCACGTTGCTATTTTTTTTTATCGAATCGATGTTTTTTTATGCTCATCCCAGCTTAAAAAATAGAAACAGAAAATCATAAGTTTTGCAGAGCGGAATGTTAAAATTTGCCACATCCGCAGGCAAAGTTACGAAAGAGTTTTGATCGACAAAAGTTTTTATCTTGATAAACATGCTCGTTCATGTTATTTTAATTAGGACGATTAATTTTAATTGATTTTCAGAAAAAAAAAAGATTCAAATATTTTGTGCGATTATTTCGCGATACGTTTTGTAATTATCGACTTTATATTGTTTTAATCAAATCACAAGGTGTCACGGTTTCTTTGAACTTTAATAAACTTTGAGTAAACTAATAATATATCGCCACGGTTGAAGGTCTTGAACGAGATATCGATTATGTAGTTAAAGACATAAATGCTATCGCGCGTTACGGTAGTTTTAATTCGGACTGTGTCGTGTTAAATGCGCGACGATATTTAAAAACCAATTGAAATAGTAATGCGCGGATGAGACGCGCGTGGTTCTCGGGAATAAGCTTTGTGTGTATAAATGTTTGAAAGGAAATGAAATAAAAGTGACTGACTGTGAGTGTTTGAATGTGCCCGAAAGCATATTCGCGCGGCAGCTTTGAATTCCTCCTACGTCGCGCTCTAAAAAAAAAATTATCGTATAGAGTAAAAGTAACAATAACACCGCAATTATCTCGTTTTGTACGCGGTGTTTTGCAAGAGAGGAGGAAACGAGGCTCCTTTTAATTGCTTCTTTTTTTGCAGATCTCTCTCTTTTTACAATTTTCACTTACTCTCTCTGTCTGTACTTCGTGATTGTTTAATTGCGAGCTACGTAAATGGAAAAAAAAATCTGAAGAGTGTCATCTCGGAAGAGGAGAGAGAAACGTAAGAATAAAACTAATAAAGAAAAAAATACTAAATTTGAAAACAAAAAAAAACAAAGTTTTGAAATTTGATTGTTATTTCATACAGAGAGCAATGCTGCTTTTTCGAGTGAACTCTTTAGCGTAAATTGTTAATTACTCACATGTGAAAATTTCTCTCTCGTATATTTGTGAACTTCTCTCGTTCTCGGACGAATTGTTGTTACGAGAATCGACGTCGATAAATTTTGTAATTCCCAGACCATCAGTTCTACCACAAATGGGCCCTGCTCACCGACCCGGACGACGTGGCCGGCGGACCCAAGGGATATCTGAAGTGCGACATAAGCGTCATCGGCAAAGGCGACACCGTGAAAATACCGCCCAAGAGCGAGAAAGACGAGGACGACATCGAGGGCAATCTTTTGTTGCCGGACGGCGTGCCGATCGAGAGGCAACGCGCGAGATTCGTAGTGAAGATCTATCGTGCTGACGGGCTGCCGAAAATGAACAGCAGTATCATGGCGAACGTGAAAAAGGCTTTCACTGGAGAAGTGAAAGATCTGGTGGATCCTTACGTTCAAGTGTCCTTCGCCGGACTCAGCGTAAGCAATTCTTACAAATTTCATCATCACGCATAAAATTTGTATTTTTTATCGACGCGACTTCTTCGTAGTTTACTAAGACACTCTCTCTACCGATGTATCGTATCGGCTGAACTTTTATAAATCTTTAATACTAATAACAAAAATATTTGAAACTTTGTTAGATAAATTAAAAACAAAAAATTAAATAACAAAATATGAAATTGAAATTAATTGATGAAAAATATTATCCGTAAATTGTACAACTTTTGTTTCGCGTGAAAATTAGTTTTGCAAACGCGCGTACGCTTGAAAAAATAGACGTAATTGGTCAACCAGACGCAACAACAGCGTGGATTGCCGCTAGGAGTCACGAGCCGGTGTTTTTTTTTGTTTGTTTGTGGCTTTAGGGAAAAACTAGCGTAAAGAGGCACAGCTATGCGCCAGTGTGGAACGAGCAGATAGTTTTCACCGAGATGTTTCCACCTCTTTGTCAGAGAATCAAGATACAATTGTGCGACAACGATCCGGTACACGCTACCGTCATCGGCACGCACTTTGTCGATCTGAAACAGATCAGCAACGACGGCGAGAAAGGTTTTCTGCCGACGTTCGGTCCGGCGTTCATTCATCTTTACGGCAGCATCAGAGATTATCATCTCATAGATGAACATTCGACGCTGAATACTGGTTTGGGCGAAGGAATCTCGTACAGAGCAAGGTTGCGATAAATATTTATACTCATCTGTTACATATGTAATAAGATACGTATACAAACTCTGATTTTTCCCGATTGTTGTTCGCGTGTGTAGGCTATTGATAGCGATACGAACCGAGATCACCGATAACGTGGAAATGGCACCGTCGGAAGTCGAGGTGGAGCCGACGGTGCCGGTGAACGAAACCGCTTACGCGAGGAACGAGGAGTTCTTTTTGTTCGCCACAATCATGGACGCGACCATGATCGATAAGAAGCTCTGCGACAAGCCGATGTACTTCGAAATATCGATCGGAAACGCGGGCAACGCACTCGACGGTCATAACGAAAGTTTCAAGGTGACGGATTTAATTGACCGAAACATTAATGTCTCCCAAAAATGTTTCTTCTAACGAGAAAAAAACTTGTTTCGAACTTTAATTGAGAAAGTTTTTCTTTTAATAACAGTATGATTACAAAAAAAAGAACCAGAGAATTTGGTTTTCTCTCTCAAAAATGAAGCTTGTTTTTCTCGTCGCAGATGTGCGACTCGTCGAAAAGCGGAACGGTTGGCGACGAAGAGGAGCTGCAAGAAGTGCTCGCCGGATCTTGGCAGAGCACCACACCGGCCAGCAAGCCGATGACGCACGACAAAATTTATTATTTTCTGCCGTATTGGGACGACAAGCCGTGTCTTCACGTGAGAAGCATATGGCCGGATTACAGACGCAGGATGTACAACAGCAATATTATCGGCAAAATTGTTGATAAGCTGGTACATAAGTTTGCAGATTTAAGATCATTAATTACAGATCAGAGAGACGTTTACTTAAATCCAAGATTCGTTTATCTTGAAACTCGACCGATCTTTGCGTTTCAGGAGGAAGGATTGGCGGAAGTGCAGTCGCACTTGGAAGATTCGACGTGCGAGAAACTGCTGAAGAGCACCCTTGAGGACCTGAGCGCTAACTGCAACCGATACGTCAGCATCAGCAAGTCCAGCGTGACCGGTCCGGGCGTCGGGAAGACGAAGCTGGATAAGGAGCGTACGAAACTGTGCCAACGGGAATTGGAGAACATCGGGATCATGTCGCGTAATCTCAAGGCGCTCGTAACCAAGAGCAGCTTCAAGGAACGACTGAAGACCGCTCAGAGCTACCTGCAGAAATTGAAGTTTCTTGTCGAGGATGTCAGTATAGTTGTTTCGTTTTTAAAAACGATATTTCGCGCGTGTAATAATCAAATTGCTCGATATTCATTGCAGCCGCAAGATTCGCTGCCGGACGTGTTTATCTGGGTGATCAGTTCCGGACGGCGAGTGGCGTATCAGAGAATATCGTGTCGCGAGCTTATCTATTCGGTGGTGGACGAGGAATGCGGTCGACATTGTAGCAAGGTGCAGACCATGTTTCTCAAGGTGAGCATGTGTATTGAGAAATTAAAATAAATCGAATGTAGTCGTAGAGGTATAAAACTTGTTTAAAACTTGAGTAGCGATAAAAATCGCGGGCATGTGTCAAGTACAAACCGCGACAGATTTGATTGGTTACTTGATTTTGCGCCCTTCTGGGCGTCAACTTCAGCTTCCAGGCAAAAAGAGATTCGGACCGTCGGGATGGGCGATTCAGACGAAGTTGCAGATCTATATGTGGCTGGGGATATTGAAGCACAAAAAGTATTTTATTCAGGGCTTACCTAAGGGATACGAGATCAGCCATGAGATCAGGAACGTGGACAGACCGCGCGCTCTTCCGCCTACCGTCATTCACTACGTTCAGAAGCACGTGCGTATTTTCTTTATATATTCGGTGCGCAATTTCTTTCTCGAATTAAACACATGACGACGTACGTAAAATCCAAAATCGATTGTCAGAAATTTCAACTGAGAGCCCACATGTATCAAGCGAGATCGCTGATCGGAAGCGACGCCTCCGGTCTCTCGGATCCGTTCGCTCGAGTAGTTTGCGGCGAGTTATGCAAGAGCACTCAGGTGATCGACGAGACTCTCAGTCCGACGTGGGACGAACTATTGCTGTTCGACGACATTCTGATCTACGGCGTCGCCGATGAGATCAAAAAGGACCCGCCGTCGATCGTTATCGAGCTGTTCGATCAGGACAAAGTAGTAAGTCAGATCTCGGTTTCTGGCCTGATCACATAATATTGTTTACTTTTCTTGTTTGTACGTATATTCTTCTTTGTGTTTTTTTCGTTTCACAAAATAAAGGAACGTCAGGAAACTAAATAGATAAAATTTTGCCGGCATTGCGCGGATTTTTTCTTATATAACGTGGGTACTCTTTGATCAATTCTATACAAAGTTCAAAAATTGTCTTAAAAATAAATCAATAAATCGAATACTAGAAGAAAGAAAAGTTTGCGCTACTTCTATGATTTTCGTAATCGTTCTTTTTACAGAGTCATAGTGTAGCTATGGACATAAAACTGCATGAGGGCTCTGCTTTAACAGTTTGTATACAACATACCTATTGGACATTTATACGATGACGGATATAACACCGACGCACTTCATCACTCGGAAACACGCACGATACACGCTTGTGCATGGCATTCGTCGTTTTGTTTTTTTTTTTTTTTTTGAAACGTAGATTAACTGTGGCATACACTTTGCGATGTGTGTCAGAATTCGCTAACTATTTCGGAGGTTGCGTGCAATTTTGCAAGTTTGCAACTTTGCAAGTTTCCAGTTTCCAACTTGCGAAATTGTCGCAGTCAGCGAATATTAACACACGTTGCACACACAAATATGTATACGTACTGTCATAACTAGCAAGTGGTTTCCGCAGAACCTACTTCTCTTTGTGGTTTCATGCAATTGCGGTAAACAAAATACACACAGTAGTCTTGTTCATTAATGTCGTGTATTTTTTTCTGCACTGAAACCTGTGTGGTTTTGATTGAAAGAAACGTCTCACATTGTTACGAGAAAGTATATAGAAGTCACTAGAAAAAATTTTTCTCGCATAAATTTTTTTCTAACATACAAACGAAATTTTACTACATGTGAAATTAAATGGTAGTAAATTGTTTTACGTGTGAAATTTTAAGGATTGCGCTTTCAATACATGTTCAAAAATTCCGTAATCTACATTTTAAGTAAGTAAGTCCGTAAATTCTTTATTGTGAAGAGATTTAAGTGTTCTATACATATTCGCGATTGTAAGTTCTGTTTGCGCCTTAATTTAAAACAGGCTTGTTTAATCTCCGCATTTTCACCTTTCACCTTTCGTACGTTTTCATTGTGCTCACGAATATTGCGCGTGTGTAACTGCATTCAAATTTAAATTTTATCAAATTTTACCGGTGCCGCGGTTTATATTTCTCCCCTTAACAGAATTTGCTCGCATTCGTGTGTGTACGATCGATCATTCCTTATCTTTATTACGTTCGCATTGGGATTTTTACGTGACTTTTCAGGGAAAATCGGAATATATCGGGCGAGCGATCGCGCGACCTCACGTCAAACTCGCCTCTGAGGCGTACGCACCCCCTCAATATCCGCCCTCTCTGGAATGGTACGACATCACCAGGGGTGCCTCGAGGGCCGGCGAGCTTCTTGCGGTTTTTGAATTGCTGGAATATCCCTCCGCCAAGGATTACGGCTTTCCCACTCTACCGGATCCCAAAGACTTCAGCTCGGGATCCCAGCCCCCGGGCGCCGGGCAGGATCAGGGTCCGATTCTTCCGGTGCCCGTGGGGATTCGGCCTACTTTGTCAAAATATCGGTAAAGCTCTTCTCGATCATATCTGCAAATGAAAGTTTTTCGAGAGAAAAAGATTTCAGATAAAATATGCACACACATTGTTAGAATATTATTTACAAATTGGTTGTTTTGTAGAATCGAGGTGCTCTTTTGGGGTTTGCGTGATCTGAAGAGAATTCACCTTTTGACCGTCGATAAGCCTCGCGTGGACGTCGAATGCGCCGGTCACATTCTCTATTCGTCTGTCATAGCGAACGCGAAGAAAAATCCGAACTTCAACACGCCGATCAAATTTATGGAACTGGAGCTTCCCGAACAAGAGCTTTATCGACCTCCATTGACAATAAGAGCGGTCGACTGCCGAAGTTTCGGCAGATACACCCTCGTCGGTACTCACACTATCAATTCGATCCACAAATACATGTACTATCCTTTGACCAAAAGGGCGAAGGACGCGCAGGAGAGGAAGAAGAGTTTGTATCAGCTGCAGTGCACAGGTAATTACGTAACAAATCGATGACAAGGCGCTTTGAGACTGCTTTGTAATTAAGTTGCTTTGCAACGAGTGAAAAACTCGATGTAAATAATATTAAAAAATCAGTTACGGTATAGTTAAATCAGAGTGATAATAATATAATGACTTTCCGTTATTACGGAATATTTTTTTTTTAATTGTGCTGCAATTAGAAAGAAAAAAGCTTCATGTAACGCAATAAATTATGTTGTTCATTAGAAAAAACGCTGCGTCAGAGAGACGTAATAATTTAAAAAATAAATCTATTTTTTATTGGTGACGTTATTGAGAATTATGTTACGTTTTTATTTTGAACGATTAAATTACAAAACTTGTATTTCTCACATTTGTGTAAGCGATTAATATTGAACACACGCGCGTAATAGCTCTCGATCAATCCAAATCGAGATATCAGCAAACGTCGGTGCCCGACTCGTTGACCGATTTGGAATCCAACAACGGTGACACCATCATCACCCTCGGATTTGAAATAGGATGCGGTCCTACGAAGAAGGACAAAACGGAGCAGAACATACGCAGAAAGCAGAGCTTGATCAATGACAACAGCGTTGGTGCGTTTTTGCGAAAGCTGCATTCTTATCTACCTATTATTGCGTTTTAAAATATTTCAAGTACCTTTTGGAAATAATCGATTGCTTTAATTTTAATACAAGGCTTTAATAAATGGCCAAATAATATAACATTTGCAGGCGATTTGGGCGCCTTGGAAGATGGAGACGGTTGTCAGGATTGGTGGACGAAGTACTTCGCATCCGTGGAAGCGATGATCGAAGAGAATAAAGAACTGCGCAAGGAGAAGTCCATATTCCAGATCCAGCCGAACGGCACGCTACCGATGTACCTGGATGAAGCCGTTACACAGAGTCAGTTGGCCGCTTCGGGCGACAAGAACGTCGGGATCACTCCCACGAAGAAGCTATTCGGCCTGAAGTCAACGGCGAACGCGGCGAAATTCGTCTCGAAGCTCAGTCCGAAGCAGACGCAACGCAAGTCCAAGAGGACCGCGTTACTGAAGATCTATCCGGGAGAGCTGGAGGCGCAGCCCGAGTTCGAGCAGTTCAAAGAATGGTTGCACACCTTCGAGCTGTACCGCGGCAAGAAGACCGGCGACGAGACCGAGGACGAGTCGAGAATCGTCGGCAACTTTAAGGGCGCGCTAAAGGTCTACAAGTGGCCGCTGCCCAAGGACCTGATAGATCACACCGTGATGGGTTTCGACCCACAGTACGGCTTCTTCCAGGGTGTCCCGTCGAACGAGCCGATCCACGTCCTGGTGCGCGTGTACATCGTCAAGGCTAACGATCTTCATCCGTGCGATTTGAACGGAAAAGCGGATCCCTACGTGGTCTTGCAACTAGGAGGCAAGAGGATCAGCGACAAAGAGAATTACGTGTCGAAACAACTAAATCCTGTCTTCGGAAAGTACGTATTTTGTGTGTGTTTGTATTTTCGTATATTTTTCAAAGATACATTTTTATATATTTGTAATTGCGATCTCTTGCTCGTTTTCTCAAGATGCTTCGAGATCGAGGCGACATTTCCGCAGGACTCGCTGCTCACCGTGCAGGTTCTGGATTGGGACTTGGTCGGAGCGGACGACATGATCGGCGAGACCAAGATCGACCTGGAAAATCGCTTCTACAGCAGACACCGCGCTACGTGCGGGATCGCGAAGAAATACGACGAGTGAGTTTTAACAAACGTGGTAATTATCACGACGTGCGTGGCAAATAAATTACAAACTCCGGCCGTGGAACAAGAGTCGCGTCACGCACTTCAGCAATTTAACAGTGACTTTTATCACGGCAGTAATTATTTATTTAAATCTGATGTGAGGTCAGTGAAGGACAAACTATTCCGCGTTGTAATTTACTTTTTAACGAGTTTTTTCTGTAATCGCAACTTTTATACTTGAAAACATTTTTCTTTCTACTCTGACACGCATCAGCAATAAATCTTTTTTTTGTAATTATGTTTTGTAATTATTATCGGTTTTTCTACATTAACGTTTTTACACTCTTTGTGAAAGATATCTCGGTTTGTACGCACACACAAGAGGATATCGATAGTTACACTTTTCGTGTGTCAACATGTCACATAAAAATAATAAATGTAAAAAAAACGCAAATAAATTGCTGTGTATAAAAATAATTAGACGTTGTGCTTTTTTTTATGCTGTAGATCTGGTTACAACAAATGGAGGGATGCAATGAAACCGACTCAGATACTCTCGAAATTGTGCAAGGATGGAAAAGTCGACGGACCGGTGTATTCTCATGGTCGTGTTACAATTGGTAGAAAAACATTTTCTCTCTCGAACGAGGAAATGGAATATTACGTGCACACAAAAGGTATGCAAACACGTTGAAATATGAGAATTATGTGCAAAGTCAATACCTCATTGCTTGACTGTATGTACACACACATGTGTGTGTACTCATACATAATTAAGTTAAACAAACTCATTTTGTCGTATAAGAACCAGAAAATTACTAAAACTACATATTTGACTTGCAATATACAAGTATTTTTATTAAATAAAGAATTTTTCTTTCTAATTTTGTTTCACTAGGAATAGAAGAACATCTCGCTTTGGCGGTTCTCCATCAGTGGAACGCCTTTCCGCGAATAGGTTGCGCTCTGGTGCCCGAGCACGTGGAAACCCGTCCTCTCTACAATCCTGAGAAACCCGGAATCGAACAGGGAAAATTGGAAATGTGGGTGGACATGTTTCCAATGGACATGCCGTCGCCCGGACCGTCTATCGACATATCGCCCAGGAAGCCCAAGAGTTACGAGTTGAGAATTATCATATGGAATACGGACGACGTGGTTCTGGAAGATGACGCCTTTTTCACCGGCGAGAAAATGAGCGACATTTACGTAAAAGGGTAATACGATTTGAAGATTTTTTTATTCACGCCTTCATACATAGAGTTCAATATAGAAACTTATTATTTTCACGTTTTAACATTTGTTTAACAGATGGCTAAAGGGACCAGAAGACTGTCAGTCCACTGATATTCATTACCGATCGCTAACCGGCGAGGGTAACTTCAACTGGCGCTTCATATTCCCGTTCGATTATCTGGTAGCGGAAGAGAAGATTGTCATTAATCGCAAAGAGAGTCTATTTAGCTGGGACGAGACCGAGTGCAAAATACCGGCGCGTCTGGAGTTACAAGTATTTTTGCATCACGTCTTCTCAATTTCTGTCTCGTTCCAACCGGTTATAAGGATATAAACGCGACACGTTTTGGTTTAAAGGTCTGGGACGCGGATCATTTCTCCGCGGACGATTTTCTGGGCGCGATAACTCTCGATCTGAATCGGTTTCCCCGAGGCGCGAAGAACAGCAAGCTCTGCTCGTTGAGCATGCTGAAAACGGACGGTTCTGTGCCGACGGTCAACATCTTCAAGCAGAAACGCGTAAAGGGATGGTGGCCGTTTTACGTGAAGAAAGAGAACGAAGACATGGAGCTAACGGTAGGTTGAAATCGAAGATATTAAGGTAAAGGAGTCTTTAGTAATTAGCTATTTTTTTTTTTTGTACAGGGTAAGGTCGAGGCTGAAATACATCTACTGACAAAAGAAGAGGCCGAGAAGAATCCTGCCGGTTTTGGTAGAAACGAACCGGATCTCCTGGACAAACCAAAGTCGGTTTAAATATATATGACGTTTTTTTCTCTCATTTATATTTAACATATTTATTTTAAAAAATTGTTCTGCATGTTTTTAACTCTTACAGTCGGCCGGACGCTTCTTTCATGTGGTTTCTCAATCCGCTGAAATCCATCAAGTACATAGTCTGGCACAACTACAAGTGGGCTATCCTGAAGGCCATGATCGCGATCGGTTTGGTCCTGCTTCTGCTCTTGTTCTTCTACGCGATACCAGGTTACTCCGTGAAAAAGCTCTTGGGGGCTTAAAGTTGCATTTATCACAAAAAAAAAAAAAAATATATAATTACTATCTCTAGAAAACAATTCGACGATGTAATTCGCTATATTGTTACGTTTTAACGAAATCAACGTGAAGTAAAATGTAATATTTTTTGTTAGAGATTAATTTATCTCTTATTATTATTATTTTTTTTAATTCACATTTTGGCTTGTGACGATAAAGAATGATTTTATAGCGCATTAAGAAAACGACACATTAATATCTATGTAGATTTCAAAATAGAGCTCAAGAGAGAATACATACAAAATATTTTTAAGAAACTAGAGAGAAAAAAGAAAACGACAATTGAGAAACATCGGGTACAAAATATGTCAGAGAAAGTGAGGTTGAAATATTTTTGAAAGAGATAAAAAGAAACTCAGTTTTCGTCTTTCGCACTGTTTCATATTATATGAATGTTAAAAACGGTAGAGATTATTTCTTACACGCGGTACCTGCACACAATCTTGTTATAGAAGATTTTTTAATTTATCTCACTCATCTTTCTCACACGATGTAGCTTGTAGTCAAAAAAGAGAACAAAACTTCATTCGATGAGTTTTATAGTGGACCAAACGCTAGAAATTAGTCGCACAAAACTGTAACATTGTAAATAAATCATAAACGCGATTGCATGAGAGAGAAACTTGTGGGGAAGCGAGAAAAATATATATTGCAGAGAGGCGGCTTGTGCGCAATGACCTACTTTTTACTCCTAATGTTTTTTGTCCATCTACTGTTCTGTGTTTCGCGGGCGAAAATACGGAATAAATCATTTATTAGTCTCCAATGTCATCGGATTGCTCATTGTAAATTATAAGAAAAAAATAACTATATATGTGTGTGTAAAAAAAATCGAGATAAATAAAAAGTCTGATATCTGTAAAATAATATACCGCTTTATTGTTCTGTGGACAATGCTGAGAATTTATTAGCTACAAAAATATCGTTGTCCGAAGATTCGGACGAGTTACTGATCGCCTCATCTACAGATGGTTCCTTTTCGTTGTCGGTATCATTGTCCTCGGACGATACGTACTCAAGCGTATTTAAATCATCCTTTTGATTTCTGGCCTGAATCCATCTCACCATCTCGACATCAGCGTGGTTCTCCCATTTTTCTGAAAAAATATTTTCATATACAGAGAAATATACACTTAAAAAATTTTATTTTATTAAACATTTAATCTTACCTTTTTCGTTAGTCCAATTCGGCGGATATACATATAAACAAATCTTTCCTTCTAACGCCATTCGTAGTAACGAATTCGCTGCTCTGTACGAATCCAATCTACCCGATCGGGCGTTCTTGAAGTCTTTCTTGATAGCCCAGCCGTCGCAGATGTCCATAGCGGACCACGTGTCGTCGTTCTCCGGGTGTGGGATCCTCAACAGTTTCGATAGCTCTACTCTTTCGGCCAGAAACTTGACGGCTGTGTACGGCTCTCTGACCTGAGCGATCGGGAACGAGCCCATCAGTATCTGCAACTGTTTGGGCACGATCGAGGGAAAAACCAAGCCGGGACAGTCACACAGACGCACGGTTTTTGTGAGATAAATAGTCTGAAAATGCTTGGTGTGGCCGGGTGTTCGGGACACACTCACAACTTTCTTGCCCATCAGCGCGTTCATGAGTGACGACTTTCCCACATTCGGGATACCGATGCATCCGATGGTGAGAACGCCGTTCTTGTATTTCTCGTGTTCGAAATAAGTAGTATCCGCCGTCTCGATCGTTACGTTATCCTTGTGCTCTATGTCGTCGAGATCGTATTCCGTGTGCATCTCATCCTGAATCTTGTCGTGCCAAGAGTTGAGATCGACTTTGTCTCCGACGATGTCCCTACATGTCTCCAGCAACTTCTGCGCTCCTTCTGCGGCCATTTTCAATTTTCCTCTTCGACGTCGTTTCTTTATGCCTTCTTCCTCCGCACTCGTGTTACCACGGAGATTGTAAGTCGGAAACGACGTGAACATTAAAATGTGCAGTTTCGGGTACTGAATGCGAAAGTATTCCCGCCAGGCCACGACCAAGGCCGGGGGCGCCAGATCCACTTTGTTCAACACCAAAATCATGTCTTTCTGCAGCTCGTTTGTCACGTAATCGTACAAATACGGAGGAAACATCAGGACGGGATATCGAATGTCAACAATGATCAAGAGAACGTCCGACATCTCCAAGACTCTCCACAACTGACGCCAAGTTTCCAAGTTTAGTTCAAAGTAACTCAACTTGTCTAACTTTTCCATATTTCTTAAATATTCCTAAACACAAAAAGCCATTAGTTATAAACAAATTTCAGAATTTTACCTAGCACAGACTGCTTATTAAATACGTACTGTGAAGTATCTATGTTCAATTATATCCAACTGCTCTTTTGTCATATTGAAATTCCACGGTGGCCGCTTTGGCATATCGATCTCGGGTGGAAAATAATTGTCGGACACTTCTTGATCCTTGAGGCTCACAGGTTCGAGAGTTTTAAAGGCTTGTTCTTTGCGTTTTCGCAATTCCTGATTGAACTCCTGAAAGAACTGTAGCGCGTACCTGTTGTGCTTTGATTTTCCATTCCCCGGCTGTTTGTTTATCTTCTGGACTTGTTCCACGCTGCTCGTCTCGCTGGAACATCCCTCGTCGCAATCGTCCTGATGAGCTGAAACGTACGTACTGTTTGATCATACAAGATTGTTCTTCCAAATGTTTGATTCGATCAAATAAATGTCTTTCAAGTATAACATCCGTCATTCTTTATAAAAGCAATTTATAAACATACCAACGCCAAAGGTCCGTTGTCGCTGTTTCTTAACTTGCATTTGTTGCTTTTTAGCTTTTCCGCTAAACGGAACTTTTCGTCTTCCCTGCGGCATGTTTTCCGAATTGCGTGTAACCTCTCCGACCGACTGTGCTTATCAGCGACTCGATAGTGCCAATCAAACTCTTGAGTAATTTTTAAGTTTATCTTTTTGTTTGTTTGTTGATTTCGAAGAGACACGCTGCGCCAACTTTCGCCGACAGGAATTAAACACATACGTCTACATCAGCTGATTCTAATTATCGATCTAAACATTACCGCGCTTCAAAGTAGTTCTACGCTTCTCGTACATGACATGAAATGCGCAGTGTTTGACCAATCAGAGAGTTATCTCAAGTATTGAGATGACAGAAAGGCTGTGGACGAACATCTTCTTTCAATTCTGAGCGAAATGCTTTCTTTCGCAAAACTTTTAATAACAATTACATTTTTTGTAACTTTTGAAATTTTGTTATCCTAATTTTGTGTAGTAAAAACTCCTGAGGTCTTTGTACGCAAAATTTCATTCATTTTCTATGATTAATGCGAGAGATATAATCATATTTCGCTGAAGGTTTATACGCGAGAAAGTCGGGATAAATTTCAAATGTGTTGTCAGGATCACAAAAAGTGACAAGAGCTCTGCTATTAGGAAAAGTAAGGAAGTGAACTGACTCAGTCGATAACGTCGCGGTAACGTCGGAAGACTATAAGTTGAAGAAAGGGGCGTTATTGTAAAAGGTCGTCTACAATGAAGGTAGTAAGACTGTTGGAGTTATTTCATTTTTGTTTATACAAGTAATTCGCGTTTTTTAACACACGTCTTTCATTGGCTAACAATAAAGCAGTAGGCAGTGCGAAATGGGAATTGCCCATTTCGTTTTGTTACTTCACTGAAAAATAATTTACTCTCTACTCTTACGGCCGATTTCTTCATACCTCTCGATATATAGCTATCCTCTGGATAAATTCCTCTGAGAACCAATAAGGAGAATCAATTTTCTTTAGATATCTTCTAGATAAAGTTATCGAAAACTTATTCTACAAGTGAAAAAATTGGCTGTTACTGCCTTACTACCTTCATTGCAGACTGGCTATAAGAAAACGGAACGGCGCGACTTTTAACTCTTATTTAGCAGGAATGTAGAATGCTACAAGAGGTTCTTCGCACAGAGAAAGAGAGAGAGAGAGAGGTTTATAATTCTCGCGCGCGACAGTGGTTCGAGTCTTCGCTAAAAATATTTCGATTTAGCGAAAATTCAAACTGAGAAATACAAGCTAGTACGAATTGACCGCTCTCAGGCATCTTTCTGCTAGTACTTAACTATATAAATGTCGTTTTCACAAATACGACAGCTCTTTCAACACGACGCCATGACGCCTTTTATAACAATTAAATGTTACACCTATTATATTTATAATCTATGGCTTGCACACGGTACCAGCCGTACCACAGCCACAGCGCATGCACATGTCACTGCATGTCGTTACGTGTGTGTATGTGCAGTCAGTCGATGTAACAGATTTTCTAACCTCGAAAGTCTGCAGCTTCAACGCTCGATAACTCGCTTCGAGGAGGAAGAGCGACGGTTTTCTTGTTGGATTTTTTAGTTTCGCGCAACGAATCAATCTAATTTTATCAATATTGGCACCGGTGGTATTGTTTTGAATAACACAATTCGTTTTCGTCTTCTCGTCGCGTCACCGAAAGACATACACAACGGCATGCGTGAGACGTGCACGTAAATTTTTCATTTGTGATTCGCGCCTGTGAACGTACTTTTCGTTGTCTATCGGCGAGAAAGATCGTGCGAGACGCCGCTGCGCTTTGTATTTTCGCCAGCGACAATGGTGCGTAACGTGAGAACCACGGCCGAGATGCCCTGGGACACCTTGGTTTCCAGCCTCAGCTGTATGCTGAAGAACAGTCCTCTTGACGGTGATGGAAACGGTTTGAAATGCGAAACCCAAGTGATCACCCGTTTGTTGTCCGACGAGGTGGTTGTGTAAGTTATTATTTTGCATTTCCTGACAACGCGATCTCTTGTAGCCTGTACGAAAAGCTGTTTTTTTTTATTTTTTATTCACACCTACACGACAAAATTTGTTACAAAACGTATAGACTGACTTTCGTCTATTCTTCAAGTAGTTTTTATTGGCAGTCGCATGATAGTTTGTATACATAAGATTGTTATTGCAATACAGAAAATCTGTGAAAGCATGGCTGAAGAATCTTTACAACAAAAAAGATAAAAGGGAAGACAAAAAGAATTTGGAAGTATCGAGAATATTCAAGTCATGTGGATACAAGGAGTTTCAATCGAAAAATTATGCCGTGTCAGTTCAGTCGTATACAAAAAGCGCGGTATACGCTCCATCAGGCAGTGAGGATTTGCCGGTGGCAATCGCAAACAGGTCAGCCTCTCTGTTCTATTTGGACAGATGGCAGGTGAGTGGAAGGAATATTAGGATGATGAAATGTAAATCACATTCAAAATTTGAATTTAAATTTCTGTTATCTATAATGGAACAATAGTTGTGCAATTATTGTTTGTGTATTTGCGAAGGACTGTATTGAAGACATCAAACTGGCGATTAAATTAGACTATCCTAAAAGTTTGCGCTATAAACTGTGCATTCGTGCGGCACAATGTTACATAAAACTAGGCAAGAAGAGAGCTGCTGAGGAAGCTATTGTTCAAGCTCATGAAATAATAAACGAGTTTATTGTTCCGGGTGAAAAGAAAGGCAAGTGTCTATTTGATATATTTGTAAACATATGTGTGCAAAGAATTGTCTTCTAATATAAATTAATGAAATTTATAGCTCGATTGGAGGAGCAAATCAGTGAGATACGAACGAAGATATCGTGCATGGAAGATAACGTAGATGACGTGGACACCACAAAATCTTTACTGCCAGAAGTCGCATTTGGCGAAAATCCCAATTTTCGTTCCGCATCGCAGGCTATAGAAGTAAAACACACGTCCAAGAAAGGAAGACATATTGTAGCTAACAAGAAGATAAAAAAGGGACAGATTCTTATTGTTGAGAAGGCGTTCGCGTTTGTTTCGTTAATCTACGATAATAACGACAATGTTTGCCATAATTGTTGCCGATCGTACGACGATACTCCTATGCCGTAAGTCATGTATTTTTCGTTTATTGAGAATATTTATAAATCGTGTCGCCTTTTTTTACACACACATATGTGATATTGTTACACTCAGATGTACAGAGTGTATCGATACGAAATATTGCAATATGAATTGTTTGGATGAGGCGTCTTCGTCTTACCACCGATGGGAATGTCCTGGCAATCAGATGGGTCTTTGGCAAGAGATCGGAGTGGCGTATTTGGCCTTGAAAGTATTATTTAAATGCGCGACTACGACCGATAGATTTAACGAAGTTCAACAACTGGTGACCAATCTCGATAAACTAACACCCACCGATGTTATTTCGTACGGGATTGTGAGTGCGACTCGTCCCTAAAATTTTTCATTAGTTTAATCCAATTTTATCACACAGACAGTTTAACTTGTTTCGTTGTTTTTTCTTTTAGACGGCAGTCATGCTTATGATGTATCTGTCACATTACACCGAGTTTTTCAGACATGTCAATATCAAAGACTGCTTGGTCATGAAGTTCAAATACAACGATTTAATAACGACCAATTGTTACTTCTCGAACGCGAACTTTGTAACGGAGACCGATGAGGTGTACATAAGTTCTTTAATACTGAGACATATATTGCAAATTATTTCGAACGGGTACGCTATTACGAAGATAAACACGACGACGGACAAAGACAGGGACAATCTGTATACTCTGCAACAAGACAGAATAGCCACCGCAATTTATCCATCCGCAAGTATGAGCAATCATTCTTGTGATCCGAATATAATTAACAGGTAATATATGGATATTTTCATTGTACGAGATTCTTGCTCGTTTTTACTCTTTCTTATTTGTTGGAATAATACTAATTTTACTTTCTAGCTTCATAGATCAATATTTGATAATTAAAGCCACGAGAGATATCGAAGAGGGTGAGGAAGTTTGTCACTGTTACGGTACGTTCTGCGGATATAATTGGAGAAGATAATTTTGTGTTATTTTTTTTAATTCCTGCTATGTGTACACGCGCACATATACATATGTCGCTTTTTTAATGTTGCAGGAAGTGATTTCAGAAGAGTTCCGAAAGCAGAAAGGCAGGAAATGCTAGAAAGTCAGTATTGCTTCGTATGTGATTGTCCACCGTGCAGCGTACCAGAATATGAATATTTTATGGTAAACCATTAAATTGTGGTTTTTGAAGTACATTTGAAGTTGTGTGTATATATACTATGTACTAATTTTATTCGAACTTTTTGTTTATAGAAAAAATTTACGGCAATGAAGTGCCCTCAATGCAGCGGGCCGTTGAGTGACATCACCACCAGCTCTTACAGTTGCTTGGATTGCGGAGCCGATATCTTCGAAGTTAATTACGTGTTTAAATTGAGACAAGCTCAAGCTCGTTTTGACGAAGCCGAGATTTGCATGGAAAACGGACGGTACGAAGAGGCTCTGGTGCATTTGAAGGAATGCTTCTATCTCAGAAGAGATGTGTTGTACAAGTATCACGAGGACATTACAGTAACCATGGATGTTATCGCGAAAGTATACAGCGGATTGGGTTCGTGTCGATGAGTTTGGGTCTTGTATAACAAAGACGAAACATTTCTCGTTCAACAAAATGACAAACGAGTAATTTTTTGCTTTTTGCTTTTTTCAGAGCAATGGTTGAACGCCATCTCGTATCTCGAGCACAGCATCGTCGCGATCGAAGAAAGATACGGATCCACAAGCATAGAAGTTTGCAACGAATTGAACAAGTTGACGGATATATGTATTAAATATTTGCAGGAAGAATCCAACACGGCGTCCAAGTTTTACAAGTATTGTAGTTTTTATTCGTGTATTTTATGATGACTCTACGCGTGTTGATTATACGTTAGTACTGTGTGTCAACGTGAAATGTTTATCATATCACATTATCTTGCAGAAACACTTTGAAAAAGACTCGGCGGTATCTGAATCAAGCTGAGGAAATCATAGACATCACTTACGGTCCGTGGAATGAAGTTTACCAAGAAATAGCCGTGAAGAAACAGATTCTTTCCTCGATTTTAGAAAACTTCAACGTCTGATACATAAAATGTGATGCATAAATACATGACGGATGAATAAATACAAAGCTATGAAATATCTGTTACACGTATCATCATGTATTTCTTGGTAATGACATGAAAAGAAGTTTTATCATTCTATTTTGCTGTACATATACATACATGTTTATTCTCTTATTTTTTTTAAATTATTTATATTTATATACCATGCCATTATTTAAAGATACGAAAAGCATGTGTGATATTGTAAATTTTATTTTACTCGAGTTACTTATTGTGCTTTTCATTAAAGACTGTTTGAAAAGAATATTTTTTTTATTTTTTATTTATATCGCAATATATATACACTTTGACAAATTTAAACTTGCACATTCGTTTTACGCTGATGTTCTTCAAGATGTTTGAGTTTGATTTTTTTCGTTATTGTTCCTTTTCAAATGATTTACAATTTAATATTAATTATACTGCCGTACTGTATGTTAACGCAAATCACAATATTACTTTTTACTTTTAACGTTAAAGAATCTTCTATTAATTTTGTATTTGACTTAACAGTATTTTGCTCTTATATTTTTTAATTTATGCTCTATGATTTGAATTTTGAAAATTCTGGATGTTATAACTTTTGTATATATAAAGAATTACGAGTGTTTATTATCACATTAACTTTTTTTTTTATAAAAAACGCAATAAACAAGAACAAACTAGATTTCAGAGACATCATGTTATCTGAAATTATAGTAAAGAATTTCAAGTTCTAATAAGCTGCGTGGAAAATTTGTATATTATGACTTTTTATCAGTATAGTTTGTTTTCACATATATATAATTCGCGATTTAGAAAAAAAATGTCCCAGAATTTGACGTAACGGCGTCGTAGATAAAAGTGTTGTGGACGGGTTTATATTGATTTGTCACAAGTTTTATGGTTTCTTGGGCCGCGAGACCACCAAGAAATGCCGAGACTGAATGCAATTCCGCACCGCCAAATCGGCAAACCTCGTGCACGTAATCGTCTTTGGCCAACGGTCCGCATCCCCACTCATTCAATAGTTTTGAGAGACACGTCTGTAACATTACTCCGTTGCGGAATTTTGTTACAACACTTATCGCAAATGTAAAATCTTGCATTACTGATTACCTTAAGCTTTACGATGTCCGGTTCCACCTGATCATCGAATTCACCGGGATATGAATTATATTCTGTCTGAAACTTGTCCACTCCTCGGAGCATCACGTAATAAATCATCATACTCTCCGGATTCTCCAAATTTTGAACTGCAACAGATGTTTTTTAGGTCTATACTTAGTACAAGTTGCAGTTTCATATATATTTTTTTTTTTTTTTTAAGAATAACTTTCGGCGTTTTACCTATGATATTAGTGTCAAAAATCTTGGGATCGTATTCGTCTGCAATGCAGCTTCCTTTTTCGACGTAAATGTCACTTGCGTGTCTGCAGAACAGCTTCACGTCTTTTTCCAAAATCGAATCTGACGATCTTCCCAATTGTCGTAGCAATTGCAAAGTACGTCGCCAGACGGCTTCCACATCTGCCGATGCTTGTTTATAATAACTGAAGAAAAAATCAAAACATGGATTGTGTACACGTTCAAGGATAGCGCGCGAAGTAGTGTGACTTTACGTTTAATAATAGTAAAAAACAAAAGAATTTCTTCAACTGTAACATAAAATATCCGTTATTCTTTGAGACAGACTTAATAACAAAAAAAATGTTTGTAAATATTTGCGTAAGCACTGAGGATCAAGTTACTTTTTTTTGTTTTTTTTTTATACAACTGTCATTTCAAGACTACGCAATATCATACACACACACATTTGTTGGAGCGCAACATATTTTTCGGTGTCCGCAGTCATGTCAGGTAGAGTACCTTTAAGTGGTAACAATCCCCTACCTTCATTATCAACGAAATCGCGCACCGCTTTCGCGATAATCCAGAAAGGGCTGCTCTGAAACACACCGATCAAATTTGAAGACACATTTTTTCCGCGCTAATTATTTCAATCACAAAGATGTTTCGTCGATTACCTTTGCAGTCAGATTGACACAACGATCGTCGTTCAGAATGTTTATTACGCTATCGGGGATGTCGCTTGCTTTTATACATGTATTTACAGCCTTCATAGCTTCTTCGAAATTATCCTCGCTATTGGACGAATCGTGCTCGTCGCGTCTCATGCCGTTCTTTATCATTTCTTTGAGTTTCTGCTTATCCTTGTAAGTTTTCGGCAGAGCGCTGTTCTCCAAAATCCATTTCTCTAAGTATTTGTACAAGATAACTAGATATGGTACATGACAGTGATCCTTGAAGCTCATTTCGTCCAGATTTATCGAATCCAAGTGTTTCTTCAGACTCTCAAACGGTCTGTCTAAACGTAAATCTGCCGTTTCGTTGTCCGGATGAGTTTCTATGACTGTGTGTTCCTTTATTTGAATTCGCATGTATCCGATAAATCCTATACTTCTACATACTATCAGAGGAATATCTAGTTCCCAAAGTCTCTTCGACAGAAGAATCAATGTTCTAAAAAGAAAGTATTCGTAAGAATATATTTCTTATACATCAGTGCCGAAAGCGAATGTTGTTATTTTCATCTCAAGACTCTTACTTCTCGGTGAGCGCAGTTGCCACGACCACAGTGAAATTATTGAAGAAATCCGGGCTATTGGCCAATATTTGTTCTGGTTCTTCGTCGATGTAATCGCCCGTTACGTCCGGGTTCATCTCCAAAAGCATTTGAGTGGCTATCTGAGCTCTGGATTTCCCAACGCTATCTGCTTCTAGAAAAAAGCTAATCAAAATCTATTTAATGCATCTAGATGTGTCTTCATATTTATCATTTTTTTGTTTTTGTTTTTTTTTTTACATCATTCTTGTGAAGTAACAAGACGTAAGTATATTATGCACATACTTGGCTCCGATATCCTCATCGGTGATCTTCTTGCCATCGACTATGGTAAATGCTCCTATGCCAGGAAGTACCAGCGACTTGAGTATTTCCGTGCCGAGTCCGGTGGCATTTATAACGCAGATGTGAGCCGCCTCTAACGTAGCTTGACCGTGATCGCCCCATAATCTGTCAATGACAAAAGGTTAGGTCAGGTCACAAAAAAATATAACTGTTGCGTGAGAAAGAAGAAAGCGATTTTGGAAGAAAATGGTCAATTTTCAAGTCGGGATAGACGTGAAGTTGGCCATTCGAAGTGGAAAACAGGATGGGATACGGAAAATGTGTCAGTCGCATAACCTCAAAAAGCGGTTAACGTTACCTCAGCTGCCTGTCGTATTTTCGATTCCTCTCGGATTGTTCGGGCGACTTTGACTCGGGAGATGCCATCAAGAAGGTGAACTCGTGGGAAACAATAAAACCGACGAGGAAGATACTTGGAGACACAAGGAAGAAGAGAAAAAGAAGAAATACATGCACAGCCAGACGGAACACAGCGAGGGTACCGAGAGATCCTACGGATATCGGGATATGTAGGTGTCTGCAAGGTGTCAATGTCAGTCGATGATTACGTGTCACGTTCATGTATCGTTGATCGGTATTATTAATTTTGATTTTTTTCTCTCAGGAATCGGATCTTGATAACGACATAAAGAGATGTGTGCGCATGTAACGTGAGATCTTCGGATAATATTTTTCAATTAAACCTCTTGTGTCCACGAATTCGAATGTATTACAATTTTGCAAAAGCGATCGGTCAACGTCAATTATTCAGACGATCAACCAAACTCGGACTAATCCGTCAAATACCGAACGATAGATTTCAATTTTGTCTGTTCAACTTCGATCAACTCTGAATCGGTCAATTAATCTTAATTTATTAAATGTAATTAATCAAAGTTAATGAAACTTTGTGTTTTTTTCTCTCGGCGATATCGATCTTAATTCGGCGCGGTCTCGTTCGAAAACCCGGGAATTGGCGGAGATTCGCGAGCGAAGCCGACGCGTAGTTCGATATCTTTGCACCACGTGAGCAGCCGCCCGCCGCCGACGAAGCTGCGATAGTAGTATAACAAGGCAATGGTAGCTGACGTTTGACAGTTGTTTTTGATCAATCGCGGTGAATGTTCTGCACCTAGACGGGAGATCGTTACATACATCATGAAGACGTGAGTAGCGTCGCGACGCGACGGCGTTTTTACTCGTTCTCTTTCTCGTATTTTTCGATTGATCTTACCGATAAACGAGCGCGAGTAAATTTGAAGATAAAGTGTGTGTGCGCGCGCGATAGTTTATTATTAACGCGATCGTTAGCGGCGTTCATCGAGTGAAAAAACCGAATGCGGAATATGCTTATAGCCAATTTATAATGTGAGCGCCAATTATAATGGATGACGTAAAATTCAAAGCAACAGGCGCACAGTCAGTAAAAGAAGTTCCTTTTTTGTTTGGTATAGGACAAAGAGAAATATCTATTTGTTCGCGTAAATTTATTTTTTTTCTACTGAAATTCACGTGGCTCCTAAGTTGATTTATTGTGATCCCTTGTGTCGTTTAAGGAAAGATGTAAGTTTTTTAATTATCTCGCAGACAAAATATTTTTGAACATTTGAACACGCTGCCTCATCAAAGTTGAAACTTTCTTCGCACGTATATTTCAATTATGCAGAGAATTTCGATCGGGACTATATTTTCCTTGAATTTCGATCCGACTACCGTATTCGCTCACCAGCTGTGGGTTTCAACACGTGTAAAAAATACACGAGTGCTTTATTATACATTTTATTCGAGTTTTTTTTTAATATAAATAATCTCTTGTTATTTTATATATATATAAAAGAAAACAAAACATTCCTTTGCGCCTTACACGCGGTTAAATCAAATATCGAATGATCGAATTGTTGTTCAATATATCGACACATTTATGTCGCAGAGTTTAACAAAGGATATCGCGCGATAAGGAAATTGAAGGATACGATAAGCAAAATACATAAGTTGGTTGACAATTTGAATCGCAAACTTGCTGAATGAAATCGTTTAGCCTTTGACGAACGAATAGACTTGGCGTGTCAGCTGCAAGAGCAAAGAGAGAAGACTTGAGTGAAGATGAATTCGGACCCTTTTGACAGACAGTGTCGCACGATCAGATGATCCGCGGATTCATCAATCTTCTTTTTTTTTTCATATGCCTCTGACGTGTAGTAAATCAGAAATTGCAGTCAATATAAAAGAGTCGCTCCTCGTGAGCAAGTCTAAAGTACAGTTAGCTGGTTTTCTAGAATTACTCGCGTAACTCGTGTCGATTTTTCCGAAACATTTAATCACACAAATTGAAATTGTGTATCTTTCTGGAAAGTGTCATAAATCTTTCAGATGCTGCGGAAAGAATAGTTTTGAAATCGCAGCTCCGTAAACTTCTGCGTGAAAAAGAACGTGCTGAGGTCGTGATGGATTAAAAATTTCAGATTTCTTATGTGTGTACAAACGGAGAATTGAAACGTCAGCGAAATAGAAAACACGTGATCGGAAGATGTTGATAACGCTTCACACACAAAACATGAGAAAACATACATAGTTGCGTATCCCATCCGGAACTATAATTTCCAACACAGAGAACCAATTGACTGATATCATAAACGCGTATGGTTTTGTACTTATTTTCTCCAAGTATATATTTCTAATATAGTACGCAAACGAATTGTTAGCGCGCAACGCGGTACAAATTTCCTCGTAAATTCGAAAAAGTTACGTCGTACGTGTCAATGTCGAAAACATTGATGCATCATTCAGTTTGTAAATCTCGTTAAGTATTTTGTTATTTCGATTGAGTGTTTTCATAATTATATATAAACAAAAAAACGGATCTTTTCATCGATGACATGCGATACAAAGTCCAGTCACATCTTTGAGAAAGTTCAATCAGCAAAATGCGTAATGCGTGTAATTATAGATTACGTACGTTTGTGTCAATCAGATGATTGAAACAAAGACGGGCAAAAGCTTTTGATTACTCAACAAATTACGAAACATATCTCCGATGGAATTTAACCTTTGTACTCATGTGTAATAGTTAAAATATAAATCGTACGATTGCTTATCGATGATACTGAATTCGGTTCGAATTCATTAAGATACGTGCAAAGGTTAAGTTAAAAAAAAAACGAAAAAAAAAACCTTGAGGTCACCTTAAGGCATTTAAGTCCGTTGTAATTAATGCACACGTATTTTGTTTTGGGAATGTAACATCACATGTATACGTTATTGTATATTTATATAATCAAAGGTGCACACAGAGTTGCTAAGTATCGCAGTTACGTCACCAGATCAATTGTTTGCATCACATACACACTATATATACAATGTAAAATATGAGTCATTTCGTCGTCAAAATCGTCACCATGAATGAGGAACGCGAGGAAATGCCAGAAATATTAACTTACATACGTTATCTTATTTGGAATCGCTATATCTTTCTGAATCTTTTTATAAGCTCTCAAATTGACCATAACGACACTAGTGAATTTATAGCATAAGTGCGCAATGATGCGCACGAATCTTGCGCATAGATAGAACTGCGAAAAAAAACGACTATCGTTCTCTCGAGAAGCTAACGCGTTAAAAATAAAAAACAGTCTATGTTTTTTATTTTATTTTATCATTAAAATGCAGAACAGATTAATAATTTTGTTTCTTTATCTTGACGACATTGCGTGCGTATCTATAGAGGAATTGGTTGGCAATTTTTTACAAATTACGCGCATCACACAAAAGTCTGATCACATGCGACTATCCGATCCAATTCATTAGCAACACCGTGGCAATTTTTTTTTTTTTTTAACTCTCCGTACTTTTCCAGAGTACTAGATGGCATCTGCACAACGAGCGGCATTGTGCTGATATCCCTCTTTGTGTTGATCTGCGCGTTGAGCGAGAGCGTGCGATATCGGACCAAGTTTGCCTTCTTCATAATAGGAAGTGCGCTAGCGGCGGGATTGTGGATACCGTTTATGTTTTTCCGAATACGCAGCTGGAAGAACGCGCTGTAAAGATCTTTTGTGTATTTTGTCTGTTGCAATTAACTTATTTACAAGTGTACTTTACACACATTGGACGACGTTGTTGCAGAGTGCCGGCCAGATGCGTGGTGAGAATAGCGAAGATCATCGGGATCAACTTCCGTTTTCGCGGAAAAGAGAACATCATTAAGGATTCGGGTTGCGTCGTGCTCATCAATCATCAGAGCTCGTTAGATCTTTGCGGTAAATTCAATCAGTTATATTACGCGATTATACGTTTCTGTTGTTAAAAAAGTAAATAAAAAATTAACACTTTAAATAAACTTATAATAAACTTTTAAATATATATATATGCGTGAACGTATAAATAAACGTCTCTTTATCAAGAACAACGGAAATACATACACATGTGCAAATTGATGATGGCAAGAAAATTGTTTGTGTACAGTTTTAGGAGAATTATGGCTAACAATGGATCATTGTAGCGTTATTTCCAAGAAGGAAATTCTGTATCTGGGACCGTTCGGTCTCGCGTGCTGGCTCTGGGGCACGGTGTTCATCGACAGAAAAAATGTCGAGGAGTCCCGCGAGATTATTAACGCCACCGCAGAATCAATTCGATTGGCAAAGGTTATCTTTCTTTGCATTGATAAATAATTTGTTTACTTAATCTTATCTTACGTCATTAGCATTCTAATGAATTAATGTTGGTTTTAGCGAAGACTCCTTCTGTTTCCCGAAGGACATCGACATTCGGGTAACTCGTTGCTTCCCTTTAAGAAAGGCGCGTTCCACGTGGCTATTGAATCGCAAATGCCCATTCAGCCCGTTGTCGTATCAAAATATTACTTTTTAGACGGAAAAATAAAGAGATTTAATTCAGGTGTGAGATAAATACAACCGATATTATTAAAAATGAGAAACAAATATAATTTGTACGTACTCTCGCGTTTAAGGAAACCACTTTGCATTACAGGGACTAGTTATATTACAGTTCTACCGCCTATTCCCACCGCAGGTCTAACCAAGGACGATCTTCCGAAGCTCATGGAACAAACGTACGAAATTATGAACAAAACCTTTGTGGAATCCACATCGGAATGTCTCGAGGAACAAGTGCGAAGTCTAAAGTGCGAGTGAGTGAGTGAGTGAAAGTGTCAACAACAATTAGTGTCTCCGTCGTTATTTGGCAACTGATCGATTCGCAAGACTCGTACGTACGAGTGAACTTTATTACAATAATGGGTTTGGTGAAAGTGATTCTTTCATATTCTCGAATATAACTAACTTGCACAACCGTGAATCGCACGATAACATTTAATAACAATATTTAACTTTTCATGAAAAAACTTAAGCTGCGACTCAAGTACTCAAGCCTTAAAAAAAAAATGAATTCTGTTCACTCAAACTTTTATATTTATCAGGTCGATCAGGTCGACAATAATCGCAACAGTTTTTTTCACAACTTTTGTCATATTGATCACTGCTCTTCCATTACTCTTCTTGTAAAAGTTTATCCTTACGGAATCAAAAGAATTCTGCTAAAGTTCAATCAATTTGTATACTTTTTATATCTAACAGAAAAAAATTTTAATTTGTAACCAAGTTGCTATTTTTATGTTATCTTTCTGTACATCTTGTTGTGCGAAATGACTTACATTTTGTAACAGTCGGTTAGAGAACTGTGTGAAAGTATAACATTTGACAACATATTCCATTTAAGTTTATGTGTGTATGCGTGTGTGTGTGTGCATTTCATGTACAAATTATTACTGCGACTTTTGTATAAACTTTACGAGTGATAGAAAATTTATAAATATTTGAATATTTGAAGATATAATCACTTACATATTTATGTCAAATTTATGTGCGTGAATAAGAGTGAAGTTGTTGTAACAAAATTCGCTCATATACATGTTAAGTATGCATGCATTTAACAAATATTGTGAATTGTTATCTCTGGCTCAACAATAAATTATATTTTAAATAACGCGACGCGTTTGACAGCAAAAAGTATTTCTATCGCAGATCAATTCTGAAGATGACAGAATCCATATGCTATGTGTTAAAAATATTACAGCGGAATATGAACTTACCTTTTGTTATTTAAACATAATTTTTCTTCCCTGTCAATTGCACCTGTCCGCGATAAAATTGCATTGGAAAACGATACGTTATCTGTTCCCGTTATCTGAACGTTTAATTACATCGTCGATTTTTCTCGTGTTCATTCTGCTTAACATGTACGTTCTAGCTCTTTTTCGCTTTGAAAATTCGCTGACGTTCCAGCGATCGTGGCAAACGCGGACTTCAAGATCCACCGAGAGCGAGGAATCCTCGTCTAATTCGATTTCAGCGGGTGAAGAATTTGCAAAACATTCGTTCTTGCTCTTTCGTGCCGTATCGACACTTATAAATCTCGGGAAGTTATTCTTTTCCCTAAAGTTTGTACATTCGAGCGCCAATCCATCGGTTTCGTCGTTCGCTCTTGTTTCCGACGTGTCGCGTTTGTATTTGTTGCACGGTAGTTTGTACATCGCATAGGGACATTGTTCGCCGCACGAACATTTTTTGTATTTCTTTATTTTATTCCTCAGTGACGTCTCGTTTCGAGGTTCATGGTTCATCGGTGAGTTATCAGACAGGCCGGTTGACAAATTATTTGTAACACTTTGATCAAATAACTTCTCGTTATCTTTTTGACACGAGCACGTAGCGATCTCGGTTTGTGTAAAAGCGTTACGTGTGAATAGAATATTTCTCGAATCGATGTCGAATCCTTCGCCGACGTAAGTGCGTTCGTTCAAGTTTTTGTTCCATGTATTAAAGTACGAGAGCTCTTTATCTTTCCGCGGAAGACACTTTTGAAGATCGGAAGTCACGCATGTGTGATCGGGTTTCTTTTGAAAGTCTTGAATCTTTTGAATACCTCTAATGATCTTTCTGTTAATAATCTCAAAAACGATAAACATATTTTTAGACGCTCACAATATGTTAGAATTGCGCACGTGGCATTGCAAATCGAAGACATTAGAAACATAATACCCGACAAATTTGCAAATGAAAAGAGTTTCCGATTTACATGTAATGATTCTTGAAACTCTTTAGAATCAAGATTATTTTTGCATACTTTTTATAATTTATAAAATTGTTAAAAGTGTTTTTAATGATATGTATCTTTTATCGTACATTTTAGTAACATACCTTGATACTCTGCATGAATCGACGTGTTTCTCCACTTTTTACAGAAATCCCGACGTTTTTGCAATACGTTTTCACTTCTTCCATTACATTCGACTCAATCTGATTATTCTTTTCTTTTGTAGAGTCAGACAAAACGTTGCCATGATTTACGTCAAGATACATCTTTTTCAGATCGTTCACCTCCGTCCTAAGTTCATCCACTACGCGAGAAAGAATATTCACTTGCTCAAGCATTTGATTGAGTTTACATTTGTCACGGCAGCTGGTCTCTTCTGACATACTTTGAGCTTCAATCAGAATTACGATACTTCAATAAACATTGTCTTGTCGCATTACATGACACACCGATGATTTTTTCCATTTTTTTTTTTTTTTTTTTCTTTACATGTGTTGAATCTCACCCTCACACTTTCTGCACTTAAGATGTAATTCTGTAAGAAAAGTGTAATACACACAAACAATCTCGCACTCATCTTTTAGTTTGTTTTTTTCTTTCATACTGCAAATAGAACAATCTTATGCTTTTCCTAAAAAGGGACTTCTTTTGCGGAATGTTTTTTAAAATAGTGGATTAAAAACAAAATGAAAAATATTGATAAAAATTTATCTAGGGTGCTCATTTCAAAAAATCACCCTGTATGTAAATTATTAGTTTTTTTCTGTAAAATAGTAAATGTTAATAAATCACAATATATTTATGGCAGAAAGACAGAAACAACAGTTTCTCACATTGACAACACGAGTTTGTATTAAATATTCGTTTTATTTGATTTGTATGTTCTAGGTACATTTTATCATCAGTCAGTGTGTGTCGAATATATCCATATAACAGAGATTGGCTATTTAACATAATTGTCTGGTAATAAAAAAAATTCTCTCTTCCTTCTTACCGCAATTTAATACGCGTAATACTATAAATCATATTTACAATCTTGTTCATACTTCATTTATTTATTACTGCCAATTTGGCATTATTATAAAATTAATAATCGTTTTCGTGTAATATACATTTGCGCGTAAAAAAACGCCGCACGTAACTCCGCTGCCTCTCGCGCGATACTATTAACATTACGATGCAAAAATAAACTAGAAAAAGATATGTAAAATTGTGCATTGATTGCTCAAAATAAATATTAACTTTCTTTTGTTTTTTACACGTCGTCCCATAAATTTCTGTGTACACTTTGTTGTTTGTCGCAGATAAATTTTTCTTAAAAAAAAAAAAAAAGGAAAACAAATGGCATCTTTACACTTTTACATACTCCACGTTTGCTGTACAAGTGATCAAAAATGTATCCTCATCGCGATACGACTACGATGCATCGATCACAACAATCTGCATCTTCGTGTGTGTAATCTTCTATATCTATTATATTAGCGCGAAATCTTGACGTTCTCTGGAATGCTGATGCCGTACGTTCGATCGAAAACATCTAGTTTTGTTCTACAAAAGGTGACTTAGGTTTCTCGTTTCTAGTTGATTCTTCTACAATCGAGGTAATTGGGTTGCCCGTGCTCGTTCCGCATGCGAAAAAAAAAATTATTTCCACAATATTTCCGTAGTGTGGAACTTACGATAAGAAGAATACGACGTATGTTAGATGTCGTTCACGGAAGAACGTTCGGAGTAATCGATCAAGTTTGTTAATTTGTTCCACCGCTTGCGGCTCCACATTCCGAAAAAAAAAAAGACTCCCGCCCCCTTCCCCCAATTACACCGTTCGATACACGATAACTAACTCGTTTATCGTAATACTGATTCGCGATACCAAATAATTGTTCTGAATAGTTAAACGGAGCCGATAAAGCCCGCCTGAAAAATCGTCCCTTCTTGTCGTAAAAATCTCCGTCGCCGTTTCAAGTTACTCTTTTTTTTATTTTTCTCTTCTCACCTAGCGCATGTCGAGCGCGGTGCTTAATACTTAGAACTAACTGTTAACTCGACGCGGATCTAGCGATATAAATTATAAATAAGAAAACAAAAGAGTGTATACATCATAGAAAGAAGCGTTTGAAGAAGTGACTGACAAGATATCCCTCTGGGCTGTTCCGACCACCGAGAAAAGAGAGTTTTACTGTCTCTCTCTCTCTCTCTTGGGTTCTCTCCTCTTTCTTCAATATTTGTATAGCACAGCCTTGTTCTCCTTCTTCTTCTATGCACAAACGGTCATGTTTTTCTGGCGAACGTCAGCAACTCGATGATGACACCGTTGAGATCAGAGAATTATGAGAAAGAACGAAACGAGAACTGTTTGATTTCCGATTTTAAAAATACGAAAATCTTTTTCTCTCTCTCTCTCTCTCTCTCCCGCAAGTTCGTCCCGCGGTCTTCCGGTTTCTCGTAGGGCCCGTTATCGGTCATCCGAACGAGGTATCTCCTGATGCTACTGCTGCTGCCTGCAGGTGCACTTGAACTGTTGTCACATGAGTGTCTTCCGCTGTCAGACTAGCTCAGTTTAGTCGGCCGGAGTATGGTCTGTCGGGAATTCGGGGGGGAATATTGGGTACGGGACGCCTACAACATAGACAGATATTGAATATCGGACATGTGCTCGTGAGATTTAAAGCGAAAGCATGTCTGCGTGAGAAGGGACTATCATAGAACGGAAGGGACGCGAAATTGATGCATGAACATAGGGAAGCTTCGGAAATTCAACGTCCGATTACAATTATCTCTTTTTTGCAGTTACATATAAATACACTTAAAATCCAAATCTCAAGTATATCTCAACAAAAAATGTTTGTTCAGCTCTGATGGAGCTTAATGGCTTAATCGGACATTAAAATCTTATCGCCAAGCTTATACATTAAGCAGAATTTAAGTTTAATCTAAAAAAAAAACAAATATTATTTAAAGTGACTGTATCACATAAAAGAAACATCATATCACATAAAAAAAAAGATCATATTGTGAAAGATCATATTTTGTAGAGAGATAATGTGACAATAATGACGTATTACCATATATATATTTATAATATATAGTATTACGAAATATAAAGAGGAAAATATAGAATTACGTGTTTCAGTAAACTTATGATAAAAAAAAAACCAATAGGTAATGACGTGTGATTTGAATTAAACCAAAATGTAAAAAACACAGCATGCTCAAGCTTCAGCAACAAAACACATGCAGAAAGTGAATTTGTTCAGGACATAAATCTTAAACAACAAGTTGATCAGAACCGAAAACAGATACGTGAGAATAAGAGATTAATTTTTTTTTTTTTTTTTACCAATAGCGGCGCTGAGAGAAAGAAAGAGTTAACGTTTGAGTGTATACTCTTTATATAGAATCAAGCGTAATCGTGGAATGTTTGAACAGAACACGTAAAACTTACAAGAATGTGAGGATTCAGAGAAAGAAATAACGCAGAACGCGAACACGCATCCCCGTGCACGGAGAGAACACGTAAACGAGTTTATTGAATCACATCGCGTTTCAGCAGCAGATGCCGAAAGTGCGCGTTTTTGTTTTCAACATAAGAAACGTGTACAAAAATCATGTTACTTCGCGATACGTCGACAGACCCGACGGAAATGCGTCTTCGACTGTTCGTGAGGAGAGCGACGTCTTTTTCATCATATAATCTTATTTCTCATGTTTCTTCACGCGTGTATATACACATATGTACACACCCAGAGATGCAACATGTACCCATATGTATACATATACACGTTTATATAGATATATATTTGTATATATATTCTATAACATATTACTCCCTATATACACATTTATATTGCAGTAAAACAGTGTGTTCCTCTCGTGCGCACGCGGCGCTAATATTACAACGTGGTTTTTTTCTTTTTTTTCTTTTAAGACGCATAATAGAGAAAACTAAGTGTGTGATGTGTGTGTAACCCTCCATTAAACATTTATTATCGTGATAATCTCAACGGGGCTGGGAGGAAGAAGAGTTTACCTGTTCGAAATATAAATTATCTCGTCTTTTTGGTCGGATTTGGCGGAATAAAAATCACTATAAAAATTAATACGTGGTATAAAAATTAGCACAAGATCAATATATATATGTATATATATATATATATAGTGGTTTGTTTTTTGTATGAATCAACGAGAACTATATGCTGTTCGATATCTGCTGTTAGAAGTACATAGTGATTTTGCTGTATGGGTTTTCTGTCGCGAGGCTCCGCTCTTGCCAAAACAGCTCGTTGCTCTACAACAACATGAGGGTTACCTTCTTGCCCGTGCACAATTTGAATTGGTTCGACATAAGAGAGGGAAACGAAGAAAATCTCTCCTCCTTGTTTCGCGATTTTCAAGTATTCTAGCGGTGAAAACACATTGAGAGGAAATCTTTAGAAGCAACGTACGTTTTGTCGAATCATCTTATTGTCTCTCCTGATAAGATATGGAAGTATTTCTCATCTCCCTCCCTTGTGCCAAATTTGTCCAAGAAAATATTACATTGACAGCAAAAACCTGCACAATTCACTCTTCAATTCGCCCGCTGTGCTTTTTTTTTTTTTTTTTAATATAACAGTATATATGCGGCGTTTTAGAAAACCCGCAGTGTTGTTTAGTAGAATACATTACTTGTTTCTTTAGTCAGTGTTAGCTTTACACGAGATAAGCATAACTAGAATGAGAGACATATAAGGCTTTAGATGGAAGCATGTATATAATGCATCGTGTAAAGTGTGTATCGCGATCGCTATGTATATATATATATAATTCTTATCGTAACACTCTCTCTCTTCTCCGTTTTGTGAACAAATACAGAAGTTGATATTCACCGATATGGCGCGATTTGTTTACACACTTAACGTCGGGCGTTATGACGAGGCGCCCGACTCCAGTGGTGAAGTAACGTAAAGCTAGGAGAGAAAACGAATATCTCTTCGAAGGCAACGTATACGTTACACGCTACTTAAATTGACCGTACATTTAAACTAACATTTGTATAAGTAGATGATAAAATAGCTAAATGAAATTATAGACGCTTATCCTTCGTTGTAAGACGTTGAGTAAGACGGTCAATACATTAACCGAAGGTGAAGATTCACACGATAGAAAACTAAATTCGAGAAGACTCTAAATACAACATTATCAGTTTTAACAAGTATTTCGGTGCAAAAAATATGCACGTATCATAATGATATGCCCGATCGAAAGCTACGCGCCTCGTAAAGAGAGACTCCTCTCTATTGATTCCCATCCGTTCTTATATTATATCGTTACGCGTGTTTTTAAGCAACTCGCGCTATAACAAAACCGAACGATATACCTTAACGCGTATAAGAACGGAAACCTCTCACGATCCCTAATGAGAATTAAACACTGTTGCGTCACAGTAAAAACAAATCTACAAACATTACTTACAATTATATATATATAATATATGTAGCGCAGTGATAATTTTTTTTAAATTGATATATTAATTCTTTTTATATAATCAACATTGAGGTTTCTCTTATTTCGATGCGTTCTCAATTAATTAATTTTTAATATTCTGACATTGTTTCAAAGGATCAATATATACGCAATATATATATGTATATATATAAATATATTTTAAATATATATAAGTTTATATATTTAAACTTATATATTTAAAATATATTTATTTTATATATATATGTATATATAAAAGGTACACTGTACAATATCATTAGTGTCATTTATACGGCTGCGCACAGAATTTCGTTTGTATCGCCACTCTTTCTTTTTGTGTTATACGCAAAATCAGACGTGTGTTGCGTACGACGTGCTTCAAAGAAGGAGCGATGGAGCTTTTTCACGCAAAATTGACAGGCAAAATAAATAATAATTAAGTCATTTACCAATAATTCAGAGAGAAACTGTGTTGAGATTAAATAAATATTGCACGCGTCCGCGAGAGTTAAAACAAGTAAAAAGAAATAACTACATTGAATGCTATTAGGCCTTTTCAATGTTGACACATAAATTCAGGAAAAAGAATATAAGTTGATTTATCAATGTGTGCGATAATGAGACACTTGTTGCAAGCACGAACAGCGCAATAATATGAAAAAAGACCTCTTCACCGGTGTTCCTCTAACGTTTATTATTATCCAAGAATACATCCTACTGTAACAAAAAATATTTTGTTTTTATTTTGTTTTTAATTGCACTTCGATCGCCGCCTTTCAGTTTCTTTTCGGATTATTGCGCGAAAACACGCGCGCTCGAAATGAGAACATAAATCGCTCCGTGTATAGCAGGATTTGCAAGAATATCTAACGTTCATTTTATGCATTAGGCTTGTAAAGTTGCGTCGTGTGTTCTCTGTTCGTCTTTCGAATCTCATAAGAACGCGGGAAGTTTGTAATACATGAAGAACACTATACGGGGTTTGAAGCACGTCGTTGCGATAGGCAAAGACATATATTATCTAATTACACGAGGAAAATTTGTCATTTTATATACATATATAGTTGCACTGCAAGCATGATGAGGGAGCGCGCTCTTTATCTCTCGGAAGAAACGATTATAAAATAATACAAGACAACAACACGTTCGCTTCCTGAAATGTGTGTTCGTCGAATATATGATGTACTCTTGTTTTATATTGCACGTAATATTGTGATAAACTATTTAACTCTTTCGATTAGATACAGATTGAACTATCCAGAAAGAGAAAGAGAAAGAGAATTTTTTTGTTGTTGTTTCGTAACTTCGGATTTTCATGCAAAATCCTTGAAGCACTCTACGCTATATCACATCCTATGTCTGAGCACATGTTTTTCTTGTTCATATCTCATAAGGACTACGTAATATTTGTTATTTTAATTCTCTTTTATGACGTGTATATATATATAATTTTTATTTTTATTTTTAATGGCTATATATGAGAATAAAATAAATAACACGTTGCAGAAGGTAGACAGAAATAGAGAGAGGACTTCGCGCGGTATTTTGTTTTTAAATACAATACACGCTTTTTCTTTTAAAGAATAACATTTTTGAATCAAGTTGGATTTATATATGTATATATATATTTAAATTTGTTTCAGCTACCTTCCCAACAGCATGACATTTTCTTAGATCTATCTCATTTATTATTTATATATATATATATAGAATTCATACGCGAGTTTGACGCTTTCCTCGATAATGCAATTGTTTCAGTAGTTGCATATATCGGATGCAGTTGATATACAATCGCTCTGCTACAATAATTAATCATCATCATATCAAACTCGCTCTTTGAATGATGGAATGTTCTCTCTACAATTAATGCAAAGCTACTTGTCGATCACATTCTCAGGTTCTGGTAGACTTTCCAGGATAGATTCACTGGATGCAAGTATATTATCGCAAGTTTAGAGGAAAAACTTTATATTTCTCTTATAGAATTCACTCTCTCTCTCTAACAATACTACGAGTGCGAGTTTTCACACTTACATACAGTGTGAAAATAACAATAATTGGATCAACTTGCTAAATCTCTACGTTAAAGTCCAGCTTGTTAGTTGTTTTTTTCTTCTTACTTACAAGTATGTATCATATGTATTTTTAAAATTTGTAGCTTCTCCTGATCGTCATACTTTGATTTCACGTGTGAAACTGTTCAACGCGTTTTTTTAATTTTTTATTTTTTTATTGCTCGATCAATAATTTTAGAAAATAATCTTCTAAGAACATTGAAGGTAATACAGAAATATCGCACAGACTATACAGCTACATAGTGCTCTCATATACTTATATATATATATATATATATTCGTTACTTGTATATATTATAGATAATGAATATACACAAATATCTGTGCTAACATAAAAGACACAGATGTACATATGAATATTCTTTACCTTACAGTATATATATATATAATACAGATATATAACTCTAATAGATTATACGTTTTTTTTACACAAATATGCGTGTGAATAAATGTCACGTATACACACGTCATGTGATACAGATTTAATTTCTCAGGCACGACCGTTAATTAAATTTTACAGAACGCCATGCAAGAGAGAAAAGAAGATACGGGGGAAGAGAAACAGAGAGCCAAATTAGCAATTATTCTGCGGAGTTTTGTTAAAGATCTATTCAAAGTGGAGGAAACACTTGGAATTAGTTCATTCTCAACCCTGAACAGTCTACCATATCTACTTGCGCAACTTGAAAAAAAACAAAAAAAAAGAAAGAAATACTCATCATGTACATTTATATGTTATTATACGAGTAACACTCTCGAAACTCAGTTAGTGAATCTATTTACTTGATCTTGAACGCGTCCATTAGCTCGTTCATGGCGGCCTGCGTCGCAGCCTGTGTCGCAGCTTGCGTCACCCTCTGTTGTAGACCACCCCCTCGACTAAACACACCACGGATAACCCAGCTTTGACTACACATTCTCATTCTTTCAATTTTATTTTTAGGGACATATGCCGTTAGTAAATATACATATATATCATCTCAAGGCTCTTGTTTCCTTTTCTCTCGCTTTTGACGTCATACAATCATATATATATTTGAGTTGGATATATATGGATATATATATATATATATACTATAATATGACTACAGAGGGACCAAGAGCCTTATAATGCGTGTCTCGTGTATAAAAGCGTGCGTAAATTGCTTTCTTAAATGCGTATATCCGAGATAAAATTATTAACGATATATGTAGCTTTGTAACAATACTTTTATAAAAATGTTATTGTAATAACAACACGATTCCACATTCAAGGGCAGATTTTAAAATGTCAAATTTCACTTGTCTTAGCTCCCATTTTACAAAACACGTAACATCTATATGCCACTACTTTTTCTTGCTTGTTTTTCTTTTTTAATGGATCGAAATGCAGGCACCGACATATTTGTCCGTAAATATTAATTGACAAGTCTCGAAGTAACATTACACACTTCGTATCAAACATAGGACAGAGGACACATGAAGTAGACGTGCTGTTGTTATGCAATTTTGAAGCTTTGAACTTGCATTATATATATAAGAGAGATATATATATACTGATACTTAATATTTTATTTGAAATATATATATTATATATATATATTTATATATTAATGATACATATACGATATTAAATAACTAACAAGGTTTGTTTACCGTAAACGCAACCAACGTTTATCACTTTAGTTGCATTTTTTTTTGTCTAAATGTCATGCTGTTAGTAAGTAAATAAATGTGGTTATATCTATATCTGCCGTAAGAACACAGTTCTTTATTTGACAATACCTTCAACGATATATACATATATGATTTATCAGAGACAGCGTCATCAAATTAATTTTTACAATTAAACATATATATGACTCGACTATGTATATATATGTATATATATATTTAATATAATTTTTCTCTCTACGAACAAGAAACTTGTACCTTGGAATGTTTAATATTGCACAGGTATTTCTCACTTATTATTGGCGCTACAGATAACTACGAGAATCAGAGAAGTGTTAATTTTGCAGAAGAAGATATTGTACACAGAGCGGCGTGGGTGTAGATTGAAACAGTTGCTTTTGAAATGTAAACGTTAAATAATAGAAACAATACTGTAAAAAATGATAAGACAAGTATCTCCTATCTTTCAATCAATCGTAATTTCATCATCTCACCACATTATTTTTAAAGAAAACCATGTCTTTGTCGTGTCATGCAAGTGAAACACTCGGCAAATTTTTCCATTTGTTTTTGGAAGCTCAACGAAAACACGAAACAATAAAACTACGAAATTCCTATATGACTCTCGAATGACTTGTATAATTTTTCACGTTATAACTTTCACACTCCTATTTAAGTAACATTGATCTCTCGTAATCTTTGTGGTGTAAGTGGACACAATATAGTAACATTAGGAAATAGTGTTTTTTTTTGTGTGTGTGTAAAATATACACGAACTATAATGCAACAGAGACACAGTATTGGTTAGTAGCGAATAGGCGAGTTAGTGCGAAGACTTATTGTCGGCGCCTGCAATAGAAAGTGAAGTTAGCACCCAAGCTCCAATCATACAGCTACTTTTTTTTTTCAATAATAGACAAGATTCTCAAGAAAGAGCTGCAAAACCGTTATTTTCAGAAACTGTATGTATAACAATCACAAAGTGAGAGTTCGCGTTATTATTACACTTCGTCACACTTCGAACACCCAGTTAAATGAAAAACGTGCACTTAAAATTTTGTATGTGCTTATAGCTTCAGCATTAGAATTGCAATAAATAATGTAATGAAATCGCGCGACACGTGATAACATTTAAGACTCCTGTTTCCTCGATGCAGCGAGGGATCAGGAGAATCTCGATATCTATAAATTTCTATAATCTAAGATCTAAAATTTCTTTGACAATATTGACAAGTGGATTAAATTTGTGGAAAAATAGTTGAAGTTTATATACGTTTTTATGTAAAAATCATACTCACGATGGTATCATAGGTGGAGGTAGGCCAGGATTAGCTCGCGCTGGTGGCGGCCCACCTGGACCAGGCCTGTTAGGAATGGCTGGTGCCGGTCGACCGCTTGCAGGTACTGGTGGTGGTGCTCGTGAGCTAGAAAGAGGTGGTGGCTGTGTCACTCCGCGTCTTGGACCACCAGGAGATGGTGGCGATAATCTAAATATATATCGATAGAATATATTAAAAATCTGAATTCCCTTTCGCGTATGAAAATCCATTAAATCAGATGCTTTATAATTCAACACAATATTTTTAAACAAAAATATTTTTCTTTTCGTTTTGTCGAGAGAGAAAAAATTCTTCTCGATAAAAAGGAAAGAAAAAAAGTAAGAAATATATTATGTGTAAGGGGGAGTCTTACCCAAGACTGTTTTCAACCATGTTTGAATGTATGGCAAAGCAGACGGTACAAAATAAGAATGAAAATTAGTAAAATGCGCGACAGACCGTGTTAGGAATAACATAAGGGTTACCTTTGATTCTCGCCGGTTGCCAGCCAGTCATTCTTTACAGGCGGTGGTACTGGGGTCGAGACTGTGGCCATAGAGACGTCCCCGATGATACGGAGAGCTTCTTTGCATGCGTGATACATGCGCAACATCTCTTCCCGTTTCTGCGCCTCTTCAGGAGATTCTTCCATCATAGAAGCCTGTGAATACACACTTTAAATGTAATTCTTCACATAATAACGAAACTATATACAGAAAAGAATACACAGAAAAGAAGACAAGTGATATGTAAATTTGAATAAAAATAATAGTTCAAGAAATTCCGTGATTTCTTTAGAATCAAGCGTTAGAGCGAAGGAAGGGAATGGAAAGGATAACAAAAGGCAACTTACGATTACAGGATCATTGATTATCCTCGGAATATTTAATTCATCTTTAATCGACTAAGAAAATAATGGAGGGGATTAATCTAAAGTCGTTAAGAAGAAATGTTGCAATAAACTGTCACAAAATGAACTTTTTTATCAATCTATAGATGTTTTTACCTGATCGCCAGTTGCGTATAGATGAGCCAACAATTCTCCGTTAATGAAATCCTTAGCATTATTAATAATAAGATGCATAATCGTCTTTGGAACCAGATCACGAGTAGTCTTCGTGACGATCTTCATGTAAGAGTCCACTAAATTCCTGATGGTCTCCACTTGACGTTCCAGTTGAGGATCCATTGATGACTGGCCCTCTGCACCACCCTAAAGGAACACGACAGATTTCGCATCTTGTGTTTTTGTAGTTCCGATTAAACATACTTTCAAATAAGTATTCAATTTCAACAACTAAAGACATAACATTCGCAAGTACAACAAAATGGTAAACTAAAGAGCAAAACGATTTAAAGATCAAAACAGAGGAAGTTTTTCTAAAGTTGTTAGACTCTGCAATAGTATGTTTAGTTGAAGTGTCCGGTGCTCATGTGAGTGTCGTGTGAGTACCTTATAAATTCTTGAAAACACGATTGTACAAACCTCATATCCTTCCTTTATAGTCGATTCAAATACAAGACAGAAAGAATACGATTAACTTAATACACTTAATATGCAAAAGTTTGTACACAGTTTTATAGTTCGAAAAATGAAAACTTCACACACGCACACCGCAGACATTCCAAGTAGATTAAGCAATATTCAGAAAAAAACAATGTTCGCACTCATAAAATATCCTCTTTAAAAAATTATGTTGCTGATTATACTATCGGGGAGCATATTATGATTCATACGAAAACTTTTATATAATTGATATTAATTAAGTCTGCACATGTATGCCAATTTCATGTTTGTAAAAATGAGGGAACTCAAGATCTTTTTTGCGAAGCAATGATTGTTTTGTTAGTTATCTCTAATAATATTTCACACCACGCAGTGTTAATAATTAAATCGAATTGAATTGGAAAAGAAACTTCCGCCTATCTGTATATATTTTCTTTACCAACTCACCTTCTGCTTATCCTAAAATAAATTAAAATTGATTCCAATAAATATGATAAAACATCGCTTCAGATTACATTGATTTTTTACGTTAAAAAAATATATAACAATTAGATCGTAAAATAAATATATCTTCAACGAAGAACATTTGTCCTACTATAGAACAAATTATTTATTTTTTTTTATCGGAGAATATTATTTAATGAAGAAATCTATATATTGATTAACAACAAACTCACCTCTCCTTCGCCGTTTGCTTGTTCCGTCGCTTTCTCGGGATACACACCAGCCCTTAGGAACGAGGCCTTCCAGGAATCGACTTCGTCTTGAGTCTCGCAGCTCAATTCCAATTGCTTGTAATCCTTGTATACGTTCCTTCCTTCTGGATTAAACAACGCAAACAAATGACGCCGCGACATAAATCCTTGCTCTAGATCGCGCAGTTTTAGTCCGTCCAAAGGCAACATGTACTTCTTTTCCCGCTCCTTTGTGCGCAAAAAAATACACCAAGTTAGAGATTGTTAAACAAATTCTTTTGCAAACAACATTTGCAGTTTTTATTCAATTTCTTTGTATTATTTTTAATATTTAAACTTAAAAGACTGACTGTGCAAATCATAAGTGATATTTCTTACTTCTTCGTCCTTGTACCAGGAGATGCTCTCTGACGTCAACACAAACCAATAGTCTCTCGAGCCACCCTTCATAATACCGAGATTGTGTATGCACATGAAACCCTTGCGTATCACTTGATTGCCTAATGTGTGTCGTCCAGATTTAACGGCATTCTCGGAGGATTGCTGCGCACTGCAACACAAATAGCGATGTAATGAAATGTCAAATCACAAAAAGCGATTTCGTGTGTCCAACTGCAAGAATTGTTGCCATCAAATCTTACATTAGTCGTTTGTATAAGTAAAAGAAAAAACAGCAAAGTAGATATCTTGGCATTCATATATCTCAAACGAAAAAAAAAACTATCGTAAAAAGAAAAACTAAATTAATATTATTATAAAATAGCTTAAAAACTAGCTTCCGTTTATTTTTGATCACACACGAAACTTGTCCGGTGTTTCTGTTTTTTACAGCAAGAAAAGGCGGACACTGTACTTAGTGTCTTTATCCCTATAAATCGGTGTGTGTGTATAATTTATGCAACTATTTCAAAAAACTCCGATAAAAATTTTTACCTCAGAATTAATATTACAGTACATATCACAGTCATTGAATGTGATTACAATTGTTTCATGCATCCCATAATTCGTTCGTAGTTAGAAATATGAATTTCTGAGTGCATATTCGTTTTACATAGCTACTTGAACAACATTAAACACATTGCAAACGCACAACATTTTTAGCTATTATTGTAACATTGCAAAAATTCCCGATGTTGCGGTGCAAAAAGGATTGCATAAGCGCATATTACGTCGACAGCAATAACGGATTATAGAAGATGAAGATAAAGCGCTTGATGTTGCTGTATGAAATAGCATTTAAAAATTTAATGAATGATATTTAAGTGGACTCTTAAGTACATTTAACATCTGTTTCGATCGTTTTCGTTAAACATATGTAAAAAAAAAAAAATATTCTCTGATTTTAAAAAGCAACGTTATGATTTGGAAAGAACAAAAAAAATAAAACAATGATACATAGATGAAATAATGATATAAAAAAGTTACAGAGTAAGATATGAAACAACGTGCTGCATCTCATGTTTCAATATTATGTGAAAAAGTTTCTATGACATATTTTGAATTCAAGATCAAATATAGAAACTTTGTGTAAATTGTAGAACATTATATAAATTTAAATAGATTGTATATATATATATAAGATAAATTAATATAAAATAATGTAGAGATAAATTTCAAGAAAAAGCAATTTTATAAGAATGATTTTTCCATTATATATATATATATATATAGTAAGTTGTGTAAAATTTTGATATGAAATGCTAGTAAAAACAAAACCTACACAAAATATTAAAAAATTAAAATACAATATAATGTAACTTATATATACAAACAACAAGTAAAGAGAAGACGTATAAACAATATTTGTTTAAATCTAACGGTAGAAAACTTTCAAAAAATAAACGCAATGTTAAATTGGAGTCTACTATAAGATTGGTTTCATAGCAGGTCAATATCACAAACTTAAAGTAAAAACAACAAGATATATAATAGAAGAAAAAAAATTAAGCGGAGAGAAAAAGAAAACAGCGTGAAAATGGAGAAGGATAAAAAACGTAGTGTAAATTTTTGTTGGAATGTACTTTAATATTCTTACCTTGCATTATGGTAACTGGCTGCAGCGCTGCCGATATAATTAAATCATTTCTTTAATTGTGAAGTTTGAAGAAATCGATAATGAGAGAAAAGAAATACATGTCAAAGAGGATAAGACCATGTTATAATAATTAGGGTAAGGCACACATAATCTCATGAATAGATTTAAGAAATTATGAGAAGTATGTATCACATCGTGAGATGAATATTCATATTGCGAAGTAATTTAATTTTATTTTATTGGATCCTACTTTTTTAATTTTTGTTTTTTTTTTACTGTATCTGAACTAGACCAACTATATACTCTTGCACAAAATCTGTATGCCTTGTCCCCAATGGCATATTATAAATAAAACATAGAAAATTTACATAGTATTTAATTTTCAGCAACATCATTATTTGTTCTATATATATCTATTTAATATTAGCCGTACGTTGTAAGAGTACAGTTATTTTAACAATTGTTTGTTTTGTCAGGAATTATTAAAGAAAAAAAAATCAAAACCAAAAATTAAAAATATAGAATACTGCTACAGCCACAACAAAAAGAAAATCAACTTGAGCTACAAAGAATGTAATATGTGCAAATGCAATTCCATGTACTCAATTTATCTTCATATGTTAGCATTTTGTAATTTAACAATTAGCTGCTTCACAAGTAGATTTGTGTGTTCAACTAGACTTTAAATAGATTTAACGAACTATGTATTGTATAAAAAAAAGTCTGCCTTTTTAAAAATAGTTCTGAAAATGTATTACAAATGTTAAACAATTTGTATTTGACTGTTAGTTACAAATAAAATATAATGTTAGTCACAGACAGATAAAAGAAATTGAACCAAGATATTAAAACTATATATCGGAAATAAATGTATGAGAGATATCAAGTTCAGCATATTCATGTATATGATTTTAGCGCAATATCATACGAAATGTACATCAAATACATGAAATAACACTACAAAAATGATTGCTTGTCAAACTCTAGAGTGACTTCTGACGGGATGACGAGCTAAGAATGTTTAGCGTTATCGAAGATTGCTATGTGAGCTAAGTTTAAGCGATACATGCATTGAAAATATATATGCGCTGATAATTTGAGTGAAAAAAAAATACAGCAAGCAAAACAAATAATTTAACATATCACGTGTAGTATGTCTCTCTGTTATTATCTGCTCTGTTATTATTACGAATTTTACTTGGATTCTTGGTAAAACAAAGAAGTTATCTCTACAATAATTGTTTTTTGTAATAATAAGTATTACACATTAAACACATGCTATTTTATTTACGTCTAAAGTTCGAAGCTACTGTAATATGTACTTTAAAAACGTGAAATTTAATTTATCTATTCTGTCTCCTATAATTTTATATCAATGAAAAAACCCAAAAATATATATTTCTATAAAAACTAAGCATCTCAATGTGAGATTCGTAAGTAATACTATACATCCTGAATATACTAAACCTCTTCGTGAAACTTTTTTTACTGTGATACATGTGAATTCACATATATAGCCATTGCTATATGTAAAATATTCCTATAACTAGAATAATCTTTGAAAACATACAAGTTCATCTAAATACTATGACAGCAGTACACAATGTCTTTAGCTATTTAATGCCTAATAGTGTGTATTACAGGCCGTATTAAATTTATAACGTAAAGAAAACAGCACAAAATGACAAGCACAAAATGTAACGGAAACGACGATGTAAAAACTAGATGTACAAACTTAGGAAAACTGAATGTTTCTATTATTTATTTATATATATATATATAATATATATATATATATAATATATATATATATATAATATATATATACATATATATCTCACAAATAATTAAATCTAAGATGTAACACACGTAAAAAAAACCTCGGCAACACATTGAAGAGTTACTTACTTTGCAAAACCGATGAAATCCTCGTGATTCGTATTCATGTACGCGAGCTCGCAATCGACTAACAAAACCAGCTGCTCTTTACATAGTTGTTCGCGCTGCCTGATGTACGTCGTTATGATACGCTCCGTCTCTTCTCTCAGTCTGGGATAACGCGACATCTGAAATTTGCATAAAAACAGGCATGCAAGAGTTGGATACATATTTTGTTTCTCCTTTTTTTTTATTCAAACGTTTGTTTCTTTGACTTACCCGATCTGTACAAATGCGCACAACATTACTAAGTTCTACTACGACTAGGTCTACGCATTTGAGACTCGGTTCTTTAAGTCTATTTATTTGTTTCTTGACTATCGCTTCGAAAGCCATGTCTGGAGTGAATAATCCTACCCTGATACCTATTATACAAAATTTTTATTAGTCTAACTTTGTATCTTGTGTATTAGAAGTTTTTTAAAACTAACGCAGTTTTTAGAACAGACTGAAAAATTGTTTTTATTTCTTTTAAAGTACGAATATCACTAGTGACAAAAATTAGTAACAGACACTCACCATGTATATTTCTAATAGCGAAAGCGATTTCTCTCCTGAGTTCTTTCTCGTCAAATTCCATCTTAACAATCTCGAACGGAAAACGCTCGTGGAAAAGTCTGTTAATTTTTGCGCCACCACTGAGTTCATTAGTGTTAATTTGTGCCGAACCTGAGCCTTCTATAGTCCTTTCGAAATCTGACTGGAGCTGCTGTATCATCCTTAAAAATGTTTTTCTATCACTTTGTGTAATACAACCTGGCATAATGTAATATTAGTTATATGGGCAGAGAGTCTCAGTGTTATCTACTATTTATAAAACACACTTGGAATAGCAACTGTTACTGCGTTACACAATCTGCAGAATTTTAATATACAAATCCATTATGTTTAATATATAAATCTATTATGTAAATACGCATACTGTTTCACACGTTAGACTAAAAAAAGAAATATTTGTCACTTCTTATTCGTTAATTTTCTTGCAGCAGAATAGTTTTATGGTCTCATCAAAATCATCTTTTTAATTCATAAAAAGACATTCAAACTTCATGCAAATTTGTTATTAAAGAAAACTAAAAAAAAAAATTAAAAGAAACAAGAGAATACCTACATATACATTTGAATTGATCTGAAAAACAAAAAGCAAATATACTCTAAAACATCAAGACCCTCCACCCACAAAGTAAAAGAATACGAGAAAAGAATAAGAGAAAAGAAAAAAAAAGAATAAGATAATAAAATAGTACAAGAGAGAAAAGAACATCAAAAAGTAGAGGAAAATTGCAATCTTATTTGCATGAGTTATTTATGGTGAAAATATAGGAACACATTTATAAGAAAACATTTTGACGTTACATAGATTTGTAATATATTCTGCTATAAGATATGGATTTGTGATTTTTACGACATATTTTACGAGCAAAAGCGATAGGATATTAGCACACAATAAAATCCTTTTTACTTACTGTAACATAGCCTTTGTCTTGATGGAAGGATCGTCGGGTCTAAAGTGTTTGTACTGCTCAACATCTTTTTCTAAAGCTAACTGCTGCTTTTGTAATCTATCCCTTAGAGCCGGCAAGGTATCCCTGATATGGTTAGTTAGCTGTTGATTAAGAACTCTCTGCAAATACGGTGTACCCAACCTGTCCGCTAGATGACGATAAGACGGATGGCTAACAAACAAGAGAAGGATTAGCAAATATTGTTAAAGTACGGAATTGTTTCTATTATGACAGACTTTAGAGTTTACTGTGCACACAATTTTTCAGAACTATTCATCTACCTAAGAAAGAATTTTCGCTCAGCTGCCAAAGCATTTTTGATATCTTTTCGTCCTTCTATATCTTTTTGACTTCTATTGACCACACCGATGTAACCTCTTCTCAGAGGCAACAATTTATTCTCCAAGATGTCTCTCGCGTCGGTGCCATCGTCCATGAGATCCAATTTAGTGATGACGCCAATTGTACGTACACCTGGCAATATATTGCGCGTTAAATCAAGTTCAATAGCGAGGGTTAACAAATAGGATCGCTCGCTGATTAAATACCTTGTGGATCCACCTCCTTAGCGAGTTTGAGAGCATCGCTGTTGGCCAGATCAGTGTTGGCCGGCGTGACTGCTAATATGAGGCAGTTTTCGCGTTTGATAAACTGGAAAATCATCGCCTTAATTTGAGCCTCTATATCCACTGGCTGATCTCCAATGGGCACTTTCGTAAGTCCAGGTAAATCGATCAACGTCAAATTTAGAACTGTAAACAAGTACAAGCACGTTATTTATAAATAAATATTATAATTATCTCTTTTTTTAAAATATCCTTGTTGCACTCACCATTTGGTGAATATACTCTGAGATTAATTGGTATGTTAGAAATACCCTTGTTACTTCCAGTTACTCTATCCGTTTCCGCTTCGATTTCCCTCCGAACTTCATCAAAGTCCACAAACTTTTTACCTTTGCAATGCAGAAACTCAGCAAATTCTACAATATAAAACAGAAAAAATTATTTTAATTCTATGCTTCCGAAAAGTAATTATTTTTATAAAAAAAAAAAGGAGAAAATAATAGTACTAGACACACTTTAATATTATGTTTATATTTTGTTTGTGTATAAAAGGAAGAAAGAAATAAAGATATGAGCACTTTTATTCTGCTTATCATAATTTTAAGCTCAGGAAATATGATATAGTACTTGTGATAAAATTTAATGAGACAAAGTTCAAGCACCGAAGTTTTCGATTTTTTTTCACAAACTTTATTCGAAACGATAAACCCGAACATTTTTGGAAAAGTTGTTGTACATGTAATAAGTGCAAAACACACACAAAGAGTATGAAAAAGTGTTTAACACAAGATCAAGCAGAAAATGTCGCATAAATGGAGCAAACTGTCCCGAGGCTTTTACTTCTAATTGAAAGGAAAATATCTGTCGTAAGTATAAGGTCAATAGATTTTACCTAGTTGAAAGAAAAATATTTGCCACACGAGTATAGGTCAATAGGTTAACAAGATGATACGACTACACACGAAGTCCGCACATTCTTTCATAAATTTCAATACATGCAAATACACTCAAAACTGTGTATCAATTTTGTTTTATAATAATTGTAACATAAATTTCACACTATCTTTGAATTGAATGTGTTGCTCTATCGCAAACTATTGACCGCCCTATCGATATTTGTAATGCAACATTCTTGAAATGCAATTCTTTCTCTCCGCAGGTGAAAGATCTGTATGTACACAAGGAAATACGGTAAAGCAACATATCCGATTTCAATCGCAATGTGTTGCCAAAAGATACACAATCACATTTAGCATGACTCACCAGTTGTACTGTTAATCAACTGTAAGATGAGAGGTCTTCTTGTCACAATACCCGAGCCTCTGGGTAAGAAGTCTCTGGGAAAGAAGCACTTGTCATTATAATTAATCCTCATTAAGATTACTTGGTTACACGAATTGCGAGACCAAGAACATAACACATAGGTATTATTTTTTTTACACATTCTGCTTGAAATGTAGACAATTCTCTACTCGTTCGACTAATTGTCCGCAATTTTTTCCAAGACAATTGACTCAATGAAGTTTTGATATATATATTAAAAAAAAAAAAAAATTGTCTACAAAACAAGTGTTATTTATCTACAGTATGTTGCGATAACGTACGTTACATCGCACGTATCGTGTGACAGTGCACCCAAGTATTCCAGGAATTTTTAGAGATAGGTGCGCCAGAGAGGAACAGAATGAATCTTACTCGTATTCTCGTTGTAGATATGACGTAAAACGAAAAAAAAAAACATTAAATTTAAACAATAAAAAAATGAAGATTGAAATATTTTTTTTAGTCTTACTATATAGCTGTATGTATTGTCAGCCAGTCTCGTATCTCGAGCTCGACGTTCGCGAATTTCGTTTGAATCGCGCAACGTCAAATTCACGAGGATGAATGACGCGAGAGGCGTTCGTTACGAGAAACGTACAATCCGTTTTGCGCATGAACCGAAACGCTCTCCGAGAGAAGGCCCCGATGAACTGAGAGAAAGACGATTTTGACAGATCCGATCTGTCAAATCCGGGGATCCGTCTGTCGATCCCCGTGTCCCGCTGTCCCACATTCGAAAATAATCGCCGCAACTGTCAAACGGTCGTCATCGCAAACTCCGTCCGCGACTTTTGTGTCACCGTGAAAAATCGAAAACTCGCGCGCGTGTTCCGCCACGCCTTTAGGGAGCTGCTTCTCTCCGTATCGACAAAGAACGTTATTGAGAAAAAAAAAATCGAAACAAAAGGTCCGTCTGCCGTGTGTAAACCGAGTTACAAATTTGCCGCACTCTATGCGAAACTAACGCGTAACTTACTAAGATCCTAACTCACAAGATTCGAGGACGAAGAAAGAAAAACGCGTTCGCGGAGAACACGCAAAAGGATCGGATTTTTTTTTTTTTTCGGGAAAAAAAACTGCAGTGTGGCAGTAGATTGTGTTACAAAGTGTACGTGATACAATCTCCTCGCCTTTATCAACGAGATAAACGAGCGAGATGGTTATCAGGGGGAGAGAGAGAGAGAGAGACGAAGTGCTCGATCCTGCGAGGAATTCCTCTTTGGGGCACGTTCGTCTCGAGACGCGTAATTTTCGCGAATCCGACTAACTTCGTAATGAAAGAAAAGAGGAGGAGGAGAAAGAGGAGGAGGATACCGTGAAATCGCGGCAACGCGTCAGTCTCCACGGTACTCACTTGCCAACGAAGTTTTCGAGCACGGAGCTCTTGCCCGCGCTCTGGCCGCCCACCACCGCGATCTGCGGCAGATCGAGCTGCATGTGCACGCCAAGCTGCGTGAACGCATCCTGCAGCTTGTTCACGATCGGGATCAACTGTTCCATACCCGTGTTGCCCGCCATCCTGCCGCCGTGGTAGTGATCGCCGCCGCGTTACAACACGTTCGATCGGTATACGCCGCACTAACGATATATGTCTCGCGCTCTCTTTCTCTCACGCACTCTCACACACACGCGCGCTATTTCTTTTCGACGTGCAAAAGACTCGATTTAGCGATCTCACCCAACGAGAGATCGGCTTGTTGCTCTCTGCCACCGCCCCGCGCACGGCACGACCGCCCGAGAAGGGTGGTTTTGAACACGGAGAGACGAGCTGTCCGTTACGAGGGCCGAGCGTGCACTAAAGCAAGATGGCCGACTTCCTAGTCGACTGGCCAACTCGCGCGCTGCCTGTCTGTCTAGCTTCGACTCTCCTTTCGCGACTCACTTCTCACCGCATCTTCCCCGCGGCTGCGGCGACGAATCGCGCGCGTTCTCGCATCGGTCGCTCGCCTGTGCTCTGTCTTGTTTTCTTTTTCGCGTTTCAGCGCACGCGATTAACGCGATCTCGAAGAACAATTTTTTCTTTCAAGAACCCGCTTCTTCTCGGGAAACGAGAGCGAAGCTGCCGCGCGGAGCAGTGAGCGCGCATAAATGCGAGTGAGTGGGAAAACCTCGTCGAGAGCGCGCGCGACGATACCCGCTCGTAAACGTCGTTCAATCGATAATCGAAGCGTGCGCACAAGTCCGCCGTACGCCAACATACGTCGTGACCCACTTTCGCGAGATAAAATCCATATCGTTCGCGAGAGCCGTCCGTCGACGACTCTGTGACCTTTTCGGTCACCGCGTCCCACGTTTGTTCGCCACCGTTTATCCGTACGCGTCCTTAATGTTGTGTATGTACGTTAACCGTACACAATACGCGCGCGCGAACAGAAATTCGGCGAGAGAAACCACTTCCGATACCACCCGACAATCGATATCCCGTACCGATCGATACCCGGTTGTCGCGGCTCGCTTCGCGCCGGCTCTCGAATCGAGACGATTCCCGATATTATTGCGCTCTTTTCCTCGTTTCTTCATTTTTTGTTTTTAATAAACAAGAGATATGCAAGCTCTGTTAATTCGCAAGACAGAAAGTTGGCGAACGTGCGAACGAGCGATCGCAAGCGCCCGCCCCGTTGAAAAACTTCAAAGTCGCGCTGCGACTTGCGAGATCTCTCGCTGTGGACGCGAAAGTGAAAATCACTCTTCCACTTTCCTTTTCCTTTCCTTGGAAAGAAAAGAGATAGAACACGAGATCGATTTCCGAACGATCGATCGTAGATCTGTCATGTAGTTTTACACACTTTTTGGTTGAATCCAAAAGTTCTTTTTCTAAACCGCATGGTTTATATACAAACTTCATCTCTCATCTCTTTCTTTTTTACGTGAAAAACTGTGTGTATATTTTTAATACGTATGTATAGAAAATAAAATGTTATTGAAACGAGCAAAGCTTTCTCTCTCGTCGCCCTGGAAAAAGACAGAAGGGGATGTTTTAAGCGTCGGAAAATCAATGCTCTATTTGTTGCTCAATTTTAGCTGGAATGGGGGCGGTATTCCGTGAAATACGTCAGCACCTAATGCACACGTGTGTGCGACACACGGTAAAGATGTTCTCACGTCTCTTTCCTTAAAAGTTCGGTCGATCGGCGAACGCGACATTGTCTGTCGTTAGCGATCACCGATTCGTAAAATCATCATGACGTGATGACAGGCAAACTGTGTTGTGCAACAATGATTTTTTGAAAAATACAAATACGTATAAAGTAAATAATTGAAGTTTTCACGCCGGGTTTCTTTGTTGATACGCAGAATGGAAAATCCTTTTCTGTGATTAAAGAAGAACAATAACAGCAAGAACAATAAGAATTTTTTTTTAAAAAGGTCATAGGCCACTCTATTTTTCTACCGAATCCGACAACAAATTTAAAAAAAATTGCAAAATATTAGTTTTGTGCGCATGCAATATCGAAAAACCGCTATATTGGCTCGGTATCAGAATTGCATCGATCAATTCAGTTAAAATTGACTTAATGGAACGTTCGTATTTCGTGCGTACTCGTTCGCCGGGTGCGCACTCGGCTTTATATTGCGCACGTGAAAACACCAGCCAGGTCTAGGAACATTGAGATCTTTATTGTTGGTACAGTCTGCTCAGGTCTTGTGATCGAACAGCTGAAAGGGAGAGAAAATCGCGACGGGAGTCAGGAATCAAAGTCTTCGAGCACGATTATTTTTGAATAAATCAAAGTGAGATCTCGTTAAAAGCCATGGTGGACCGCGCGAATATCAAGCAGATGATACCGGCTTTGCCGGACGAGAAAATCGGTAATTACGCTTGTTTGTCGAAAAGAGATTTGCTTGTTTGACAGTGCCCCTCCCAGTATTTCAATGCTTTTATTATTTATTTAACAATTGTTTTATTGTTTTGAATAGTGATTGTAAAATTATATTTATTTGTTATTTCTTAAGTTCGGAAAACAACAGATTATTTCTTGTAATGGGACTATTTCTCAAAATCTATCGCCAAAAGGATCCTATCACAAATAATAATCTCTTGACTGTTGTGCAATTGTTGTATTTTCTGAACATAATCTATGTTTTATATTAGACCTTTAAAAAACTGATATGATTTTGTAGACATGTTAGCAGCCACAAGTGTGCTGCAACAACAAGCTGCTGACATACGAAATCAACGGATCCCTTGGCAGTCATATTTACAGTAAGTATTCGAAAACTTGATTTTGAAAAGTCAGATCTCAAAAGTTTTCAGTTTTATCGTTTAATAGTTATTATATCCAGTCCAAAGAATTATTTTATTTGATATTTCCAGATCGCAGATGATATCGAAGGAAGATTTTGATTTCATAGCAGCCTTTGACACAAATGATGCCAAAGTCAGAGAGAACAAACTGAAAGAGAATCCACATCAGGCAGCCAAAACGTTTCTCAATTTACTTGGCCATGTTTCAAAAGATCAAACAATTCAATATATTCTCACAATGATTGATGACATGCTGCAGGTATGTTTAAGATATTTTTGTTTAATTAAAGTAGTCAACTAATGAATTGATGTAACATTGATAGGAGGATCGCAGCCGTGTGGAAATCTTTCGCGAGCATTCTACACGAAAACGAGAATCCGTCTGGGGACCGTTTCTCAATTTGTTGAACAGACAAGACGGTTTTATAATGAATATGACATCGCGTATTATAGCCAAGTTAGCTTGCTGGAGTCATGATCTCATGGAGAAAACTGATCTTCAGTTTTATTTGACGTGGCTCAAAGATCAGCTGAAACTTAGCGTGAGTTTGCTTTGAAGGGTTACTGATTATTTTACAATTAAATTTTCACATAAATTTGCATTTTTAATTAAGATTGAAATTTTATTAGTTGTGTCATTTTTTGTGTTTCATATCATTTTGTTTCTAATATCTTTAAATACTAAGTTTTGAATACGTTTGAAGTTTAGGACAGTTTTGCATGTGTGTATTATTGTTGTTTTACTACTTGTACACAATCTTTCTAAGTTACTTCTACTATAAGCTACTTGCATCCTTTGTACGATGCACAGTATTTTTTTTTAAATATATATATTTAAAGATATATATATTTATATATGTATGTGTATATGCTGTAGTTGCATATTAATCCAGGTAGCTTGACATAAGTTTAGTTTATTCTGGTTTTTTCGGCTATGGTTTTAACATGAAGAATCATGCAAATTTGTAATGTCTTATCTCAATACTAACATAACCCTCTTGCTTTATCTAATCTTTTCTTAAAGGCCTCTCACAATTTTTTGAGAACAATAAACAGAGTGGTGTAAAGAAAGTGTAGATAAGAGTTAACGCGGGTAGAAGGTAGAGCCTGTGCTCGCAAAAATCGCTGTGACGGTTACTGGACATGTTAAAAAGACTACATAAAAAAAAAATCTAATTTTTTCCTCATAACTTGGACTAATGTATAAATAACAGATTTTATCCGTGACATTTTTTTGATCCGATTAAAACAAGATTTGCCATTAAATGTACATGTAACAAGTTGTAAATACCGCTCTTTTTGCAACTGACACTACTGCATAAATGTTTGCTTCAATTGAGCTTTGAATGTAGACAGTTTTTTTCAAGTTCGATATTTTCGAATAGATAAAAAGTTGAAGTTTTTAGTTTGATGCTGTTCAAGAACACACAAGCATGCATGCAGGACTAGATCACGATACTGCTACGGAACAAGCCAAGGAAGCCACTGAACTGCATGAATTGCCTAATCCGGTTGGTTTTGTAACAGCTAATCAGAGTATAATACTTTTTTTTTTTTTTTTTTTTGTTTATTTTAAAACGATTTACGTAGCGAGTTCTTCAATTACATTCCGTCAACGAGAAAACGACTAACTCATAATTTAGGAACATCTAGTTGATTTAGTAAACAATTGTACATCGGACACGAATTTCTTATACATGTAAAATAATTTGATTAGTAAATTTTTACAGCAAACATGCATGATTTATGCTTTACAAATTATGTTCGTACATGTGGACGTTTGATATTTATACAAGTGCGAGTTCTCTTTTTAAAACCATAAGCCGAGCTGTAAATTCAACATCTACTTTTTTTTTGTTAATAAGAATGCCGATTTTAGTCAATTGTGTCACTTTTATCTTGCATGTAACATCACGCATAAAATGCTTGTTTTTGAAACTTTCTTTTTTATTTTATTTATATCTAAGGCGAACGTATATATATAGAATATATTCTTCATACATAAAATGTGAATTTATATGGAATATATATTTATATCACAATTAGAACAACGAATATATTCAATCGGTGGCACGATGCTTACAAATGATGCTACGCATAGACGAATATCGTTTTGCGTTTGTATCTGTGGATGGAATTTCGACTCTTCTCAGTGTCTTGTCTGGACGAGTAAACTTTCAAGTGCAATATCAATTAATTTTCTGCCTGTGGGTACTTACTTTTAATCCTCTGTTGGCGGAGAAGATGAACAAGTAAGAAACTCACCGGTTTCTTGCTTTACATTTTGTTTGTTTTTTTTTTTTTTAATTGAAATTACTTGTTACAAGAGATATTGCAATAAAACTTATCCACGACAGATTCAACGTCATACCCATTCTCGCTGATATACTTAGCGACTCGGTCAAGGAGAAAGTAACGCGCATCATACTTGCAGTTTTCAGGGTAAGTTAAAATAATTTTCCGAGTGTAATAAAACCGCACAATTATTCTGTTTTACGTGTATTCTTTACACACAGAATTTAATCGAGAAAGTGGAAGACAATCAAGTTGCCAAGGAACATTGCATTGCTATGGTGCAATGCAAGGTACTGAAGCAACTTTCGATATTATCCCAGCGAAAATTCGACGACGAGGATATCACCGACGACATCGAATTTCTCAACGACAAGTTGCAAGCGTCCGTCCAGGATCTGAGTTCGTTCGACGAATATTCCACGGAAGTCAAATCCGGTCGCCTCGAATGGTCTCCCGTTCACAAGTCGGGCAAGTTCTGGCGCGAGAACGCCAGTCGTCTCAACGAGAAGAATTACGAGCTCTTGCGAATTCTGGTTCATTTGCTGGAGAGCAGCAAGGACCCGCTCGTTCTTAGCGTAGCCAGTTTCGACATTGGCGAATACGTACGCCACTATCCGCGTGGCAAACAGTACGTCGATTTATATGCGGAAAAAAACCGTTGCGTTTTATTGCATTTCTTTCATACACGTGATTGTATTTTTTATTAGTTATTTATTCGAGAATGACGTTTTTTTTCAGCATAATTGAACAACTGGGCGGGAAGCAGCGTGTGATGCAGCTTCTAGGACATGAGGATCCTAACGTTAGATACGAAGCTCTCCTTGCGGTGCAAAAACTTATGGTACACAATTGGTAAGTCAAGAGAAAAAACGAATTTTATTCTTACTTGTTTAAACTTTATCAAAAATATCGTTTTTTTATTTATTTATTTTTTATTTACAGGGAGTATCTCGGCAAGCAGCTAGAAAAAGAGACAGGTGCACCGACGTCCGGAGCACCGACTAGTAAGCCTGGCGCACAGGTGCCAGCAAAAGCTTGAGCATTTTCGCGCAACTTGTACAAATTAAGTATTTTCCAATTTGAAGGAAGTATAAAAGAGTATTATTATAGCACCACGTATATATATCTACTATCTCTTTGCTTATAAAAAAAACATAGTTCAAAATATTTACATTCCCTTCTATTCTGTAAAAACAGGGAAAATGTGATTGTTTTTTCTTTCGTGCAATCTAATTTTGTAATAATTTGTTGACGGAATTGTACATATATAAAACGATCTGGGCATAGATATAAACATTTCACATCCACCGAGTATGTGAAACCGATCAACAATGTAACAACTTTCGTTGGGTGTTTTGAGGTCTGTTAGTGATGAGAGTTTGTTCTGGAATGTTGAAGAAATTATTAAAAATGTTATTCTGTGGAAAAACGTTCTGTATATATATACACACACAATACATACAAATATTAAAGCTATATCATTTACGAGCACACTAGATTCCTGATTTTTTAAATTTGCTTTAATTGCAATTTAACGTTGATATTACAAGACGCCAGTTGTATCAAAAGGTATCTGAAGATGTACGGCACTTCGATCTCGCTCACTGCATCCTCTTCGCCGCACAGACGGCACTTGGTATCGTCGATGTCGGTTTTGCGTTTTATGTTCAATTCCGGGCCGAGCAGTGAGCCGCATTTTCGGCATACTAGAGTCTGTAAGCAAATATTTGTTGTGATCGCAAATGACGCGTGCGTATGCGATGTGTTTTAAAAAAGAAACATTATCGTGCTTACGGTAAATTTGTCAGAACAATGAAACAAACGGTCTTGAAGAAGATACGAGCAGCCGTGAGAGATCAGAGCGTCTCGTTCCATTTCTCCGAATCGAACACCACCGCCGCGTCGTCGACCTTTGATCGGTTGTCTCGTTAGTACGTCAATTGGTCCGGTACTTCTCACCTGAAATTTTTGTTTTTCAGCTTTTCTCCCTCTTGTGATAGCAATGATTTACGCAAATTTATGTTTGAACTAGTTACCTGCCACTTATCAGATACCATGTGTCGTAATCTCTGATAATGCACGATACCGAAAAAGATACTGGCGGTCATTTCGCATCCGTATATGCCCGAATACATCCTCTCGGTGCCGAAATAATTGTAACCGCCGAGTTCTAACAATTTCCCGAAATAGTCCACGGCCGTGTTCTCCTCGTTAAATCTAAAAGGCGTGGCGTCGTGAACCAGCCCGTGTATAGCCGCGGATTTTCCTGCCATCACCTCGATCATCATAGCTATAGTCATACGACTTGGGAAACCGTGTGGATTGAATATAATGTCGGGAATCATTCCAGTCTCTGTGAATGGCAAATCTTCGGCGGGGTATAACCGCGAGAGGATTCCCTTCTGTCCTGCTCTTGACGCGAATTTGTCTCCCACGGTAGGATTTCTCTGAAAAATTTTCGTGTGTGTGAATGTTTAGAAAAATAAAATTCGTTGAAACTAAATTTTATGTACTTTTATATAAATTTGCACTAACGGGAATACGGAACGTGATGCACGCTTTTCGGACATCTTGAGTGTTGAACGTGCCGCACAGCTTCACATTATCGACGTAAGCGCTTTCTGTACTTTTATACGTTCCGACAACATAATGAGCATTGTCGGCGTCGTAATAACTGTAGTACGCGTCACCTTCTTTGATGAGACAACCCGGAATAGGCAAACCATCGATATCCAACGTTTCTGCGTGTTCAGGCTTATCTGTATTGCGGGCGAAGTAACTCTTCTTGTCATTTAGCTCGACAAATTCCGACTTGTAGATCGTTCCGTGACCGAAACCGCGTTCGAACGACGATTTGTTGATGACCATCGCGTCTTCCATATCGTATCCCTGCTTAATCAATTATTCGTAGAATCACAAAGCAATCTTTGATATTAGAAACAAAGCGATACTTACGGTGTACGAAATAACAGCAATTATCGCGTTGGTACCCATCGGGAAATCGTCCATATTAATGTTGTCGTAATGTACCGGTCTGAAGAGCGGCGTGGCAGGCGTTTGCAGCCTGTACAATTTCGTTTGCGACTGCAAATGCCAGTTGTGACATGGTGTGCCCATTGTTTGCTTACCCATCTTTTTAAAACGTAGATAATATATTTTTAATTATTGATACGATTATAATACATTCGCAAATTTAATTACGGATCGAGAACGTATATAATATTACCTGACACTGATACATATTCCGGGGACTCTGATTACAATCCGGCATTGGAATGAGTTTGGATAAATTGCTGAAGATAGTTGTCTGACTTATCTCCTGATGAGTTGTCAACTGTCATAAAGAGAAACAATGAAACTAAAAAAACTTTAAACCGGAAAAACTTTACGAAGATTTAAATATGATAGTATTTACTCCATTGTAAAATTCTTCAGGAATCACGCAGATGTCCAGATAAATTTGCTCAAACGTTCCGATAAGTTCAATCTTCTGCGCGGCTAAATTTATCACCGGTCTCATCATTCTGGCCGCGTTGGTAAACAAGAACAATCCCGGATACTGACTCGGGACTTGTTTCTTCGGCACCAGTGCGATTTCCAACGTTGACGGTATCTGAGAAAGAAAACGTATCGAGAGAAAACAATGTGCGCAACGATCATCATGTAATAAACTTTCGACCGGCATCGCGCTCAGCTTACCTCTTTGCCCTCTATTTTAAGCAATCTGAGTTTATGGACCACTTTGCTGACAATTTTGTCTTCAATCAAACCAATCACTTTCCCATCCAATATGACGGTGTACGATTCCTTCCACTTGTGCGCGATAAATAAAGGAATCATTCCGTGATCCACCAGTATCGGGAGTATTGCATCTTTCAATTTTGGATTTGGATGTTTCGTGACGATGCAATTCATTGTCAAGTGATTGAGCAATCCGCACGGAGCACCGTCCGGCGTGTGTATAGGACAAATAAATCCTACGAATAAATCAGAGCGATTATAGATAAATTAGTTTTATTACATAACAAAGAGTATAATTTTATTAAATTTTATTTCTAATAATAATATAAATTCTACAAACATTATTTATTATTATATTTATACAAACACGTGTATTTATTAAACTTACCCCATGCGTCAGGCAGCAGTTGTCTAGCTTCAGTAGTCCTCATTTCTTGGAAGAACGCGCCTCTGTGTATCGCGCGAAAGTGACTCATGTATCGCATTCTGTTGATATTTTCAGGAACGATCGTAAGACCGGTAGTCTGCATGAGACCCAAATTTGTTTGCGACCTTATGTTTCCCGTAGACAGGAAGTATTCCATTTGCCCGTCAATGTTGCACTTTATTTTGGTGACGTTCCACATCTCCTCTAATAAAAGTAGCAAAACAAAATTTGTCAACGTAGTTTATTGGTAAAAGAAAAAGAGGAAAATATTACAAATAAAATACTAACGTAAAGTTAAAGTGTATCTATTGCCGGCACTTTTGGCGCGCTTGAGGATTTGAGTTTTAAGTATCGTCAACCAGAAACAAAGTTTCTCTTTGAGAACTTGCAGATACAAGTGTCCACCAAGCAAACACTCTTGCATCATCACGGAGTCCGCGCCCTCGACGGCGCATTTATTGTTAGCAAAAACGTACAGTTTTTTAGTCATGAACACAAGTAGTTGAAACTTGTCGGCAGGATCGTCGAGATGAATAGCGACTTGATGTCTACGCAATAATGAAACTTATAGCAAGTTATAAGAAGTGATTACGCGAACGGAATAAAACTAATAAAGTTTAAACTCACTTGATGATGTAATCGCAAATGTCTATATTGGTCGCATTCGATGGTAATTCGACGGAGAATTTTACTCTAAAAATTTTTCCCATATACGCTTTGCATTGCTCGTGCCAATGTAAATTTTCTTCGTGCATAGTGCGCAACATATTTATAATGCAGTTCTTATAATACAAATCGTCTTCGCATCCGGCAATCAGCGCTCTGTAAATGTACACGTCGGTCGTGTCCACCAAAGATTTTAGCATCAACATCAGCGGCACATAGTACGTGGCCTTTTTATGCATAAACGCGAATTTTGCGGAACCGTCCGTGACATAGTGCAATGTGTTGTTCTAAAAAATACAAATTTTTGCGTGCATTATCCTCACAAAATATGAGATATTTAAAACTATCTGAGAAAGTTACTTTCGCAGAGCGAAGGGTATGAAAACAAATTTTATTCCAGTACGTACGACAGTAGTATTGTCTTGTCTAACGCTCCTCAAAAAAATTCCCAAATCGCTGAATTGCACACCGCGAGTTTTCCATGTCGATCTCTTGATAGCAATGGGATAGTTTTGTCGCGTCATGATCAGCATACGTACAAGTCGCTCAAGTCCTTTGACTACAAAGTATCCACCCCATTCTTGCTCATGTTCACCGTGAGCAATCAATTCTGCGGGACTCATTTTGTTCAAATGACATCGGTTGGACTGCAAAAATATTATGTGTATCTTTTGAGAATTGCAATGTAATACAAGACATTGTTATATTCGAAGAATATGAAGAATGCAAATAATCAGGATTTTAATTTGATCTTTTTAAGAGTTTCATTGTTTTATAATCCTTATGTTTAGACTTTACCTTAATCATAATTGGAACTTCTCCCAAATCCTTTTCAAGAACTTCCTGCTCTTTGCCGTTAACAGACCATCCGAGCTTTACTACTATCTTGCCCTTGTAAGTAGCACCCCTTTGCCTACATTCTATTGGAAATATTTTAAAATTTTTCACACCAATTGTGCCAGACGGCACAGTAGGTTTGTAGATCTGCACATCCTCCAACCAGAGAACTATGTTGTCATTGTTGGGAAGAGTCAGATAAACTGGTGTACTGTCTTTTATTGCTTGAAAAAGACCATCCTCGAGCATGTAATTGAAAGACTCGGTATGGGGCGCACCTAGGGTTTGCAGGAGCTGAAAAAAAAATATCAAACGTTGATACGTCAAACATTGTCTGTTACGTAAAATAAATATAAAAGCAAGTTTTCCTCATATTATATCTCTTCGTTTTAATATGCAATTTTAACTAATTAACTAAAGCTTCAATCAAATATTTGTACAGCGTACCTCGTTTTGCTTGTCGGGTGGTTTGCCGTAATCCGGCGACGTGTTCGTCAACTTGGGCTCGAGAGCAGGCTCCAGCATACTTTCATTAATTATGGTTCCCATTTATGGTACCCCACAATTTTTTTTTTGTTTTTGTTTTAATATTAAAAGTGCAGATTTATTCTAGTCTTTTCAAATGTTATTTACACACACTCGATAACCTCAAAAAATAAACACTTGTTGATCACGTGTCACTCGGTGCGATTTGTTTTCGTAGCTTTTGCCGCGCGTGCACAAATTAAAACCTCGTTTACAACAGAGTCGACCGTCGCAAATCGCTGTCTCAAAATTCGTGGAATCGATCGATCGAGAGAGCATGTGATTATTTCGACCGGCCACCACCGACGCGCGATTGGTCGATTTTATGACTCTTCAAGTATTGCAACACGTATGTATTTTCTTTTACGAAGAACGCGGAAAAAAAGAGCAAATTTTTTTTAATTTTCAAAAAGAGAACAATTATATTCACGCGCGTTAATTTGTCGCATGTTTGTCACTCTTCTCGAGAATGGTCTTACGGATTTGTACAGACAATAAGACACGATTGATTTGAGCGTTACTTCAATGCAACTACGTATATTTACGAAAAAATTGCGGATTATAGTCTGCATCTTGTCTCAGGAGTCTCGAGCATCCCCCCGAAGGGTGTACAACTGATCAAATAAGTGTCAATTTAGCACTGGTACGTCATTTCATTTTAATCGATACGTGACAGAGAGCAGAAACTCGGAAAAGAGAAACATAATTCTCACTCGTTACAGGATACCCATTATGTAATTTCCCGCAAAATCAAATCTCATCAATTTTTGCTTCTCCGTTGCCGTTTTAGCGCGATAATAAACGGAAAAGACGATTTCGCGATCGGAATAAATTTCGAACAATTGCATAACAGCCGGGTAAAAACGTTTAGCTTATCGTCTTTACATTGTACTTAGTGTCAAGAGAAAAACAGACGCAACTAGAAGTCACATGCGCTATGTATTTTGCAGAACAGGCGTAACTGATGGAAATGACACACCTCGCGGTCACAAAAATACACGGCAGTCTTGTCGCGAGAAGATGAGCGAACGATTTGCCGGAAGCTGGAGATCGGTTGTCTCACGGAAGGACGCGCAGCTTATTTCCAAAAATTATGAAAACCGCCTGGAACCATTATTACTACGTCGTTCGTAAAATATCCTCGTTCACCGGTATGTGGCCGTATCTGAAACCGAGAACAAGAATATTTCGCGTCGTTCTTTTGACCATGATCGTGCTGACCATATTCGTCCCGCAGGTAAATCGATTTAGTGAACGTAATCGAGAGAATTCATCGTTTCCCCCCATCAAAGCGACGACAATGCTTTTAGATAGCGTATCAGTACGCGTGCAAGAACTTGGACTGCGCTTTTGAATCAATGACGTCGTATCTACTGTCGAGCATAGCCACGCTGAAGGTGTACACGTTTCAATTAAACATCCGTGCAGTACGTTCCTCTTCTGAGATACACGCATAAGTATTTCAATACGTTTTGGTTTAAACTAATAGTTTGAATAAAAAAGAAAAGAAATTTAGATATGTGAAAAAATCTGTTAAACAATTTGCCAGATGAAGAACTTCACCCGACACCTGCTCAACGACTGGACGAAGCTGAAGACCTCGGAGGAATGCGAGATCGTCAGGTCGTACGCCGAGAACAGCAGACGATTCTCTTTGATATATTCCTGTAAGAGCTCGCGCGAAGACGAGACACATACTGTGTCGCGTTTGCTCGCATTGGATCTTCTTCCAAAGTGTGTTCCAGTATATTGCTTCTCAGCGGTGTTCCTCTTCATGTCGATGTCTCTGATACCGTTCGTCCTCGACATCGTGCTGCCTCTCAACGGATCACGACCTCTGCTACCGCCGTATCCGGGCTACTACTTCGTAGACATTCGGGACTACTTCACACTGATTTTCTCGCACTCTGTCGTGGCTTGGGAGGTCCTCATGGCCGGGATTGTCGCGCACGATTGCATGTTCGTGTGTTACGTCGAACACATTTGCAGCATGTTCGCCATTGTCGGGTGAGAAAACGAATTCAGAACGAAGACTGTACCGCTAAAAATCAGATTTAAAAAATCGCACTGAAATTGTCTTCGATACACATCGGAGAAGTTGATATGGTGTCGTTTGCAGATTTCGTTTCGAACATTTATTTCCTGATAAGAATAACGAGGTGGAAATTGCAAGCTGCGAATCGAACGATAAGTGTCAGAAAAGAGTCGCGTTTCTTATTCACACTCATCGAGAAGCTTTACAGTGAGTAACACGAATTTTGATATCTGTTTTACTACATTACATAGAGTGAAAAATTAACATGTGGAGGCAGCAACAATTCACAATTGATGTTATATTTACGATAGGTCCGCGAAACTTCTTGAGAATATCTTCACCGTGCCTTTTGCAGTGCAAATATTGATGGTAACGTTAGGAATGAGCGTTACGTTGTTACAAGTACGTATTTGTTGAAGTCAAATTGTGCTCAATATACACTCGCTTGTAATAGAGGACGAAGAAAGAGAAAGAGAGAGAAAAAGAAAGAAGAAATATTTCTAGAGAAAATTGTAATATTTCTTTTGTATTGAAGATTGCGAAGCAGAACAGCGACGTCTTGGAATCAACGAGATACTTGCTTTACACCATTGGCCAACTAATTCACTTATTTTTTCTCAGTTTCGAAGGACAGAAGCTGATAGATCATAGCCTTCAAATGCGCGACAGAATGTAAAAGATACTCGCTCTTGATTAAACACAAAGAAAGAAATATCTACTCTGTGCACACACACACGTACACGTTATTTTTTTTAAAGCGTTCGCTTGATCCGCAGCTTTGCGACATTGCAGATATCATAGCTTTTGGTACAACGGATCCGTAAGAACGCAGAAGCTTATCATACTGGCGATGATGAAGAGTCTTCAGCCGAGTTCGTTGAGCGCCGGCAAGATTTACATTTTTTCTCTAGAAAGCTTCACCACGGTAAAAAATTACGCACGATCGTTGCTTCCTCATTGATTTTTCAGCTCTTTTCCTTAACAACGTGTGTACTTTGTTTTTGAAGGTTTTGCAAACTTCGATGTCGTACGTCACGGTACTTGCGTCCTATCAGTAGCTCACGTTGTTCTCGCATGTTCCGACAATTGCGCGACGATGTCCCATCACGAGCAATTCTGTATCATTTTTTTTTTTTTTTTATTAGTACTACAATGTTTTACGTTTTTTTAATTAGTGAATAAATGTTTATATAAATAGAAAGAAAACTAAGAGGGAGAGATAAGTGAGAAATAAAAAAATGTATTGTACAAAAAACAATATCATGTTATTATTAAAAAATCAATGTATTATGCAATATAATATACACATGTACAACATACAATATCTATTATACATATACAACATATATACATATTACACATATGTATGTATATTATATATACATATAATACGCAACATACGTATAATATACACATATACAACATACATACATTTATTATACATATGTATGCAAATAATCGGTATTTACAATTTTTGCCTAAATGCTTTTTCTCTGTTTATATTTCGTGATTAGAAAAGAAAAACTAGAGATAAAGTGAAAAAAAATGCGAGTCAATATATTCACATTCAATATCTTCAAAATTTATAAAAGTCAAAATTTTATTGAAGTAATGACGAAAATAAAATTGTATACGATGAATTTTGTAAAATGATCCGTACAATTTTGTTTCGGAATAAAATTTTCTTTTATCATTATAATTCTGAAGATATATATATATATATAGCAGAAGTGTCACACAATTGCAAGTTTGTTATATTGTTACATTGATACATATTGTATATATATTATATTTAGATATATTATTTTTGTGCTTAATCTCCGTCACATGAAGGGTAACAAGATCATATCTATCGCCTAACTAATAAGTCGTTTGTCTTTGAATTAAAACCGGCTACGAGTAGAACCTTCGACTGTAACGAAATCACATCTGTAATACACTTCCCGTACAAGGTGCATAAACGCATAAAAATAATATTTCGTAATATAATATAAATAGTATTTTTCGTTATTTAATCATAATAACGAAAAAAGCGATATAAAATTACGATCAGACATAAATCAGAGATATAAATTACGGACATAATTTTGCGGGAAGTCTGAAATGAGATAAAGATTAATTAGATCAATTTTCCCTGCTTTCTGAAAGGAGTGAACGTTTCTACAACGTCATTTACGAAGTTGAATTTTTTAGATAAGTTTTTGTTACAACAATAATAACTCAAGTCATCGGTCTTTATATCCAAGACAGTGCAATACGCAAGTAGTATTTCCCGCACTATCGTTTTTCGTTGGCTTTGCAGTTTCGGATCTGATTTCTTACATAAAGACAAACCGAAAGGTAATAAATCACGTAAAGTCTCTCGCAGAATCGATTTTTTATTACATTTTTGTTTCTCTAAAGGAATTATATACTTATACGCTTTCGACTTATCTATTAATAACTGCAAATGAATTTCGATACTGCGTTTCTCAGTGAAAAACTGTTGTGCTTTCTCGTAATACGTCCTACTTTCGGAAAAAACAAGTTTAGCATCATCAAAATTTGATATAAATTTAGGTATACGTGTGACTGTATCACATTTGGAAAACTCAGATAAGTTTTCTAAGTTAGTAAACAATAACAACGTTCTTGAATCATCTGTATTTTGAGGTTCCGAGGTGTCATATCTCCCATTCTTCATTACGTTTTCTCTTGCTGTACGCAAAAACTCAACCGCATAGAAACCCCATGACGTAGCGACGTGAGCCTTCATAAATTTATACATATCATTTATCCATTTTCGTTCAGACACTGATAGCTCTTCTAAGTGCGATGCCGTTACTTCGTTCACGTGAAAACAGTTTATTATTTGTTGTGCAACAATAAGGTGATCTCTGGCTTCAACGAAGCGTTTGTGATATATGAAATATCGACATAAATCGACCAAAGTTAAGATCCAATCGTTGTAACGTTCTGTATTATGTATAGCGGTATCAAAATCAAGTGGTATATCGAGTAATTGCTGAACCAACACGTTATGCGTGTACTCTACCAGTTTATGCATATTTACTGGATTATACATGAACAAGTTTACTAGAGAGTTTAAAGTTAGCAAATACAAATGTTCCAATATTGCAGGATCGTCGTTGTAATTATTGTTGATACCAAGATGAATTGACACGTCTATAGGTTGCGGATAGTTGGACTTATCCTGCGTGTACTTCAGATATACTTCCATTGATAACATCATTAAATCATAACACGCCTCCAGTCCATACTGACGATGTCTAATTAGTTTTAGCTCGCTCAACGCTGTCATAATTGTTAAAACAGTTTTGCGCGTGCAGTTATTTACTTTCAACAACTTCAAACATTTTGAAAAGTAATCATTACCAACGAACATTTCTTCCTTGTCAATGTATATTATACCCGCATGAAGACACGCCACCGCCAGAGCTAGAACGTCATCGAATTTTGTGTCTGTCGAAGCAATCACACGTTTATACAATTTGTCCAGTTTCTTTATCACAGACTTGGATGTCTTATTCTTCCTTTTTACAACTTTGAATGCATCACGTAAATTTATCACACTTGTTAAAGCATCGAGAAATTCCTTGCTTATATCCAGATTTTCTTCTTCATCTTTGACCTGATATAATTCTGAAGAGAGTTAAAAAATATATTAAAAATTTTTATATTAACTCGTATAATATAAATATAATTATAATTTTATATAAATTATATATATAGTTATATATAATCTGTACATATAATGCTTATACCGTTATTATTATTATTTTTATATGTAAATTATTTTTTTTGAATTACCATCTTCATACAAGTCCATCCGATTATTGATCCGCATATCGATGAAATGCGAGAGAACATGAAACATTATTGTTTAATTATCGTTTAATTCTTTGTCAATTTGTATAAAATCGCTAGTTAACAGCAAACACGTGGTAAGTCAAAACGCGTGAGTGAAGTAACTTCCCGGACGTTCTGTCCTTCATCTCTCAGAAATGTTTACATCAACGAAACAAAAATATTATGTCAAATGCAACTGTTAATGATATTCTTTGGTCAATGTATCGGCTTAAAATTGTTTTTGTTATCTAAAGACATGCTTATTATTAAAATATGCCCGGCGCAAAAAACTTTGTAAAATTTTTATTAACAACACAACGTTGATCTCTCTATATTTTCAATCTAACCAATCATTTTTGAGAATATTTAAACAGGATTGGTCATTTCGCATACTCGGGACGCTTGATTTTGACTACTTTGCGCATCAAATAGCAAGTTTCTCCCGATTCCTACATATCGATTGGCAATATTGAACAGTGAATTTTCAGACTTGCGCAAGAGCGCATTGTCTTCGTCATCGGATATCAGATGTCAAAAGAAATATACATTTTTTTCTTTGTACGTTATTATTGATGTAGAGAGAGAAATGTATGTGTTGTTCTCTTTTTGACATTTGTATTCTTAACCTCAAATAGCAAAATACATATTTACGTGTGTTCCAAAGACACGTCGGATTTTACAAAATCTTTATCTATATTGATTAACAATTTAAAAGAATAATTTGCAAAGATTATTGTATACGGTCTAACAATCACCGTACACATTCCGCCATTTTATCATCTAACCGCTTGTTTTTTGCGCATTCAAATATTGCGTTTAAAAAAATCATTTTCATTATTATTCAAATGTAATAACATTTTTTCCATCACATAAATTTATAAAAATACAATGTCGTGTACTTTATTACAAAAAAAAAAAAAAATACTTGCAACAACTTTACACGTTTTATGTACCACAGATTTATTTACAAATTATCTCTAATAGTCAAAATAGCTACTTGTCAAAGTATTTACTCGTATGTTTCCTTGAAAAGCTAATTTATAAAATACTGTTCTATCACAAGTGCAGTTTTATAAGTTACTTTTCTATGATACATAATACTGTTCTCTTCACTACTTTTATAGTCGGATATATTTCATTTACAATTCATTTTACTTGCTATACACGTCATTTGTTTGGTTTTTTTTTTTTTCTTTTTATATATATGTGTATATATATATATACAGGGTGTCCCAGAATTGATTTAACATCTCTCGTAGGCAGGTAGAAGGAATAAAACTGAGTCGAAAAGTTCTATACCATTTTCCTAGATTCGCAATAGTTACTGAGATTTTAATTAACAAATATCCGCGAATAAGCGTGCATCAGGCTGTCTCACGCGCGGAGGACAGCCCGGCGCGCTTCGCACAATTACATTTTAATATGTATATGTTATAGTATATGCTGTTATATTAGCTCCTCCCATATGTCGCTATGGGTAACACCGTTAGCGCGCGAAGCGCACTGGGGCTGGGGCTGTCTTACGCGCGTAAGACAGCCCGATGCATGCTTATTCGCGGATCTTTGTTAATTAAAATCTCAGTAACTATTGCAAATCTAGCAAAATGGTATAGGACTTTTCGACTCAGTTTTATTCCTTCTACCTGCCTACGAGAGATGTTAAACCAATTCTGGGACACCCTGTATATATATATATATGTACATTCGTTCGTTGCTCAATCAGTTGTCATCGCGAACTCAAAGAAGTAAAATGCTTTTACACGTACATAAAGTCGCATCATTTCAAACGGAACACGTAAAGCCTGCGGCACACAATGTTTTCTTTTTTTCGAGTGCCGATTCGTATGCGAGCATCATTACGACAAAGTCTACGAATTTCAAATCGCGACCCGATTGGTCGAATTTTGACACGATCAAGCACGAAAAAAATAAAACATCGCACAGGCATCGCCGCGGGCTTATAATTGATCAATTCCACAAAATTACATAATAGCTATCGGATTCAGAAACGGATCTTTCTGACACGGACGGATATCCGAGTTTTTATATTTGAGATCGTGTCGGGTTCATATCTTCAGATTACACGTAAACGAATGAAAAAACATTCTGACAGCATCACAAGATGAACCCGAGATCTTAAATATAAGATCGGATTACATGTACACAATTTAAAAAGACAAAAATAATTTTTAACAAAGAATAATTTTTGGATTAATTACAAGCATATGCATCTCATATCATTTTCACATAAAAAAAAATCATATAGAAAAACTAAAACTGAACGTTTTTTATGTATATACGCACATATATATACACGTTATTTTTCAAGAAGCTTATCAAAACGGGTTAAATATTCCTCAATAGCCTTTACCCTGCTAATAGAATCGGTTAGATGATACACTTTAGTATTTATTATATTTCGTACTATATTATCGTCAAACGCCGTATCTAAGATAGAATAGTTTGCAAGTGCCAAGTGAAGAAAAAGCTTTATATATACATTTCTGTTTTCGACACATGATGCTATATTTTTATCAATCAGATCGTTCAAAATCTCTACTCGCTTTAATTGCAGTTTGAGTTTCTTCTCATTATCCTTTTCGAAAAATGCTAAATACTTGTACGTCTTCGACATTTCTATCGTTATATTAGTATATATTACTGTGTTATTTGTAGCAGAAAAACAAGTTTCTCTAGCTAGTTTAAAATTATTCATGACAGTTAAAATGACCTTTTTGGCATCGTGCACATGCGACACTTGCGTGCGTATGTCCCGAACGGAGTCTTTCATCGAGTTCTCGATGTTGGTGAACAGTAGAGGTGACATTGGCTTTTTTGCAAACAAATCTTCCGAGTGTTCCAAATCATCTGTAATCGCGTATACTTTACATGACGAAGCTAAGAGCTCAATCCCATAAATTCCCCAAAATCGATAAATAACACAACGCATAAAATCAAGTCTAGCCGATAAGTAAGTTTGATCCACCTCCGACCGCTGTTCATCCCTATTCAACTCGAGTTCGTGATAATTTGTTAACACGTATTCCGCAGTAGCAATATAATTTTTGGCCTCTGTAAATCGCTCGCATTCCATAAAATATCTAGATGTCTCGCACAAAGTGGAAATCCACTCCCAAGATGTCTTAACGTCAAAGATTCTTATAGAGGATAAAAGGTGCTGTAACATTCTGTGCAAGCACGCTACAAATATTGGCTGTTTGTTATTTAACGCGTACAAGTCCATAAAATTAGCGAAGCTACATAGAAAAATGACGTCTATCTCAGTCAAATCATTGTTTGAACAACATGATTTCTCGATACCAAGTTCAACTGCCATATTGATTGGTATGCGATGGTTTTGTTCCACGTACTCTATATATAATTCTAATATTTTCTCTAAGTATTCGCTATGTATGTGATTTGATAAGTCCCACCATATCTTATGCAGCTCTTTGTACGCTCTCATTATTGTTATAACAGTTTTGGATTCCGTTCGCTTGTCCTTTAACAATAATTCACATCTCCCAAAATACTCCTCATCATTATATAAGAACTTTTTTTCGTCAGGATTTTTTCTATATATCACACCTAAATTGTAATTAGCTATTGCGAGAACTATAGCTTCATCACTGCTCAAATTTTCCAACTGTTTTCCAACTTCTTCACTTGTTTCGACGTACACTATATCGTCCGTTAGTTGATCTACTTTTTTTCGAACATCGAGAACATCATTCATCAATTTCGTTTTTAAAATGTCGTCACAATCTCGAGAACACAGAGCCACTTTTAATTTTGCTGTTGATATCGCAAGACTTAGAAAGTGCGCGCGAAGATCCATCACTCTGTCAGCGTTTTCAAAATGAGCTAACATGACAACATTAAAAAGATCATTGTATGTTACATTAGACTCTACACGAATCTATTTTATATTGAAAAAAAACAGTTATATAAAAAAGTTCTTATTTTTATTCATTACCTTATTTTATTCATTACTTACAATTAAAGTCATACAATGATGCTTCGATGAACCTTATGTTGACCTGAAAGTCTACGAACTCTTTCACTATTTCGTACATTGTTGTTTAATAACAATAAAAAAAAACAATCCGCAAAAACTAGACCGACAAAAGTGACTGAGAGCAACGAACAAAATTAACGCACGTGTTTCAACGATTTTTAATTGAAACCAGGCCGGCCATTTAATTCACAGAATGGCCAACGTAGCAAGAACTTTTGCAAAGTTCCACAAGAGTATCGATCGATCGCATCGACTGAATTGTTCCGAATGTGATTGGTCACTTCGCTCCGATTGGACAAATTTCTATCTCGATCTCACTCTCGATCTCCTGAATCTGCGGTGTGAACGCGGATTTTATGCGTTGCGGTGTTCTTCGGTGGAAAGCAGCCGTCAGCGGCGGCGACGACGGGCGACGACGACGACGACGACGACGACGACGACGACGGCGGCNCGGCGGCGGCGGCAGCGGCGGCGGCGGCGAAAGCGGTGAAGGAAGACGCCGAAGGTGGCGGCAGCGGCGAGTGACGAAGGCGACGACGGCGGTGGCGGCGGCGGCGGTGGTGGTGGTGGCGGCTGCAGCAGCAAATTTTGCGCGTGTGTTTACTGTTTTCTCCGTGGCGTATCCCACGATCGAGAGCCTTCTCTCTCTTCGCTCCCGCGATTGCCCCTCGGCAGTCGCCCGCGCAATCCTCTGCGTGTACACCGCGGGAAAACGAAGAAAGAAAAAAAACAATGTCAGGATACCGCAAGGTAAACTACTACGAACTCTGCAGGTTGTGCACCAGCAGCGAGGGCACGAAAATAAATATATTCCGCGACGAGGGACGTAGACGACAGCTGCAAACGAAGATACAGACGTATCTGCAAGTACAGGTGAGAGAGAGAGAGAGAGAGAGAGAGAGAGAGAGAGAGAGAAAAAGAGAGAGAGCTCAGGTCGCGCGATTACGCCGTCGACGATCCTTTTTTCTCTTGCAACGAATTGCTTACTAACTTGTCAGTCTTGTCATTCCGATGTATATCACACGATCAACACGCGAGTGCTCAAAGAACGTGCGAAATGTATGTTTCGAGATATTCGAAAGTTTTTTCTATTATCGGGATGCTGTTGTTGGTTTTATCTTGTTGTTATCGCACAAGTTATCTGTGACAAAACACAAGCAAAATAAAACAATAGTCTGTCAAATAGATTATTTATATGAACATATGTATTTTGTTATTTTCTATATGTGATTAAGATTATCGAAGTAATGAGAGAACTCTTTCAAAATATATCTAGTAAACTAAACAGTAATTATATTTTTATGTTAACTTGAAGGTGGTGGAAGAAGATTCATTGCCAAAAATTGTATGTCACGAGTGTCTGAAGAAGCTGGAAAACTTCGTAGAATTCAGGGAAGCTGTGGTCACAGCAGAGGGTATGCTTGAATCCTATTTCACCTCGCTCCGTTTTTCGGAAGACTTTCTGAAAGAGGGAAAAGTTTATGTGAAGAATATCGAAAAGGAGAGATCGTCTACACCGGACGATGAAGTTTTAATAAAGTCAATAGAAAAGGTGTCGTCACCATCTGGAGGCCAAGTAATAAGCAATGATCAACAATTGCAGCATCAACAACCAGTTGTAGTTGGCAATTTAAACGCTTCTAACATACAAATCATCAGTGGAGTTCAAGCTAGAGTACAGCAGTACAAATGCGCTATGCAGGTTTGCAGTAGATAAATAATACTTTAAACAGAACTATAATAAAGCTTTGTTGTGCATGTATATATTGTTGCGTGTATATATCGTTTATGTTATAAGAATTTGCACGATTTGCCTAAGAATTAACAAAATATTTCGTGGATTTAGATGCAACCGGGTGGTATGGCGGCAGCTGTTGTTGAGGCCACAGCAGAGACTCATTACAGTTACCAGCAGCAAACATCCCAAGTGTCGTCGCAACAATCAAACGAAGCACAAAATCAAATCGCCGATCAACAGAATCAATCTCCCGCGATTCAGCAACAAGTGCAGAACCAGATGCAGAATCACAGTCAAATAAATCAGCAAGTACAGTCACAAAGGCCAATTTCTCAACAATTAAATCAGTCGGACCAGTTATCGCAGCAAAATCAAAGTCAGGTCAATCAACAGGTGCAAGGACAGCCACAGATATCGCAGCAGCTTCAACAATTGCAGAGACAGCAACGTGAATTGCAGCAGAGGCAGTTGCAGCAACTCGATAAGCAGCAAGTACAAATTATAACGCAACAAGAGTTCTCGGTAAAGCAGGAGTCACCGATTGTGCATCAAAACAACAACGTGGTTCTTAAAACCGAGGCGGATATGGAACAGAATCAGCAAATTATACAAAAGATACAAACGGAAACCGAGAAAGACGAATCTCCTAGTTCAGGCGTGCAGACTTTCACGACGGTGCAGGCAACACCGGAAGTATTTCTGAATTTGGGTTTCAAGGACAGCCCATTGACTGCGACAGTTCGAGATGAAGCGAAAGAGTTCAAAGAATTCGCGAAAACGCACTCCGAGGACGGAATGTCTCGTAACTCGATCGAACAGATCAGGGAATTTCTGAGGATCAGATCGGGAACGGAACCGACATCTCTGATAACTGTGACTCCTCAGGCACTCACGCAGACCACGAGAAACAACATCTGTCGCGATTGCGGCAAAAATTTTCCGACTTTACATCAAATGAACAATCACGGTTGTAACGTCGACACGCTCATAAGCGAGACAACGGATAATGGGAGTAAAACCGATTCTCTGCAAAATAACGTCAACAATTTCAGTTGTGACATTTGCAATAAACCGTTCAAACGGAAAGAACATCTTTTGCAGCATCGCAAACTTCACACCGGTGAGCGGCCGTACGTGTGCACCACGTGCGGCAAGGCGTTCAGCCGTAAGGAACATTTAGTTAGACACTCGGTGTCGCACACCGGACAGAAGGTACACGAATGTGAATTGTGTGGTAAAAGTTTTTCGCGCAAAGACAATCTCCACAAGCATCGAAAGACGCACGGCGTGTCCGGTCCGTTTATATGCGAGACTTGCGGGAAGTCGTTTGTTGTGAAACATTATTACGTGATGCATCTGACCACTCACACGAACAACTGTACGGAACCGCTGCCGTATAAGTGCGACATATGCGACAAAGCGTTCTCCGTGAAACAGTACCTTACTAGCCATAAAATTAGACACAGATCAAAAAATAACAATTCCGCGCAGAATAATCTGAACGGGCAGCAACAGTCGCAGCAGGAGCAGGAAGCCGCGAGTAACGTGGTTACGAGTCAGGACGGTGGGAGTTTGAATAACAATAACGGACAATCCAGCAATGAGTCGACGGTCGAAATACAGAGCGTCATTGAACGGAATGAACAAGCCAACGGGTCATTTGCCAATAGTCACTATCACGCAAACATACAAGAATATCAATGAGATAAGGGGAAGCGTGTCTATTATGTTCTCTTGCCGAACGGTAACAATCATAAGATCGTGGTTGTGTAAGCAAGGGAAACCTTACGACGCGCCAAACTATTTTCTTATATGGTTTTGCTCTTGATCGCGAACAGTTTTTATACTTTTTAATATTACAGGAATGAGAATCAAAGTGATTAATTCCAGCAAATTAACATATTTTGATGTATACAGTTGGACAAAGATACACAGTAGATCTGTTGAATGATTTAAGAACTCGCTGGACACGACGATGTAAATATATTTTGTCAGCAAGATACTTTTAGATATCTAAAAAAAAAGTGCATGCTGTAGTTTTTCGGAATAAATTCTCACTTGTATCCGCGACATTTGAGAAATAAAATGTGGTAAGTGCCGCTGAACTTACGTGTGAGTGGTCTGTCACTAAAGTAGTGAAATTATTTCGCTTGTTTGAAATGTGATGTGTGTTAATTTTTAAGAATATAAAAACCACAATAATTCGAATGTTGAAAAATCTTGTTTCTCATGTGAACAAGAGTGAAAACAACGTGTGATCAAAACAAAATAAAGGAATTGAGTAACAATTGGTAGGAAATATGTGAAAAAGAGAAAAAAAGGTACAAAATTCTACCGTATCAATTTAATTGATAATTGTGCAAGATTATAGGTCTATACTTTTGATACCGAGTGTGACTTTAATATATTGTTAATTTTATCGATATCATTTATATATAATATTTAAAACCACGTGATTAATTATATGATGTTGATGTTTTTTAAAAATTCAGTATTATTTTTTTTCTGTGACAGACCAAGTATACACGTATAAACAATACAGTCACAAGATTGTTACAATTTCTGACGAAAATATTGGATACACGTTTAAAAAAAAAAATTATGAGAGAAGAAATGTAAAAATTATCTAACTAGATTACATTTTTTTGTTTTCTTAATTGTGAGTAAAAGTTCTTCTAATTGTTTTGTGTTTACGACGTTTGTTGTTGTAGAAATTGCAACAATCTTTGACTATTTTATGAAAATATTCTTAAGAAAAATTATATTTTTTAGGAATATTTTCTATATATATTAATATATAAGTTTTGTCTCTAAAACTATTATACACATAATTATATGTACGTTTTGTCTATATAACATACTCTAGAATGCAGGTGAAAAACTAAGACCAAAGAAATTTATATTTTATGTTTATATAGAATTTATTTATATATTTCTACAAAATGGAGAAAAAAGATTTATTAAATAAGACGTAAAAGTACGATGGGACCGGAGGTTGCTAGCTTGGCTAACTGTTGTAATTTAAAGAAACTCAACATATAATGTTAATCGGACATTTGCGCGATTGTTTGCGCGTCAGATTATACACAACAATTTACAAACACGTCGTTTAATTTGCAATTATTAATTAATAAAAATTTAAAAAATCATGCCAAAGCATGTGATCTCTGGGAAAACAGGAATATATATGTGTAGGGATAAATACATATATATCATTAAAGGTTTAGTAAATTACTGACCAAAAGCGAAAAAAATTTTATGCTCTTCATCGTATTTCTTCGATCATAATTGCTACAGTAGTAGCCGCCCGATTGATCCTTTTTGGTGATCGTTCTCGCAGAAAGCAGCGAGCGCCCCGGAATCACCGACAACTAACTGAAGAAGACTACTGCATAATTGAGCAATACCTTGCGCGCTCCCTTCTTTCGTTCTTTCACATTTTTTAAATGCAGATTTCAAAGTAGCATATAAGATTAAAGATAATATATAGCAGATATAGTCTTTTTATGTGAGAGAGGTACAATGTACATTATATGTATTACATATAGTATATATATATATTTTTTTTTTTATATATATATACTGTACGTAATATATATTAATAATATATATAACATGTGTATAACATTTTTAGATTTCTCTCTATCCATACGTGAAAATTTAAGTATTTCATACATTCGACTGTTATTTTAATATTGATTCGTTTTAATATTGCATGTTCGAACACAATATATGTACGTTCGAACTTCTTATCAGTAAGAATTTAGAAACACATTAAATATTTATTGCTTTTGTGTGTATATTCATTACTGCGTAAAGATAAAAAAATCTCTTACGTGGTACCTACACACATGTAAAAGCACAATAGATTTTTTTATGTTTTTCTTTTTGTATCAAAGAATTTCTAAATTATTAGAATTTATATTAGTTCTATATGTAATATCACTAATATATCTGTTCGTTTTCTTCTTTTTTTTTATATAAGAGTTGCAATATTCTACGAATATAAGATTGTTAATGCGTTCGTCATTAAAAAAACTAAGATTTTTTTCTTTTTACTTAGCGATTGAGTTGTTCGGAAAAGTATTGGAGTTTAAAAATGTTCAACAGTACAAAGAAGAATTAGTTTTATTTAGTATTTAAGAGATCTCTTTTTGTTATGTAATGCAATCTTTGTACATATATATATCGGAGCAGAAGTGATGAGTTCAAGACTGTATCTCTATATCACCTAGATTTAGGTGTGTGTTGGAAGTATATAGATCTATATACATATATATATATATATATATATATACATACATACATATATATATATTGTACATAAAGATATGGTCCATGGTATAAAAGAAAAGGAAAAAAAACTATTAATACAATGTTTCTAATATAATGTATATTTTGCAAAATTATGCAAAGAAAATGCCTATATATATTGATTTAAACAACTTTTTTATATAGAGAACAAGAATCATTTCTCCAAAGATACAGTTACTTCGTTATTTTAAAAAGAAGATTTATTTTATATAAGATCCGCGCTTCTCTCTATGCCAAATACACGTATATAGTTCGTTTACTTCATTGTAAGACACGAAGTGTTTTCGTTTTTTTTTTTTTTTTTTTTTTTTGTTTTTGTTTTTGTTTAAGCCGCTCCCCGCCTTGTGTATGAATATAATAAAACAACACAAGTTTTCTCAAGAACAACACAATGTGGTTATTTTGGAATATTGAATAATTATATGATACCAAAAACAAAATTTCAGGTCTTGACTTTTCTTAACAGCACCTGATTCCCTGATATGTTTTAAGTGAAAACCGATGCGCGTCACGAAATATAGTCAAACGTTTTAATGAATATTCGTAAATTTATATATGAAAATTCAAATTTTTTCCGAATAAAATATTAAAATAAATTTTAGTTGACTCGTATGATTTGCATAAAGTATACATGTGTGTGTGTGTGTGTGTAAACACGTGTCTGAGAAACGCATGTTAAATTGGTTTACTCTTTGGACTAAATTTCTTCGAAGAAAGATGCAATGACGCACGCACCCCGTGCGTAGCGACCGGATGTTTTGCCTGGAACTGGAGATGATGCAACTTCGCAAACGCAGCGACGGGGAAACAACCAAGTGTGTATACATAAACATTATAAACGCGAAGAAATGACGTAAAATAGGGAAAATGTACTTAAAAAATAAAAAAAACAAAGTAATACATTTACGCATTTTTATCGTGCGATAAGTCTGGGTGCCGTAGACGCAAACACCGCGTTTCAAAGTGCGCTGTCATAAGTAAAAATCTACGACGTAACATGTGTATATCACGCGAATTGTAGATTCTCAGTAGTAGTGACAGCAAATGATTAACGCATCCCTAGAACCGCTCTAGCCGATCTCCGGGGATCTGCAGTAGACGTCATTTAAAAAAATCTTTACATCCCGCCAGTACTTGGAAATCTATAATATATGTCACGTGAACTATAGGTTTTCATTACTGACAGTGAATAACAACATTGATCGATTTGCTTGAAGGTCGACGATTTGCCTGTTTAAAGCGAAGGAAAATTCATGTTTGTCGAAAATTACAAACATGAGATTAATGTTAAGCCCAAGAGGCAGACTAATACATTTGTTGAAAATCCGGACTATAAAAAAAAAGGACCTTGAAAAAGGTTATGCTATTGTAACTAGTTCATGACACGGCACTTACGACACGGTGCACGGTGCACACCGCACAGTATAGGATCCAGTGCGTTCGAGTTCGGTTTCTCCCTCGGGAAAATGAGTTTCTCGTGAAGAAAAATAGATAACGAAAGACTAGCGTCAAACGCGCGAGGAACAATGTTGGCCGACGACATTTCCTGGCGAATCTTACGCGGTAAGTCAGTCACCTTTCGTCCGTTCTTTCTTTTCGTTAATACAAGTTATAGGTTGTAGGTTATGTGTCACTGCGGGGATCTGTAGGAAATGTTCTCTCTAACGAATTGGTGAACCTTTATCAATGCTTATGTAATATTCGTTCAGAATGACCTTGTACAGCAAATTAGAAATTATACATGTCATTAAAACCGTTGACTTATCCATGTTTTTACATGTTTTAATAGTTTTAAGTGCAAATATCTCTGTCTGATAAAAAATGGACTTTTGATTAAAAAAAAAGCGGAAATTCATTATGCTGACGTTGCGAAGTATGACTTTGGACATTTATTTATGAATATATGTTTTGCACCAATTAATAGTTATTTATATACATAATAATTATTTATGTAGATGAAATTTGTTTTGTTTTGTTTCTTAGAAAATCTGAAATAGCACATTATTGCAATGTGCCTCAGTTGCACATTATTGCAATGTGTTGCGTTATAGCCATATGTTTGTACATTATTAAACAACATCGTTGCACATTTGTTATTGTGTCTCTCATATGTATTTGCATGTGTTATTCTGTATATCTCTGTATGATTTATTATTTATTTAATTTAGTACACATGATAATCAATAGTACACATGATAATTAATAGTACACATGAACACATGATAATTCACTCATAACATGTCTGATAACATGTACAATTGGGATTTGTCTGTATTCTTCAGGAAGTTCAATTGCACAATAAAAAGTAAACACTAGATACTACAATCTGACAAATTGTTTGTGACTAAGAAAGAGACTAGTTCTTCTAGTTGTTGTAAATTTTCTTAAATATTTAAAAGCAAGAAAGCAGCATCAGATATATATGAGACAAAAGGAATAATGAATTTAGTGCTCACCTGCTTCATTCACGGTAGATTTTATCAAATACTATGAATGAACAAAAACAAAGTGATAAGTGCATTGACTCTTTGTGTGTGAAAAGTTTATTCTTACTTTTTAAAAACAACAAAATGAAAGACTACCGAAGATCTGAGCATCAAAACATTGGTGAAGGAAAACTTCAAGCAGTTTCTCTAAACGTTCGGAAAGGCATGGCGCAATCTCGGTCACTACAGGTTGGTGACTTCAGCAGAGGCTCAGCTGATTGTTATACGCGAGCAATTATTTTAGACAATAATAAGTCAATTTGTTTTCCATTCGATAAACAGCACTTTGTGTGTCGTCATACAGCACTTGTGTCGAATAACAAATGAATTAATCATTTATCGCGCGTGTCGGTGAACTATGAAATCATCGATTGAAAAAATACTGATTTGTCTCGGAAATCCCGGAGCTCCTTCGGAGTGGTAACTTCTTGAAATTTCCGAGAAGTTGCTTGGAAGAATAACTTCTCGGGATTTTCGAGGAATTCGGCGATATTCGTTTTCTGCTAAGCACGCAGTAATCAAATATGCTTTCTGCATTTCGCGAAAAAAATTACGTCGCATCCGAGAAATTAAATAACTTCATCGAATATCGTCACACAAATTGCGCCGCGAAAATTTCTATTTTTTTTTTTTTTTTATATACGTATATATTTCTGTTATTTACCTGCAAGAAGAGAACCATGTACGAAAGTTTAGTGAATTTGTTTAATGAATTTGTTTTGAATCTTTTTTTTCATCTGACGCACCTATTCTCCGCATTCTGCTGCGTTACTTCGCTTTTTTGCACGCAGACTCTTTTTATCAGCGTTTTTCGCACGCGAAAGAAGTTGCGTCACTTGCGTCACATGCTCGATCACCCTCTGATGTGCGCACGGGATATGCTTGACTCTCTTCGAAGAGAACTTACATCATTTAAAAACAAAAAAACAATTTAACATATTCGGACAAGGTTCTTATATATATCTTTTTATTGTTAAGAAATCCAATGCTCAGTTTGCAGTAAAAATGATCACAAATGTTACCACAAGCGATGCAAAACGATATGTAATGATAATAGATGGATGAACGCCGTCATGTACTCAAAAAAAAAAAAAATGTCACATTGTATATGTATAAAGACGTATTTTAAGATATTTGCATAATTTTCTTATTCTTTTGAGTTGACATTGTACAACTTGAATTGCATTATATTATGCGAATGTATGACAATATATTCTGATGCTGACGCTTTTAACAATGCGCTATACTTCTACATTATGTAGTTGTTCGACATTGCCTTTTGCGCATCTTTAGACAGTCATTTTTTGGTGAGAAGAAATAATTGAAATATATGAAGAAAAAACCATCTCCATATAGATATAGATAATAATTACGGTAAAGACTAAATTTGGAAGTCGGTTTCTTTATATCGCGCTGCGGATGTTTTATGTTGATGGTTTTTTTTAACTTGAATAAATTTATGTAGATAAAATTGCGTTTCATCTACACGAATGCAACGTTTGCATACTTTCAGTACTTTGAACTTTGAACATATGTCCTGCAAAATTTGGATAACTTGCAATTTTTCCGACTAGCAAAGCTAAAATTCTCAGAAACAATCAACTACAATAAGAAAAACAAATATGTAAGAAGCGAAGTTTCAAGCTTGAAATATCTTCTCTCATAGATAAATATACACTTACGTGACATATCTTAGATAAAATTCTAATATATACAAAGTGTAAAACCAAGATGTTTTGTATAAAAACATAAATTTATATATATTAATAACATCTACAACAAACTGCTTTTTTTATATACAGGATGTCTCAAAATTATGTCGAAGTGTGAAGATTGGATTAATCTGAACAAAAGTCATTTGCAATTTTGCAAAGCTTGTGATATTGATTCATTAACGTGATCCAATGAGCGCGCGGTAAGCGACACTTTGGACTCTGTAGGCGTGTATGATTTTACAGGTGTAAAAAGAAGACTGGTTCGTGTGCAATTTCCTAACAGTAAGAGGCGGAGCAACAAACAAGCGGCGCGTGATGCAGCTTCTTGCGATCAGTTAATTTTGACAACTGAAAATCGTGCACATCTACAGAGTTCGGATCGTCGCTTTCCACGCGCTCATTGGCTCACAATAATAACGGTATTCATTAATAACTAATTAATAACTTATTGCGAGTTTTAAAAAATGACCTTTCTGTTCAGATTAATCCAATCTGCTTTCACACATCGGCTTGGTCAAAATGTTTTAGACATCCAATCGGCTAGCGTGTTTTTTGTCACGTATCTCAGGTAATTATCTGATAAGGTAGGGTTAACAACAATAGTCTTTTAAATTGATGTGTACACGAGAAAAGATGTTTCGATATCTATATTTTAGAGTTTGTATTTGACACAAAGATATCGGCTGTGAGAAAAAAATAACATTTTCGATTTTTTAATTGGGGAAGAACTTCGCACGGAGTCGATTTGTCATCGCTACAGTATGTAATGACTAATGTAGAGACTCCGTAAAATATTTATATATCTCTCTCTGCCGCGACACTCACGAGTATGTGATCTGGACCGAAAGTTTTAACAGGTGTAATTCTCCGTCTTAGATGGAGCTTAGATTTTTTAAATCTTGCAACTTTGTCTTTTACCTATATACTTTTTATTGTTACTTGACAGCAATGTCTTAGCGTACAGATGTTTTGACTGACGTAATTTTACAATCAAAAAAAAAAAAAGAAAACATTACACAAAAGATAAATATTTAAATATGCAGCTTGACAACGATAATGTAACCTGAACTAGCAAGTCTATACACGGGATACGTGAAACATCTATGCACATAATTACGTGCATAGATTGATAGATTTCCCGTGTATAGACTTGCCATATGTGCGCAAAGGTATGCGTAAAAAATATGTTTGCATATTTTTATATATATTTAAATATATGCATATTTTCATTTGATGTAGATAAATTTTGTTCAGGCATGCATGTAATATACACAAAACTCCCCATTTTGCATAAGTATATGTTATACATATTACATGTACGAAATTATTTTTATACATATAAGAAAATGAAGTTCTGGAGTAATTGAATAAAACAATTCAGATATCAAGTTAAAAATAAACGTTTTATTAGCGTGACGAGTGCCGCAAATCGTCGAGCGTGATTTCGTCGAAAGGTTTTGACGTCTTCTACAAGTATTTCGATTAACACTTTTAAGCAAATCGGAATAGTTTTCTGCGAAAAACAGTTTCCTTTCTCTGTTTATAATTTTGGTTTCTCTGATCGTGAAAATTGTTTCGACTCGTCTATCTCGGCGTCGTAAAAGCGTAAATCGTTTGAAATGTGTGATTTACGAGGGCTCTCTCTTCGTTGTGAAGGCACATTCGAGAAAACGAAACGCGTGTCTCTTTTGTCGCTCTTCTTTTCCAGAGCTTATCTCCGTAGAATCTTAGATTTTCTTCGTCTCGGTTTAAGATTTAATCAAATTACATCAGAAAATGTAATCGTTATTAAATGTTATCGCTTGCAGTAAGACTAGATAAACTCGCGGACAATTATTTAAATATCGATCAGTCTTGCGGTCAGTCTTACCTCAATCAATTGTTGCGTGATGTCAGAGGCAGGAAGCGAAGTCTAAGTCAAAATTAAACATGTAATCATTGTGTGACGTATATATACATATATATATATATATTTTTGTTTTTTTTTTACTATTGAGTGATCGGAAAAGTTTCACTATGCCAATGGACTATGAGAACACGCTACTACTTTCTTAACGTGAGTTACGAAAGCGCTCATCGTCAGTCACCGTAAAGACAGGACGTCGCACGACTTGCGACACATCGACAATACGTGTGTATAATAGTGCATTCCATTTTTATTTGTGGAGAGGTATTTATTTACGATAGAATACACACGCGTTTTTTTTCTCCTATTTACATTTAGATTTAAGCAAATTGCGAAACTGTGCAAGAGAGAAAGAGCGTGTGTACTGATTGTCTTTATTTCTGATCTTAGAACGCAAATTTTATTGTCTTTGACACAGAGTCGTGAGGAACGCCGGTAGTGTTCGACGCATTGCCAGCAAGCGCATCTTCAAGTGAGGAGGAAGTTGATTTGCGTAAATGAAAAAAATTTCAAAAGCCCAACTCTTTAAGACTCGTAACTCCACCCGGTTTCCCGACGTCGTTCAAGACTTTCGCCACTTTCGCGTTCGTATACAACAGTGTACACATCGCGCATGCGCCTCATAAAAAAAGCACTTCATCAACGCTCAGTAACTCTGAGGATCAGTAAACCAGTGCGCGCCGCGTGATTCGGAAGAATATCGGGTTGTCTTTGCGAACAACAGATAGTCACAACTATCTCCCCCATGTGCTCTTCACTCATAGACAATTCGCTTCTACGCGCGAAGACTTGATCGTGTTGTAGTTTTTGTTCGCTCTGTCAGTACACTTACTGTTCCTTTTTTTAAAAATCGTAAAGAACGTTTATATCGAGCCGGTCAGTAGAGTTGAGAAAAAGAAATAGAGATTTTAGAAGAATTTGAAAAACAATAAAAAAGCGCGCTCTGAGAAAAAGTCGCAAGAAACAATAAATCGGCGTTCACATTTTGAACTCTATCACGATAACGTGCGCGACAAGTGAAGAGTTTCGTCGAGCTACAGGTTGCACCCTTCAAACTTTAGGTATGTGTGAATCTGTTATTTAATTTTGATTGTTCAATTGTCTCGTCTCGTTCGCTTACACTTCGAAAACTCAGTGAAATTCTCATTTCACGGTTGAAACATATTTAGACCAAATTGAGATTTTTGAAGGTCCGCGAGCATAAGATCGTCTTAAGCGTATCTTAAGAATACTGCACGCGCGCGCGCGGACTGTTTCATTAGCGATCATCAGACAGTATAAGAACTTACGGCAAATGTGAAATTTGGTTTTCCTTATTTTATCAAATTTCACATTTGACGTACGTTTAAATATAAATTATAATAGCCCACTGAAGATAGTTTAAAGTAAAATCGAAACATTTTTGGAAAATAAACACTCTTATTACGACACAAAATCCAGTCCCGTGACTCAAACAGCCCGATTAAACAAGATTTTTAAATAGAAATTTTATTTTTTATTTTGGCTCTGAGACCCCTTGCCAAACCGCGAACATTCTGTTAATATAAGTCGATATTTATCTTCATGTCTCACTCTTTTATTTAAGATCGCTGCATTTTATATTTTTCTAGATTCGAGAAACGTATCTAAAAATCAATTGCTCTTTATATTTCTGACTAAAACACTAGAAAGCAAAACCGACTAGATGAATTTTTTTATTTCGCCAGTTTATAATATTCTCGGAAACTCAGTTGATAGAACGTCGTGTCTTAACTAACTAAAAAAGTTACGTATATTAATATAAAAGCTCTCGCTTTAACGAATGTTTTTGAATTTACATTGTGACAAATCTCTTTAAAGTATTCGTTGTATTTAATTTTTATTATCTTCAGGTATTTCTTCAATTTACTACGTTTTTATGTCAAGTGAATGTTTTAATAAAAATATCGTAAACATTCGAGTAACAAATTTGTCGAGGTTTTTTGCTTGATATCAATTTCATGATGTCTCAGAGGAGAGGTTGTCGCAGTAAATATTTCTTTTTTCCACTAGTTTTACTAGTTTTTGTATTACCGATGTTAGGATAAAAAAAAAATTACTTATTCGCACATTAATATTCTGCGTCGTTTACGCATCAGTAAAAAGTAAATTTTTATATTTATGTGTAATGCAATGTCTACCAATGAAGTAATAAAGTGCCGAACTTAAAACAAGAATATTAGTACAAAAAAAGGCGACGCAAGTTGTAGAAACTGTATTGTTCGTAAAATCGAACAATTTAATCGCTTGTCAAATTATTTGTTACTCTTCATTCAATCAGTCTGCTGAATTGAAAAAGGGAGAATTTTTTTTCTTATTACACACATTTTTACGTATCGATAATCAAAGATTATCCCGTGAGTTTGCAAAAGTTATCTATGTAATTGGTGCAAACAGATTCTAAATTTCAAAATGTAGAAACTTGTTTTACTTACGTCAATGTTGCGGAAAAACTGTTGGTGCGTTTTTCTCGTGCGTTGCTTGCGCCGTTACTCTTATGCCGTTGATACTCTTATCGTGTTCTTTCTGCTTTAACTCGCCTAAGTGTTCTCGAAAATTTTACCCCGCGCGTAAGGACACGCGTTTTTTTATTTTTGGCCGGGTGAGAATGCGCGACTTAGCGATTCCTGTCGTTATATTAAATATATATTGCAAAATAAAAGATGATGACTTCGCGACGATGTCCACAACAAGATTTAAGTCCAAATGCGCGGCATAAAGAAGAATATCTAGAGACGTGGTGAATATCTCACGTGCTGCCGATTAAAAAAGATAAAAGTAAAATCCATTCATGAGAACGTGTCGGGAACGTGTTTACCAAACAAAGTTCGGAGTAATTGATATGTACATTCGGATAGAAATCTTTTATCTCTTTGATTTCTCGTTCAGATAACGAAACTAAATAGCTGCAATTTTTTGTGTGAACTAATGTTGTAACGTACATGATAATCTATCCCTTCTCTCTTGCTCTGTACTCTGATTGTATTTATATTAGGAATGTGTTCTCATTTGATACTAAAATTAGATTTGATAAGTAGATAATAAAACTATTTACTTGACACTAGTTAGATAAACTATTCCGGCGTACGTGACAGAGTAAATGATTTCTTATTATTAAAGAGATAAAAAAAGATTATAGAAAATCTGCAATGTACGTGTACCAATACACGTACACCGTAGATTTTCTATAATCTTTGAAAAAATCTCATATGTACTATATAAATTATAATTTTTTTTTATTGTTATCATTATCATCTTTGTTTATGTTCTATGACTTTCGATTTGTGTTAGTTTTTAATAATTTATACCTCTCTTATTATTATAAAAAAACATTGTTGTCCACATTTTGTTATCTTCGAGGAAAATGCGATGTTTGCGCTTCTTATCGAAGTTAATGACGATTCTCGATTTGTGAGAAAAAATAAAATAGTAATAGTAATGTTAATATATCTGTAAATTATATATTACAAGACAAATTACGCTGCTGTAAAAAACAAAAAAAAGAACGTTTGAGACTGCGTGTGTGTGAAGTTAGCACGACGTTCTATTTATTATTACAAAATAATGATAGTTCTAGTAGCACTTTACATAGTTTTACAGTTCTTACTATAAATAAGCAAAAGTTCCGCGGTTTTAATATTAAAAACCCGAAAATTAAAAAATGTCGTGCTAACTTCACGTTCTAGCACAACACACTTTTCTCAAAACTATACGAAGACAGTGAAAATTACACTTTTGATTGAGAGTTCCCGTTAATTCTAAGCTCCACTTATACATATATAAAATTTTACACCAAAATATCAACAATTACCACTTTTATGTACTATTGACATTCGACGTCAGCACGACACTCGACAAAAACCCGTCGTGCAGTCGACTTTCGGCAGTTGTAGTGTGTGTTATTATTTTATCGTAAATTAAGATTAGCATGTCGCTAGATATAACATGTCGTTGGATATGTTTGCGTCGTGTAGAGAGAATATAAATAATTAGCCGGAAATACTAATTCTTTCTTTGATGGTAGATTATATATATATATATATATATATATTGTAATGGTGGTGTTACAATTGAAAATTATAAAGACATTTTCAAGAAAACAATTATGTTTCCGCGCTTACATAAAAGATAAGATGGGGCGTAATTGTAATTTTATTAATAAATCGTCTCTTTTTCTTTACATCGTATTTATACCAATATGTTCCATTTCGTGCTTAAGTAACATAATGTCCACTGGCAGTATTGTCACCGAATGCGTTTATATAATTTACAATGCCGACAGGTTTTTTTCGAGTGTCGTGCTGGCGTCGAATGTCAATAGTACATAAAAGTGGTAATTGTTGATATTTTGGTGTAAAATTTTATATATGTATAAGTGGAGAAAGAGAACTAACGGGGTTAGCACGACATTTTTTAATTTTCGGGTTTTTAATATTAAAACCGCGGAACTTTTGCTTATTTATATTAAGAACTGTAGAACTATGTAAAGTGCTACTATCATTATTTTGTAATAATAAATAGAATGTCGTGCTAACTTCACACATACTGAGACTGCACACAAGAACGAATCAGAGTCAGCTGTCGGAGTCTCTGCGTAGAGGGGAGAGATGAATTTATACATATATATTTATACGTACTCTTCAAATTTCACATATCGCATTCGGTTCTCTACTAGTATACGCGGCACATCACGCTAATGAGTGCATAGAAAATCGTCTTATCTGTATTCTTCTTTTCTTAAAAGAAACCGAGGTACTATGAAGGTATGGATATTATGCGATATATACATATTATACATTATTGAACGATTGTCAAACAAAAGACACGTAAGTTTTTTTTTTTTTTTTTTGAAGTGTACATTTTTACCTGACGAAACATAGTGTTGTGCAAATCAGATTGTTTTCTTTTTTTTATGTTTGAACTCGATGCCAGAAAAGGCGATTTGGGTTATTAACGCGCAAATTAATGCAATTTAATAAAAATCCGACGTATCGGCTGTTGCGTCAAACGAGAGACGTTTTATTGTTCGACTTGCTTTAAGAGAGTAGAGAAGCGGTCAGTGTTAATGGTAGAAATACTTGCGAGTACTTTTAAACTCTTGGAAAGTTACCGACCTTGACAGACATTACAGGTAAATCGACATTTTTTTCTTCGGAGATTGTTGGCACAAGAGATCTCTTGATTTACTTGGTATTTGTGGTGTTCAAAGCACCACATGTGTGCAACTAGTTTAGTCGGACTTGGATTTTAAAAATATTATAAATCAGTGTTTCACCATCGTTCATACGAAACATTCCTTGTTTACTAAAACGGTGATAAAAAAGAAATCGTTGATGTGTTTTTTTTTTCTTTTTTTTTTTTTTTTTAAGGGAGCAAAGTATATTGTGACGCCAACTGTATAATGTACGTGCAACTCGCGTGAATAAATATATATGTTTACGCGTGTAAACGTAGACTAGAATTGATGAAAAAAAAAAAAAAAATTACGCGTCAACAATAATATGTAATATAACTTAATATAATATGGTACCCTGTGATACACGATCTCACGTTCGTTCATAACACGCGAACGTTACCTTTGACTTTGTTTCATTCGATCGCAGCATTTGTTGTACATACACTGAAGTAACAAATAAACACGCGCGGAACATCGATATTCTAATGACGATTTGACGAGTTCGCGAAGTAGAGTTGGGCACGGTCTTGTGACCATCGACCGGTGGATGTATCTCGCGTGTCGAAATTCACCAAACAAAATGATATAACAGCTACTTTCTACAAACTCGCTCGTACCCTTGGATATCGCACGCGTATTGCATGGCATAATTAAGTGCGTGATTATGCGTGTGATCTTTCAAAAGAAATCGAACATCTTGATATCTCTCACGTGGCTTTTTGCCTCTCGTCTTTTCTCACACACAGTAAAAGTTTGTTTTTTACATCAGAATTATTGCACATTTTATGTATTACATATATAAATAATTACATACATAATGTGACATTTAAGAGGAACCGAACAATGGACCGTAACGACGAGATTTTATACGATCAAATGTTAAACGCGCGACGTCAGCAACGCGTTCGATTCTTGTGTGCTTTTTTCTAGTTCTTTAATAATTTATTAGTTCTTCATTTGTAATCGCATTATAAAACAAGTGTTCACATATGTAATCGCATTGTAAAACAAATGTTTCACGTATGTAATTTCGTAATCTCTTTCAGATTTTGAATAGTATTTTCTCGAGGAAAGAAAAAAAGGGGGGCACGATGCTGACATACGTATTTGAGATGTATGGCCGGTTCTGTGCCGGTCATCCTTTGGAAGTGATAGTAACGATCTTCACTTTAACTGCGTGCACGCTCAACATGGATACCGGAACCGGACAGGCGCGCAAGGAAGATTTACCTAATACCTTATATTGTCATCACACTCGATGCGATATCTCAGTAAGCGAAAATTCTGTGCGATTCTAAAAGCGATATCGAATAGCTTGCGATAAACTCAGTCCCGTTGTTTTTCTTACGATTTCTTCTTAAAAATCTCTTTCGATGTTTTACATATACGTATAAGAGCAATTTCAGCTCTATGTCTTGGACTTTGATCCTGTTTTGTTGTTATTGGCAGTATTGAAACTTTATTAGCTTCTACAGAGAGATTTTTAAGTACTGCCATTAATTAAAAGTAACAATCGAACAGGACTTTAATTGATCAACTTTATCATTTTCACACACATATTTGTGTCCAGGACAATTCAAAAGTGGCCAACATCATAGTAATGACCATTATACGTTGCTTGGCAGTGCTCTTCACCTATTATCAATTCCGGAATTTACAAAAACTGGGATCCAAATATATTTTAGGTATGTGTGCGTGTAGACTAGACTATGTGTCTGTAGATTAGATGCGTATAATTCCTCTAACTTGTGTGCGAAACAACTTTCTATCATGATAATTTATGAGACTGATCTGTGGATATATATATACACAAATTATCTTGCGTGAAATGGCTAATAATGAATTATGTGTGATATTAATAAGAGCGCGGCGAGATTGGTACAGAAATTTTCTTGACGGATTGATAAGTATTCAATTGTCCGCTCGCTCAGTTACATTTTATATCGCGCTATATATCTCGACTACGTGTTACGGGGCGTTGCGCACGCATCAAGGACGGCCGCGGAGAAAAAATGTGTAATAATTATCGCGTATCTCTCATTGATAAAACCGGATCTTTCGGAGCGGCACGAGAAAGCTCTCCCATAGTGAAAGTCTCATGGAAAGCGGTAATCGTTTCGTACGGTGAATCACGTTTGATCGTTACGACCGAAGAGCGCATCGGATATTTTTAATATAAACTCCGATGTTGCGTTTACAAAAATGTAATGTTTTATTCGTTCAACAGAGAGACTTTTTTTCTTGTATCGCAGGTATCGCTGGCATTTTTACCGTATTTTGTAGCGCGGTGTTTACCTCAAGCTTGGTCAGTTTCGCTCACAATGACGCGACGGACTTGTTGTAAGTAACGGACTTGTTGTATAACGTCTCCTTAAATATATGTTACAATTTCTCCTTCTTTGTTTTTCGACGTCACACTTTCCCTCTTGCAGCGACGCGTTGTTCTCCTTTTTGCTTCTCATCGACCTTTCCAAGGCTGCGACTTTGGCTCAGTACGCGCTGAGTTCGCGAAGTCAGGAAGAAGTTCGGGCGAATATCGCGCGCGGTATGTCTCTGCTGGGACCGACCATCACTCTGGACACCCTCGTGGAGACTCTGCTGATCGGCATAGGCTCCTTGTCGGGTGTCAGGAGGCTTGAGATCCTCTGCACCTTTGCATGTCTTGGAGTGATCGTCAATTACATCGTCTTCATGACGTTCTATCCGGCTTGTTTATCGCTTATATTAGAGGTACGACTGTGACGTCCCACTCCTCGTTTAAATTAGAATTTTCCTTAGTGTAATATATCGTCGTTTTCACGTATCATTGCATGTATCATATGTATCATTGCATACGTATCATTTCATTTCATATATTCCAGCTTTCCCGAGGGAATAACAACAAGGGTCGGTTGAGCGCGGACAGGATATTCATAATACAACCATTGAACGAGGAGGACCAAAAACCGAATCCTGTGGTGGAACGAGTCAAGATGATCATGATCGGTGGCCTATTTGTGGTACACGCGCATAGGTACATTACAATACTTTACTCCCCACTTCAAACTTGACTCGAATCCGAACTTACTGTGCAACACAATATACACGCGGCGAAGCAGGAAACCGGTCACACAAGCTATTGTAAATCTGACCCTTATTAATTTTGTATATTTGCTCCGCCTTTGTCAACCGACTTGTCACGCCTAATTTCGACGTCAGGTCAGGTTCATCCGCTCTGACGCACATTAGCATCATACTTCCATTCAAAAGTGTTCACATATTCAATGAAGCCTTCCGCGTGAAAGGAAATACTTATCTACGTCCAAGTTTGGACTGAAAGAATCATCAAAAACATTTACGTTACACAAAAATTTTGCGTATAATTTTTATTATTTTTCTCGTTTACAATGGATGTTGACGTCAAAAAAACGACGGCAGCATTATCGCGCCACGAAATATCGCGCGTCTCTGAGCGAAACAAAATAAAATAAAAGTCATTGAAAGGATTGAAAAAAAAAAGAGAATTACGAAATTCTTTGTGTGTGTGTGAGCCTTGACACAAGATTGAGTTGTGTTGATTTAATTGTGTAATTTATTACACACGTTTCGATCTTCCGTGTTCGGATCCTTGATAAAATATCTTACATGTATTAAAAATTATAAGCATAAAAAAGACTCTTCTCTGAAAAACATAAAGAAAAAACTGAATAATACTTCTTTAATTAGAAGATATCCGTGAATTCGACTTATCTTGACAGAAGACCTTCGCGATAAACAGATTGAATATTTATTTCACGTTTAGACGTCGAGTCGACTATGTATTAATATATTGGTTTAACTTAGTTTTGTTTCTTCTTTCGGCATAGCAATGCATCGAAAACGCATATATTAACATTCGAAGATGTTTTACGGGTTTGAACCGCGTTAGTGTCATTTTTATACCGACGTTTCGTGAACATTTCAGCTCACTTTATCAGGGTTTCAAGAGCAGTTTATTACTGAGATGCTCTCGGACAGATGTCCCTTTTTTTATAGCGCCAGATTATGATGAAGGGGATGTAGTAGTAGAGGTAAGGTGATGCGATAGAAAGTAGAGGCGGTGAGGAGTGTTATGGCAGGATGGATTGCCATAGTGGACTGGTCATTTGTCCATTATCTCTATTGAGATTGTTTGGATGTTTGTATATCTCCAAGGACTCCATTTAATTTTCTAGGAAAGTAAACTGCAGTTTTGTGATGAAGTGAGCTGAAATGTTCACGAAACGTCGGTATAAAAATGACACTAACGCAATTCAAACCCGTAAAACATCTTCGAATGTTAATACAATACACTGCGAAAGCACTAAATATCAATGTATATATTGCTGAACTATAAATATTGAAACAGATATCACGACAATATAAGTGAGACTTTGCACATAACACTTCAATCATTTTGATTTCACGTAGATAAAAGATTTACCATTTTAAATAACAGTTGCAATTAAGATTTTAATTACCATTTGCATTTATAATTTCTTCGTCGCGCCACAATGAAGATGAGACTCAATAATAAATTCGTTTTCGTTAAACCAACGTTTGATCGCTTAGATTATGTTCTAACTTATGCAAATGTTACTTTTATGCTGCAGCCGCTGGCCGTTCAACAAAGAAGAAAGCGAGTACACGACGGAAACAATCAAAACAACGACCACAAACTCGGATATGATAAACAACTCCGTTCATACCGAGAGATCCGAATTGAGAGAACACTTGACTAGTTGGCTGTCAGTCAGTGTGGACAATATCGTGATACTGATTCTGTTGCTAGCACTTGCAGTAAAGTACATCTTCTTCGAGGAAAGGAACGACGTCGTTAGGCGCCTGAGATTCAAGGAGGAAGAGAAAGCGGAGTCTCTTGATGTCAATGCGGATAATACGAATACTATAGACATGCCATTGCAACAGCGACTCGATACGACAGTGATCACACAACCGATCTTCCCTTTGTCCGGTGTGGGTGGCGGGTGGTTTGATAACGAGGATGGAATCGAGAAGGAAGTGCAAACCGAAGAAAAAGAGGTGCAAACCGATGTGATACTTTACAGTTCGAATGATTCCAGCAGTGTGAGCGAAGCGTCCAAGAAAGACGAACCTCCCAGAAGCGTAGAAGATTGTCTCGAGATATACAAGTCTGAGGTAAGAAATAGCTCAACAACTCTATTGTTTTTTTAATTGATTTGTCCGTCTACGTTGGTATCACTGTTCATTTAAATTTGTTTTGTTTTTTACTAGCTCGGAGCTAGCGTGTTGACGGACGAGGAGGTGATACAATTGGTAAAACACAAACACATAGCTTCGTATCAATTGGAAAAAGCGGTCGGGGATATGGAGCGCGGCGTTGGTATCAGACGTGTTGTCGTGAGTAAAGCCGCTGGTTTCACTGATGAAATGACCGATCTGCCGTACAAGCACTACGATTACAGCAAGGTATTAGGTTCGTGCTGCGAGAACGTAATCGGTTTTATGCCGATGCCGGTCGGTGTCGCCGGACCTTTGTTGATAGACGGCGAAGTGTATTACGTGCCGATGGCAACGACCGAGGGTTGCCTGGTGGCGTCGACCAATCGCGGCAGTCGCGCTCTCATGAAATACGGCGTGACGAGTAGAATAGTAGCGGACGGTATGACTCGCGGGCCCGTGGTAAGATTCTTGAATATCGTGCAAGCGAGCGAGGCGATGAAGTGGATACAACAGCAGCAAAACTATCAGAAGATGAAGAACAGTTTTGACGCAACAAGCGGTTTCGCACGTTTAATGAAGATACACGTGCGCATAGCCGGGCGATGCTTATTTATACGTTTTGTCGCCACGACCGGCGATGCTATGGGCATGAATATGTTATCGAAAGGCACAGAAAAATCGTTACAGACATTGCAGGAGTATTTTCCGGAAATGGAGATACTCTCCCTAAGCGGAAATTTCTGCACCGACAAAAAGCCCGCGGCTGTCAATTGGATCGAGGGTAGAGGCAAGAGCGTGATCTGCGAAGCGATTGTACCCGAGGATATCGTGACCAACGTGCTCAAGACATCGGTGCACGCTCTAGTCGATGTAAACACCAACAAAAATTTGATAGGCTCAGCGGTGGCGGGTAGCGTGGGTGGTTTCAACGCGCACGCCGCTAATATCGTGACCGCGATTTTTATCGCCACCGGACAGGATCCCGCTCAGAACGTCGGTAGCAGCAATTGCATGACGTTGATGGAACCCTGGGGCGAAGATGGCAAGGATTTACATGTGTCCTGCACTATGCCCAGCATAGAAGTCGGCACTGTAGGCGGTGGTACCGGTCTGCCAGCACAGAGCGCGTGTTTGGCTATGTTGGGAGCGAAAGGTCCGCACGTAAACAACCCCGGCGAGAACGCCAATAAACTTGCCCGGATCGTTTGCGCCACTGTACTCGCTGGAGAACTTTCCCTGATGGCCGCGTTGACTGCCGGTCATTTGGTCAAGAGTCATTTGAGGCATAACAGGTATGTAGCTGGAAGTAGTTAGCATGGAATGTTGAATCAATACTTTACGATCTATAACTGCAGACTGTGTTGAAGAATTGGAAGAATTGTGCGCGTTTTTTCTTTATGTTCGCAGATCATCTGTCCTAATTAGTAACGCGGTTCACACTGTCCACAGTAGCACTAGCGGTAACAATTTAACCGTGCCAAAAGTTTCGGTGTCCTCCTCGTACAACATTTGCTCAGACTTTGCGCAAAAATCTTAGCACTTAAACATGAACGGAATGTTTTTATATTTTTTATATAGAGCGGTTATGGTCTATACATGTTATTTCGCACCTGCCTCAGAATGGTATTCCAAAGAAATAATTCTTTAAAAACAGTGTTTGAGTTTTGTAATATGTGACATATATGTGTATATACATGTAATATGTGTATACAATGTATATTTTACGTGGTACAAAATGGTACTGTAGAATTATTTTATATTTAATTGTAAATTTTTTAACAAAAGAATTATACATGTACATATATAGAAAAAAGCAAGCATTCACATCAACATTTTTAATTATACAATTCATAATACTAGATATAATATTAAAAATAGAAGAAAAGGCGAATAATGTCTAAGACTTTGTTAACCGACAAAATTGTAAGATTCTTTAAAAACACTTCTCGAATTGCGTAAGATAAAGATATATTTTATTCAGGATTTAACTTATTCAAGGATTTTCATCCCTTTATGTTGTAATAATAATAGCATATAATTAACGACACCTAGTTTCGCGTATTTTATTGGAATATAAAAGAGGTTCCTGGTGCAAGCAAAAAACCAAAAGTTTGATTTATAATAAATCTTTAAATATATTCAAAGATAGTACATACTACACACGTATGGTTTTCTTTTGAGATGATCTGCTCAACACGATCAAACACGTGTGTGCATGTGGACGTAATATTTTATGTTGCAACAATAAGTGATAAGTCAAACGTGTAAGAATGGAAGTATTTGCAAAGAGAAATAAAACTCAATTCTAACTAGTGTTTTGAGTGACATCACGAAAACTTATGTCTTCCGCAAACTTTCTCGTAGTTTTCTGATACCACAAGCAAAACCCCAACTTACGTTGCTTTGACTTATTATACGACGCTTCGTAATACTTACGGACAGTTTCGAGTTGCAGCAACTTTCCCTTTCTGGAATCGAAGATAACGATACCTCCCTCCGGAGTATGCCTGTAGAAAATATACATGTTACAACATATGATGGAGAATGAAGATGATAATATATTATATAAAGCAAATCTTATGCACTCATAGGTTTGATCTATTATTTATTAAGTTATACTAACAGAAACCGCCAAAAAAAAACTTAAAATTTTTTGTAATATATAATTAACATTATTATGACTGTAATAAATATGACGTTTTTTTTTAATATAATTATTCGGCCATTTATTTATAAGTTATGTATATTGTTATTATTGATGATTTAAGTTATAAGTTACAAAAAGATGATAAATTGAATTTTTAAGAGCTTGAACGATTTGGTAGTCAAGCTCACAATGCGTTTTATAAATATTAAAGGCTGTGGAAATATTACTACATCGAAAGATATACTGAATTATGCAACGAAACCTGTCGAACGCTCAACAGCGTTTAATCTAAAGTGAATCCTACTTGTAAAAGATAAACATATAGTGGTTAATTTCAAAAAAATATAAAATAAGTTTATAAATAAAATACAGATTTTTTCTTGAGACGATAAAGAGAACGTAGACAACACAACTTGTTTCTTTCAATTCTAGACTATATAACAGTTCTTTCACAAAAAAACTTAAATTTTTATAACTTTAAGAATTTCGTTATTCATTTTTAGCGAAAGTTCTAAAGCATTGGTATGGAAAATTTTATTTATTTTCTATGATTAATGTGTGAGAGATGTAACCATTTTTCGCTGCAGATTTAAGCGAGAAAGTCGGCCGCTACGGGCTAAATTCCAAATGTGTTACCAGGATCACAGAAAGTGACAAGGCCTCTACCAGGAGAGAGGTGAATCGACTCAGCCGATAACTTCGCCGTATTAGAAAAGTATAAGTTGAAGAAAGTGGCATTAAATATCTATCTGCTTTATCGGCAAATTCCAGCGAACAGAAATGTAGAATGTGAGAAGAGGTTTACAGGTTTAGAATTCTCGAAAGTGGTTTAAGCCTTCGCGCGCGCTAAAAACATTCTGATTTAGCTTAAAAACACCAGAACTTATCACATTCTAATTTATTATACTTTCTGTGCGTTAGAAAAGTATTTAAGAAATAAAACAATTATGCATTTTAGTTATATAATATTTTTATACAGACATTAAATTCATTCTTCGATTCGAATTATTTTATTAAAAAATTATTGTATATACATACATATATATATATATTAATTGCATTAATGACTTTTCTGTAAAAAAACATTCATAGGTTAGATAAATATTCATGATCATCAGAGTATAAAATATTCGATCCAGAATGAAATTTAAAAAACTGTTTTAATAAATTTGTAAATTTTCGAGACACTTTTAACATATTCGAGAGTTTTTGTATAAAATATCCTCAATTCACACATAAAGTTGTGCTGTGCGTGCAAATACTATTTAAATGTTACATCTTTTCGTATGTTTCTTCGTAACCACACGTTACACAAGTATGAGTATAATTATCATCCTCTTCGTTATACGTGTCGTCAGCAAATTCATGAACGTGGGAAGCCTTTGTTGTTTTATCATACAGTGAACTTCTTACTTGCATTCGCAGCTGCTTGATCTTAATATTGTATCAAAAACGATAAAGTTAATTTTATGTAAATAAAACTATTTTACAATAACTAGTTGAGAAAGAAGTATACCTTCTTGTTAAATTTTTTTATCTTAACTCCTTCGCGCTTTAGATCGCGCATCTCTTTCTCTTTCATCAAATTCTCCTCCGAACCCCAGACCTCTAGAGCTCTTTGCTCTATCTGCAAATGTAAGTACAACTTCATCTCACCCCAATTCGCATTGTGAGGATTCTTTCGTACGATATATCTTAATGCGGGCCCCCGCTTATCGAGATCGCAATCCTTCAATAAATACTCTTGTTTAGCCTCTGTTTTGGTGATCAAAGAGTGTTTTCCTTCCTTATCTCTAAAACATTGTATAATATTATTTGTTCAAACTGAGATGCAAAGAGAGCCACAAGAGCTATATACATATTGATACGTATAAAGCTATGTGTGTGTTACAAGTTGCGTTATATCGCACCTGCACTTATCACAGACAGACAGATCAAACGTTTGCAAAAGATACGAATCGCTGAATTTTTGTTGACACTCCTCACACTCGTTAAATTTACCAATAGTAGGTTCTGGTTCCGTTGCAATCCTCAACTAATTAAATATATTTATGCATTATTCTAAATAATGTGACAATTATATCGTATTCTAAAATGACATATACCATTTCTCGTTCCAATTCGTCATCTTCTTCTATCAGAAATCCACCGCCACTGTCAATAACACGTTGGCCTTGAACTTTCAGAGATCTTCCACTTGTGGAATCGCCATTTTCTCTGACAAAAAATAAATTTTCACAAAACATCAAGTATTGAAAACAAGTAATATTTCTATTTTGTATTATCAAATGTTCATAATTTTTATATACATACACAGTATGTATTTTATTACATACCTCTTATATGGATGGGTTACAACTTTGGACTTTTTTAACAGAAGAGCTTTCTGACGATTCCTTTCGGCTCTTTCCTTCAGTTGTTTATCTGTCTCCGTATCATCCCCATTTTTTGTACAAGTACTACTTGCAACCGTTGCACTAGCCATATTATTAAATTTTTCTAATTCAAATTTATATACCTTGTGTTACGAATCACACACTTCACGCTATCACTTTCACAAGACGATTGTATTCTGAAAATGAGGAATTTATTAATTTACATACACCAGATATTCGTTGAAATCGTATATCATCGCCGGAGAAAATTACGTACATATTTCGATATTACTATTTGGAGCAACGAGAAGCACATCAGTATAACAAGGTTATCTATCAATCGGAATTCTTAAAGTTTCACTCATATAGTTGAAATTTTAAATGACATGCAACGCAAAGACCACAAACGCTCAACTAAAGAGATTTTGTTTTACGAAATAAAGTTTAAAAAATTAATCAATCTCTCTCACATTATACATCCGTTCAAATCGGTAACTTGTTCCCACATCGGCGTGTGTGACGAGAGAGATCAACAATCAACGGTTACTACCAGAGAAACATGCGTGAGAGCAGCCAACCTGAACTAGCTTATAATTTTTATTTCTTGGTTTGAATCTTTGCTAAATCAAAATGTTTTTAGCAAAGAATCTAACCACTTTCAAGAATTCTACACCTCTCTGTAAACCTCTTGTCACATTCTACATTTCTGCTGACAAAAGTTAAAAGTTGCGTCATTCCGTCTTCTTATAATAAGGGTTATTTTACACTGAGTCGCAAATGTTTCGTCGCCAATTGCGAAAGATGACAATTACTAGAAGAAAAGTGCTATTTGCACTTGGCTGTAGTTGTTATCAAAGTTTAAAAGTTGACCAACTTTCCTCTGGTTTGGTTTGGTTTGGTGCTCTTTTGGCTCAGTGGACCTATAAAACTAGTCCATACCCCATTCTGTCTTTTTGATAACAGGTTTGAAACCGTGGATTGGGTTCCTGACGCCAAGCCACGGAGTTGTACATTTGTTTAAATTAAAGATAATAATAAAGAAAGTGGTGTAAAACACCGACAATTGTCCAAAAATATTCACTACGCACATCCAACCGATACGGCTGATGCAATCCAACTTGACGGGAGACCACGGTGTAAGATAGTAAGGTGGTCCGACTCTATCCCCACTCCTGTGATCTTAAGAGGGTACTGGATACCGACTATAGAGAGCTGTAAACCGACGTTTCTTTTTTCACGTTCTGAGTCGTATTTACTGCATCAAATTGAAAACGCTTCTCTAGAAATAAGTAAATTGTGCTAAGACAGTGCGCTAACTCTTTGGAATGTCAAACTTCAACAAAAAGTTTTTCTTATACAGTTTCCTTCTATAACCTCACTATATATTCATATATGTAGAATTATTTCTAAGCTTATGTACATATTTACAATGAACAAGCGCCACAAGTACGACAAAAACGAATCTAATGAGACATTCAGATTATGGTTTGACTATCTAATTGATGAGAACAACGTCATAGTGTAATGATGTATATCTGATATCATATACTATCATTATAAATGAAAAAAAGAGTTCAAAAAAGCATTATATACCCATTTTCAAAAGTTTTATATGGTTTTGTACATTTATTTGCTTCTGTAAAAGCGCTTTTAAGAGAATGCTGAACCGTCCTGTTTTACCCTCATGTCGTATTTGGAATTTTTTGTGAAAACTATAAATCGGAATAAAAAATGTTTCTCCAGAAATAAAGAAAATATAGTAAAGAATGGGATAAAGCCTAAAAATTTAAGAAAAACAAAAAAAAGTTTTTAGACTGTTATTACAGAAACTACATTTTTACTTTATATGCAAAATTGGCCATATCAGAGAGAAGCCTGAGAGCGGCCATGCCATTGTAGTTTCTTACGACGGTTTCAGCCGCTGGTTTTAGCCGTATTTCCACAAAAGTGGAACTCAAAGGTCGTTCTCCACGAAACTCAAGTCGCAGGTCTCGTGGAACTGATCAATCACGTTGGTCGATTGGCTGATTTGACTCTGCAATTGGTCAATTCCACGAGATCTGAGACTTGCGTTTAATGTAAAACGGCCTTTGAATTCCACTTTTGTGGAAATACGGCTAAAACCAGCGGCTGAAACCGTCGTAAGAAACTACAATGGCATGGCCGTTCTCAGGCTTCTCTCTGGCCATATAAATCCAGATAAAAATATCTTTATCCCAATCTAGAAACATAGACAAATATTTTAAGTGCTTCAAAAAAGATTTTGAAGTCTTGTGAGACAAGAAAAATTCTAAATACGATTAGTACAATTTTAGCAGAAGCGTCAGAGAGAAACATATGTCTATCCTTGTCTCTCTCATGTTATCTATCCTTGTTTTGGTTTGACTTGGTCCCGAGAGATGGCGCCACCTACCCGATAGCGTAGCGGTTGAGTAGCAGCTGAGCGGACTTTTGCCAGTGGTTCAGCATCCTTTTAATGCAGTAAATAAAATTAGAAAATAAAGAAATTTAGGTTATAAAAACGTCGGTCTACAGGTCTCTATAGTCGGTATCCAGTACTCTCTTAAGTAGGATCTTCAAATATCGTCCGATAAGCCCCTTGCACAATGAAAGGAATAGCGATAGCAATAGAAATAACACAGTTTTTAACACAGAATTCCAACTCGTCGGAAATTTTATCGCTATTGCTTATTCCGATTTTCTGATCTGCATTGATACATGTGTATTTTTGTATGTTAGATTCCGCTGTTCCTACCTTTATTTTTAAATATAAACTCTTTAAAACTTTTATTATTTTTATCGCTATCGCTATTCCGTCCATTGTGCAAGAGGCTATAGGTGGCTAGTGAAACACGCGTACTATCGGTGAGATTATATGTATGTAGTAGTACTCACTATTCACACACTGTGGTGATATGCATTACTACTACGTGTAAGGATGCGTTCCGTTTTATGTACATGTGTGAATGATCTGTAGTTTACGTAATGTATATAGATAAATGCGCGCATATACATGAAACGGAACGCAGTTAAGATGATTACTACATAAATAGGTATCACGCTCAATGTTAAAAACTATGAAAAAATCATTTTGCAGACGTTTAGAATAAAAACACATCAATAATTGTTAAAAGTAAAAAAATATTTATTTAATAATTAATTTTATGTATTATACTATTGTTACAAAAGTTATACTATTTTTAGTTTTTTTATGTATTATACAATTTTACCTCCTTCTTTTTTTCCACACTACCTAATTTATTTATCTTTTCTATTTTTAATCTTTGCATATTGACGCATTCTAACCGTAATATAATAATGTAAAGCATAAGAAATAACGTATGCTTTATGTTCTTTACAAGGAAATGTAAGAATGTCACTCTTCTCAAGTATGTCTTGTACAATAAAAAAGTACATATTTAGTGAATCAATGTTTCTGAAAATACATTTCAATTTTTTGAAACATTCGCACCAAATGTATATTTGGATGAATAAGTCCACCCCGAGACTTTAAATCTACCAAGTCTGTTTCTTTATATCCAACAATTAAATTATCATAGCAAGAGGAAAACGCCTTTTTGCAAATTTCACATTTGCTTGTTTTTAGCATTTGCTTACATATGTATCCTGTTATGTAATATATTATACACGACATTACGTCATCTATTCCACAATCGTCCTCGATTACATCATCGCATTCCCATTTTGTATATCGAATTAAATGATCTAGTTTCTTCTGTAAAAATTGTTTATATGCTGTTGTTTGTGTGATATATTTTTTTCTTTGAAACTATGTCTAAATTTTTTCAAACTTAGTTTTGGTTTTTCTTCTTCCGTTAAATTGCAAACTGTACAATTCCCAAATTTTGGTGGCTTTAAAATTGTATATATTGATAATAAATGATACAGTTGCATGAATGTTGGGAATGTTGGATGATCATTCTGGCAACCAGCTTGACAAATCATTCCGAAAAATTTCTAAAATAATACATGTCTCATAAAGATTGTATTAAGTTGAGTACAATTGATTATTAATTTTAATTGATAATTAATTTTATTTTAAAATGTTGCAATCTCTAGACAATCTTGGTTTAATTTGCTAGTAAGAAAATGAAGATGTAGTTCCTTTAGATCCGAACATCGCAACCCAGCAAACACAGATATATAATAGCAACATTGTCGTAATAAAACAAATGTAACATGTAATATAACATGGTCGTTGCACGTAACATCTATGTTAGTTGTAATTTCCTACTTATCGTATATTGCAGTTATATAATATGAATATAACATGTAAGTAGAATGTAATATAATTGTTATATAGTTACAGAAATGTTATATAAAAGTTATAATGTCATTACCAGCTAATAACAAGCAATATAATAGATATATAACATAATTATATTACATTTATAAAACAAAATTACATAACATTGATGTTAATAGAGTATAACAGCTGTTATATAACGTATATCACGCTGTTACTTCTATGTTATATAGCAGTTATATTCTGTGTTTGCTGGGAACTGGTTGGTGGAAATTGTACATCATTGAAGAAAACATGAAAACTAATGCATGATCTGCTTGTGTATTTATGTTATTGTTTTCTTTATATATGTCTCCAAAACTTTGCAGCTCATTGAACGTCATAGTTTTTTTTTTTTCACATCTACTTCAATACTTGTTCGCACTAGTACTTCATCAAAACATAGGATACCATTTCTAGCAATTTCCGGATAACATTGTAGTTGCTTTTTAAAAAGTTCAAAGAATTGCTTATCAAAACCACAACCTGTCTTTGATGCATGCAAATATTTGCATATAGTTGATTTTGCAGGCAAAGGCAGTACATTATTATTTCTAAGCATATTGTATGCAGCTGAATTTTGTATATACAATAGTAAACAAAGAAGAAGCCATTCATGGCTGTAACGCCGCCCTTTCGTAGCTTTGCCAAAGGCAAAACACTCTTTAATTAACAAAATCTAAAGAAAAACATGCAAGCAAACAATAAGCAAGACAATAGAACCCAAGATAAAATAAAAGTTATACTCAAATAGTAAAATAAAAATATAAAAATATTTTACCTTATTGTGTGGAAGGATTGTGGTCTTGGATGACACCTTTCTTAATTCTTCATCTAGCGTCATCTACTTCATATTCAAAAGACGTTCGTGGACTTTATTAAGTTCTTCAGATAGATTACTTAATTTCTTCTGGTTTCTATTTAACTGCTGCTGCAGTACACGTTTCTGATTAAAAAGATTTTGTATTTTGGATTTTACTGTTGGTGACGCGGGTAGTCTTACTCGTAATTTATTCCTTCTCTGAAAGTCTACATTTTGTGATAAAGTTTTATGCAATGATACACAGTAAGTACAGACACTTCCTGCAGTTACAATAATTGGACATTTCTTGTGTCTCCATGCAACTTGATCCCTATAAGCACACTCTGGGCGAATATTTCGGTAGTATTTTATGGATGGACCCCCGAGACAAGTTTGTAATGCATCTATTTCTGCAATTAAATTTTCTATATCTTGAGCAGATTTTGGCTTACTTCTTGCACATTCTATCTCAAAATTCTTTCCCAAAAAAAGTAATTTTATTTCACAGTTGCTATTTAAAATCACCTATAAATTTTAATATTAAATATATATACATTTTTGCTACATATTTGAGTGAATTACAATTAAAAATTTAACTAAAATTATAAACACGTATTATTATTATATTCAAATACCTGTTTTGTATATATTGGTATCATCACATTTCCACTACATGAATCGGGCATTATTTCTATTACCGAAAAAACAAGCAACTTTTTCCTTAAACAACAATGTACTCCCCATTCTGATCTAGGAAATTTGATGACAACTTCCTGTTTTATAATTTTATCATATAAACTGTCTTCTATTTCATCAGATGTAATACAACTGTTCACTGTCTGTTTTATTTCAATTTCTTTGATTAGATTAATTAGATTAGATTTAGATGATTCTTCTTGACAGTTCATGACTGTCTGTTCCATTTCGATTTCATTATATGATTCTGTATGACAATTCATGTTTTCATTACATAATTCTGATTCTGTCTTTTCATTAGAATCAAGTGTAATCATTTTTGTAGCAACGTCTTTATGTTCATCAATTGATGAATTATTATGCTTAAAAGGCAAAGCATCTTTTAGTAAAATTTTCTTCTTGAACTGATACTAAAATGTAATAAACATTAAAAATCTATCTTAAAATAGGATAAATTTTAAATATTTTTGTATCTCTCTAATTAAATAATATTAAAATTGCTATTTCCAAAGAGATAATAATCATAATATAATAATGCACAAACAAACTTACATTATACAAAACATTGCCAGCAGCATCGTTTACAGTTTCTGCACTTTTTATATCCGATGAGTGAAAATGTTGTTCGCATATGTATGAATTTTCTGTTAATAAACAACCCAAAAGTCTTGACCATTTGTTTCTAGTATCAATAGATTTTGGTGCCTTGAAAAAAGTGACTTTTTTTACTTTTAATTGTTTATTTAAACAACCGGAAACACTGCACTGTCTTCCCATATTTAAATTATATAACACTATATTTTAATAAAAATATAAAATAATCACAAAGCAAATGTAAAACACGTGGAGAATAGAATAGAACTATTCTATTCTATGTTGTAATGGCTCAATGGGCATAAAGAAGAAACTCAGCCAGTTATGTCTCGTGTCTATTTTTTAAAACTGTTTTGTAAATGTAAATTAGTGTAAGGCATCACACACACACACACACACACACACACACACACACACACACACACACACACAAATATCGTCTATAAACTTCTTCATAAACTTTCGTGTTCAGTTGTAGTTACAACGCAATTATACACGTGGATAACGCGTAACAAAACAAGTAACAAGTATAGCTATGTACGTCTTACTGCGGTACGCGTGTCTCACTAGCACTTCTATCGGAAGATCGTCAAAGTTCCTACTTATCGTCACAGCAATTTTGTAGTGAGGGTATATAAGTCGGACCACCTTACTATCTGAAGCCCCTTGCACAATGGACGGAATAGCGATAGCGATATAAATAATACCAGTTGTAAAGAGTTTATATTTATAAATAACGGTAGGAACAGCGGAATCTAACATACAAAAATACACATGTATCAATGCAGATCAGAAAATCAAAATAAGCAATAGCGATAAAATTTCCGACGAGTTGAAATTCTGTGTCTAAAACTGTGTTATTTCTATCGCTATCGCTATTCCTTCCATTGTGCAAGAGGCTTTACACCGTGCGGGAGACCAACTTTCCTCTGGCAACCGCAACTGGAAATAGCATTTTTCTCTCAGTAGTTGCCATCTCTTGCAGCTCATTGTAGAAATGGCCCTAACGTCACTTTCTTCAACTTATAATAGTCTTCTAATATCGCGACGTTATCGACTGAGTCAGTTCAGTTTCTTGCTTTCGGGTCATTCCACGTCAAATCGCCCAGTAAAAGATTATTTTCAAACCTTGACGTTTCCGATTTTACTAATTTTTGGTATTTAGGTTGTACCTGTAAAATATAATAAAATTCCAAAATTTTAGATTTTTCGAGCAAGTAGTTTTTTCAGAATCAATTATTAAAAATAGTAAGAAGCGCACAATTTTCGGCGATCACGAATTTTAATAATACGTATAGTT